ATAGAAGAGAATCACACAATAGGTCTCTATGTTTCTCAGTAGTAGTAGCGCGGTAGTTTGGATACGCGATTCAAGATGCGGGGAGTTGTGGGGGGTTGCGAGGAATGTTGTGGGTAGGGTCTAGTGCCTGGGTCTGGGTCTGGGTAGGAGGTAGGAGGTAGGAGGTAGCTTGGATTGGATTGGGTTTGATTGGTGGGTTGGTTGCACGAGATGGTGGGTTGGTTTGGGGGAGACGGGGGAGGGGAGAGAGAGAGGTGAGGGAGAAGGAATGTGCTGTGGAATGTGGAATGGAGGTTTGGGGTTAGTGGATTTGGGGTTTGGGGTTAGTAGATTAGCGGTCAGTGGATTGGTGGCTAGTGGCTAGTGGCTAGTAGGGTTGGAGTTGGGATTTCTTTATTGAGCTGGATTGTGGGGGATTGAGATTGAGATTGAGATGGAGAGGAGGGTGAGGGTGTGGGTGTGGATAAGGGTGTGGAGAATATCGAAGATGGATGGAGATTTGGATGTATACTTTTTTTTCTGTGGGGAGAGGGATGTTGGATTTGGATCTGGAACGCGTCGTTTAGATTGACTGACTGACTGAATGTCTGGCTGACGGATCATGATGATTCTTGAGAGTAAACAAGAATATCTGATGAATGAGAGAGGGAATTTTGATACGAGTCGTGATGAGATGAGATGAACAATGAAACTTCTTCTTGGTGACTACCACCTAGTATACTATATAGTTGGGTTGATATTTGAGCATAGGAAGTGTTGCGATGTGACGTGATGTGATGTGATGTGATGTATCCATGTACGTGTAGCATGCTGGCCTTGAAGTATTCCGTTCGTTTATTTTTTGATTATTTGTTTTGATTATTTGTTTTGATCTTTCTACAGTGTACAGTTTGAATTCTGCTAGGTATTAGGTAAGTAGGCGGCTAGGTAGGTAGAAAATTGATCCATAGGTAGAGATGTGTGGATACTGTGTATATATGTATGTATGTATGTATGTACCTATGTACCCGTAATAAAAGATTAGTTCGCGGCTATCGCAATCGGGTGGCTGCATTAGTTCCATTCATTTAATTTTCATCAGGATATTTGTTTGGGGAGGGAGGGATTCATTCATTCATTTATTCGTTGTTACTAGGTACTTATACTTCCGGTTCGGTTCGGTTGCTTGGGTAGGATTGGAAAGAGATTGATTGATTGATTGTAGTCTGTTGGTCTGTCTATCAAGATGGAATTGTTGACGGGATGATTTGAGGATAATGAATAGATGCTCTTTTGATTTTTGGGATCTGTTTTGGATGGGGTGGGGAAACAAACTTTGGATGGATGAGTGGATGAATGAATAGATGAATGAATGGAAGGGGGTTTGTTATTCTCAGCCTTTTCTTCTTTCTTTTCTTTTTCTCTTACGGCATGGAACCCTTTTGGAGTTTCATGAATGGATGGATGAATAAATGAATGAATGAATGAAACTCCACCGTTCATTCATTATTCATTCAAACGCCCATCTATCCATCCATCCATCCATTCAGTCATTCACCGAATAAATTCTTTTCCTCCTCTACATACCTAGGTAGGTACGTATTGTTGTCGCTGCAGATTGTCATAATAATACCACACATATAGATTGGTGCGTGCTTCGCATCTGTTCAATTCTGTTTTACATCAACATCCACATCCACATCCACATCCACGGACCATGATAATTTTCATGCCCAACTATTATGGATCATGGCTGACGGATTGATGAATGCATGGCTGATTGAAGGACGTCTGATTGAGTGATGGATGGATTGGCTTGTAGTTGGGAAAACTATCTACTCTACACGGTTCTTCCTGGAATTGGAAATTCATTGGAAACTCACCGAGCGGATGGAACGTGATGTCTCAAATATTTCGCTTCCGGTTTTTTCCGGTTAGGGATGGCGACGAGGTGGGGAGGGAGAAGGAGAGGATCTGTTGGATGTAGAGGGGAAAGAGGAAAGGGATAGAGAGGGAGGTTTAATGGGATGGGTGAGTGGATTTGTGTGTGTGTGTGTGTGTGTGTGTGTGTGTGTGTGTGTGTGTGTGGATGATGGATTGGGGAGTAAGCTGGAGGATGTGATATGATTAAGCAAGATGTGTAGTGCTAGTTTGATGGAGACGGGAGTTAGATTTTGCGGAATGATTGGATATTATTTGGTCAGAAAGATTTTGACTATCATTTTACTGTTTAGTTTTTCATTGAGTGGGAAGAGAGGAATTGGGGAGAAGTGAGGGGAAGCGCTGGTATGATGGAATAGATTCGGTGATGAGATGAGAGAAAAGTGAAGGGTTCACGGCTTGTAAGGGGGTATCTTGTGAGTGCGGTATGGTATGGTATGCTAGCAGTATACCAGGAGGAGAGCAAACAGACTAGCTGACAGATGAGTAGTAGTTACAAGTTGCACGACAAAAAGACTTTTGCGCCAAGAGAAAAAGAAGATGTGTGAGGGGGGACAGGAGACGAATGATGGATCACTCTAGAGGTTACGGGGACCGCTTTTTTATTTCAACATCATAATTCAATATCGAGATGATGAAGATGAAGCTGTGTCTCTATATAACTGTATTGGAATCGATGAGTGAGGGGGATACATGATACATGATACATGATACATGATGATTGAAGGCTGAAGATTGCAGATTTTGTTAGGAACGTGGTGAGATATCTGGTTTGGGCATTATTACCGTCATCTATAACAAACCAAAAACTACGGACATTGAAACTAGCATACATCTATCACAGTTTCATTCCGCGGTCGAATCAATATCCAAGCATACAAATTCACAGTACGCGTGGCCGAAGCTACATCCACATCATCTGCATCAGCGTTGATATTAAAAAACGAGCGATGTCCAATTTCCTTCCTAGCGGCTGACCTTGAAGAGACTAGGTGACAAAGAAACTGAAGTCCAGATTTGCCTTGATTTCTAGTCGCCGAGCTGGGGAAACAGCGGGCTGTGGACCTATCTCCTTATTTGGCGGAGTCTTGACCTTGGATTTGAGATGAGCAGAAGGGCGAAAGAGGAAGAGGTGATTACTGATATTTTGTTTAGTTTCATGGATGAAATGATTGAAGCTGGTGGCACGAGATTGAGATGCATTGGGGGGAAAGATGTATCTACTACGTCTTGATTTGACAGGTAAATATATACCAAGAGATCTGAACCCTACCGTAAGCTTGGGAGCAGCAGTCAGTGACATTCATATGCCAGTCGCAATACACATAATAGATATCTAGCGCAGAAAGAGGGATATACAGCAAAAGATGAGATGAAATGGACAGGGTAATCGTGTTCTAGCGTCAGGAACTGCTGTCGTTTTTGTGAGTAGCGGGGGATGGAACAAAGAAGTGTGATGCGCGTGGTTAGAGGGAGGAGTAGGCGAGGGTTAGTGGTGGAGCTTACCGTCTTTTAGTTTGGGGAAGGAAGGAGATGAGTATGGTCCGGCTATTTTGGGAGATACAGATAATACTTTCTTTGTGAGAGAGGATAGGGATGAGTAGTAGATTGTGGAATTTTCCGTTATGGTTATTACAGATCGTAATTTGCGAACTGCGCAATCTGCGAAATGCTCCAGCTAATCAAGAGGCGAAACCAGAAATCTTCATCAGATACGAGCATGATGATGGATGATACGACGAAGTACCTAGTTGGAGGCGATTAATACGGCGTGGATTAGGTACACTCTGTACTTATATGTCTTTGTCCATTTCCATGTTTGCGAATCCGCGGTCAATTCAGATATGCAACAAAACTTTTTTCTCAACTCCTGATTCTTTGTTTTGGAAATGGCGGGTGACCAATTAGATCAATAGTCAAGAAAAAGTCACTGGATTTATTGGGATCTCATGTCTGCGAATCCGCGCTCAAATTCAGATATGCAACAAATGTTCTCTGAGCCTGTCATTCTTTGTTTCGGAATGGGGACAGGCCAGTCAGATTTATGGGTAAGGAGCAGTCACTGGGTTGAGATAAAGAATGGATAAAGAAAAGGTAGGGAGTTTATTGAGAGGCAAGTTTGAGTACGTACGGGTGATATTTTGAAGCGTGGTAGGAAGATTAGCGATGCGAGGAGATCTGGATGGTGAAGTTTTGCATGAGTCGTCCACGTTGGTATATTCCGAGGATGAATAGATGGAGAGAGAGAGATATTCTGGTAAATATCAGCTAGCGTCTGATAGCGATACGAGAGTTCTAGATGATATGCGAGATTCTCTTGTGTTTTGCTACATGCGTTACTTATACTTTACATTGCGGATATTTCTGTATGAGATTTTTTGTGTCTGAAATTATATCATAGTATGTTCAATTTGACTTGAGTGATGAAATGTTGGTACAACTTGTATGTACTGCTGGACTTTGTCAAGAACCTCAGGTTATAACACGTGGATGAATGGGCCGTTCTGCTCATGATAGTAAAGTAGCACCAGATGGTTACCCCTTTCCCCATATTAATATTACCGAGCCTCAACTACCCCAATCACAATAATCTGTCTTATCAATAATCAGAATCAAACAGCCAACTTAAACTTTATACTAATATTCTCCATCCCACTAAACAAGTCTATCCTTCTTCCAGGCATCCTATTGATCCCTCTATTAGGAAACAATACCAAATCTCCCTTTGTGAGAATTAAAATCCATCAACAAGTAATCTACCCACCCAAAAACAACTCTTTATCCCCATTCTCTACACTTGCCAAGAAAATCCACATGTATCACTTAAAATCTACCACACCTAGTAATCAACTTGCCAAGATCCCATCACAACATCACGATATCACGATCTGGACTTGTAGGTGGAAGTTAGAATGAGATATTGAAGCGATCAAGAATCCGCAATCAACCGCACATCCAACTGCTAGAAATAAGTAAGAAATCGCCGTGTCGTTCCAAGCTCAGAGATACAAATCAAACGACTCCTTGAGAGCAAGACTTCAATACAAACTAGGGCAGTACGTCTGAAACCACGTAGAAAAATGCCACGCGGTCTTGCCGGCTACGAAGAAATACGCCCGGGGGAAAAAGGGGTTGATACGTATAATAATAGTCATAAGAATGGCACCTATGTACCGATAAAAAGAGGAGAGACGAGTCGGGTTCCACTGCGGAATCGGGGATGGGTGCAGATACTTATAGTTGCATTTTTGTCTCTGGTGTTTTTTGGGATGGGGACAGCGGTTGGAAGGAGGTTTCCGAGGGGGGAAAGGAGGTGGGGGTTATTGGGTAAGTTTTTGGGTTCTTTTCATGATGATGATCTTGGTTTTGCTGTTGGTGAATCGTGAGGAGTGGATGAGTGGTTTGGGGCTTAAGAATTGAAAATTTGCTGATGAGAGATATAGCACCTCCAGGATCAATGAAAGAAACTTGGTATCCTAATACTACATTTTCTATGAAACCGACGCCAGAATCGGAAGCCGCTTGGGGATCTTTAATGCCGGGTTAGTGTCTATTTACATATTCTTTCGGCATTCAATTGAATTGTACTGACAACTTTGTAGTGGGCAGAGGATTTATTTATCGACCCGAGATAGCACCAATTGTAAAAAGTGTCTCGGTATTTCATCAATTGCATTGTCTGGTATTTTGCCTGTTCCCTTACCTCCGTTTTTCACTTCTCTCATCTCTTCCCCTATTCCAATTTCATAACTAGATTAACACTTCTTCAGCACGGCCTCCGCACCTCCTACTACGATCTACACTATCAAATCGCGCGCGCAGCCGGTGCACCTATCGACTCATTCCTTGAGCAAAAGGCGGCACATACACATATAGAGACTGCGCATCAAAAACATTGCTTTGATTATTTGCGACGTGCGATAATGTGTGCAGCAGATACTAATTTGGAGTATGTTGATCCAGTTACGGATGATACAACAGGGTGGGGGAGTGAGAGGGTTTGTAGAAGTTTCGAGGATGTGAAGGGGTGGGCGGAGAAGTGGGCTAATGGAACGGGTGGAGGGATTGCTTAAGTTATGGGGTGAATGGATGACGGAGGAGGGGGAACATAAGAGCAGAGCCCTATAGGGCTTTTGAAATTGATGGGACCATTGTTGTAATGATGGGCATCAGAAAATGCTAAAGAATGAGCGCAATTGGTGACTTGCAATTGCGCTTTCTATAAAGTAGAATAACCCCATGATAGATGAACGGATACAACAATAGTTGTTTATAAGAGTAGAGTCTATATCTCAAACTGGGGATTTATCTTTCCGTGTCAATCCCTGAGTCGTCGAAGACACTTGTCACCAAGCCAACAAGGATAGAAGAAAACATACTCAGAAATCTCGTCATCCATATCGAGCAGAATGAAACTTCTATTATCCATTCTTGCTTATTGACTTTGAAGAATGGCCACAACGTGAAGTGAAAAGATAAGCTTGCTCGGGAATCCCACAAGTATTAAGGTGGCATATTGTAAACCTTTTGGGAAATCGTTGTAGCGTAGAATTAAGTTTGATGAGGAGGCGATAGCAATGGCAAACAATACTGAGTATGGGCTATCATCAGCTGTGTTTACTCGAAATTTATGAAAAGGTTTCGCTATTGCAAAGCAATTAGAGTCTGGGTAAGTTTTATGTCAGATCCTCACCCTGGTGAGACGATTGCTAATGATTTTGAACTGTAGAGCTGTTCACATCAATACTGTGAGTGTTCGAGATGAACCTGCTTTACCAATGGGAGGTATGAAGAAAAGTGGTTGGGGTAGATTCAATACTATTCTCAGTATAGAGAAATTCCTAGTCGCAAAGACAGTGACTTGGATGATTGAGAGCTAAAAGTTCAGGAGACAATATTGAGACGATGATTAAAAGTATCAATTTCTGGCGTAATGGTGTCAATTTCGCATGACATGAAGCACACTCGGATTAGCATCCGTAACCACAGCTCTCAATAACCATCTTTCCGCCCACCTCCCTAGAATTCTTAACAATACCCAACTTAACAATATCTTATCATCTACTTCAGCAATTTCAGCAATTTCTTCTCTGGAATAACCTTTGAGAAATCGGATACAGAAGGGCTTTGGACAAAGATATGATCTGCAAATGAAGATTCTGATTGGGTTTACAGCAGCACAATTTTTGACTTTGCTGTTGATTTGGAATTGAAGAGAGGAGCAATTGGGTATCCGTGAATGAGAGGAGCGTGAAGGAGGAGGGTTGTGAAAGAAGAAGGGAGACCAATTGATGGGAAACACATGCGAGTTCGTCTAATGTAGCTCGATGTACATCTATTCCATCGTTTCATAACACGTCAGAATGATTCTCACACATTAGATTGTTAATGTATGAAATATGGGGCGAAATAAGGCTGAAAGGCTGATGAGAATTATGTAAATAAATAATACTTCTGACAGGTGCCGGAGGAACCGAAATTTAGCAGCGACGATCATGTCTCAAGATCATCACGTGATAATAAAGTTACCGTTCTTTCCATGTGCATTAGCCACTTCCACTGCATTTATATTCACCTGTTGCCGAATGCCGTTCAAGTCGAGCAACATTGGTTCATTTATTGATCATTGATTTATATTATCCATGTACTGCATATACATCTCTGTGTCTCTCTCCAAATTTGTTCTAGGTATGGAGACTTAATGTGCATTATCTGGATGTCTGTGCCGCATATTTGCTGGGCAGATATCACATGTAACTTTGTCTCATATGTTTCAAAGCAGTTGACCTAGTCGGCAATGTGAATACGACGATACCACGATATACTTCTATCCCTTCTTCTATAGACCCCGAACATTCTAATACGAGTGTCTCTTTATTACAATCTTATTCGCAATCAGAGGACATCCGCACTTTCTTCCAAATGCTTAACCACCCTCCCCTCTCAGCCCCGTACCTTTTTCTCAGCCACAATAGCCTTGTTTTAAAATAGTACATTACCCTGTCACATCCGAACCTTACCGTTTGTAGCACAAGTGCAACTGAAGCTCGTGTAAGGAATTGGTTACAGAAAGCCATTTCAAAAAGTCAACCGCAATCTGTGATATTCGAGAAAACAGAATAATTCAAAATATACAACGTAATCGAGGAACACGAAATCTAAGATCTTCCACTTTGCCAACGAATTGAAAAATAAAACGATACGATCCTAGCGATTATGATGACGACTTGAAGATTAGAACGATCCGCTCCACGCGTTGGTCCCTGGGGAAATCTTGCAAACTACTACGTTGCGATTGCGATTACACATTTTTGCAACGGCACACTCGAAAATATATAGGGATAGTTGGCTGGCTTTCTGAATACTGAGATTAGGCATAATGCCTCCAAATAACACCAATGGTTCCAATAATTTATCGAGCCCTCCTCAATCGATACCTTTACGAGATCTAACACGGCCACCTGATTCTGCAGATGTGGGAGATGGATCGCGGCGGCACACACGAGGGAGGAGTCTTTTGGCAGGGGGAGGTCTTCGTCCGACGGGAAGTTTAAATGCTGGTACTGGGTATGAACGGCTAGGGGATTCTTCTCCCAGTCCAGGGGGAAGACCAGATCGAATAGGCGGCTCAGCGACACCTCTGACACTACAATCTACTATCGGAGAAAGGCACGAAGATGAAATAGAAACCCCTACATCGCCTGTGGGAAACCCTGCAGATTTTCAAGCAGCAATGGGATTTGCTGGTCTAAATGTACCGGATATCAGTTTATCTCATGCTCCGCGAGAAAGGTCCATGTCTTTTGGATCTCAACACTCTCTCACGCCGTATGCGCACTCGTATGGGGACATGGGAGATAATGACAATTCATATTTTCCCTCCGATTCTGACCAGATACCTTTGACGGATTCGAACCATCTGCAACCCATGAGCGGGACACAACCCACTACTCCAGATGGGCAACGACATGACAGGTCTAGCTTTCAATCTATCAATTTCAACTCACCAAGTTCAAACTATAGAGGGTCTAGACTAGGTGATGATCTTCCGAATGCGGAAGCAGGTTACTCATCATATGGTACAAGGTCAAGGTCGCAAAGTTATGGAGCTAACCTGTCGCCCAGTGGACGCAGATCTAGATCTCCATCTACTGCGGGGGCTCTTTCCAGAGCTGGGTCGATGATGAGGGCTATGTCGCAACGTGTGGTTAATCTGAGTGGTGAAGCCGAGGTCATCGAAGAAAGCGCTAGGAGACAAGCGCACAGTATTGAGGAGCCATTTTTCCCTTCACGGAGATCTTACGAACCAAATGTCGAAGATACAGCTTATCGGCCCAATACGATGTTTCCTCCATTTGAAAAACCCCCGTCAAGGACTTTGGATGGACCTGGAACGGATCAATGGCAGGCACAGAATCCCCCTAACCCTCTCAGAGGAAAAACACTAGGAATATTTTCACCGGAAAACAAGCTTCGGTTAAAACTTTGTGATTTCCTGGTTTATCCTATCACTGAACCAGCAATCCTCATATTGATTGTCGTACAAACAATTCTCCTTGCGATAGATGCGGCTCCTTCTGTTTATACTCACCCTCGACGCCCGGGATGGGGCTCCAAAACCGACTGGGCTCTACTGGGCCTCTTTATAATTTTCACGCTGGAAGTGATTGCACGTGTTATTGTGTCCGGTTTCATTATTAATGCAGCCGAATACAGTACAATAGACCGACAACGTGGAGCCAGAGCAGCAATCGTGGACAAGTACCGCTCTATATTTGCACCTCAGCGAAAATCATCCGTCAGAAGAGCCCAAACAACGTCTTCCGAGGAAACCACCAATACACAAATGCCTATCGTCAATACCTTCGCTCAAATGCAAGCAATGACCAGCACTGTCGAGCAAGCCCAGCGATTGCAACTAGCTAGGAGAGCTTTTCTCAGACATTCTTTCAATCGACTCGATTTCGTCGCAGTCGTATCTTACTGGGCAGCGTTTGCCATCAGTTTTCTTGGAGTAGAGAATGGCTATCATCTTTACCTATTTCGCATGTTAAGTTGTTTACGTATTCTTCGATTACTTGCCCTTACAAACGGTACTGCTGTAAGCCTTACGTTGCTTTCGCTTTCATGTGCACTTCTAACATTGCATCTAGATAATTCTTCGAAGTTTGAAAAAAGCGACTCCATTGCTACTCAATGTTTCTTTTCTTATTGGATTCTTCTGGCTGTTGTTTGCTATCATCGGTATACAAAGTTTCAAAGGAAGTCTTGATCGTCAATGCGTATGGATCGACCCTGATGACATCGAAAATGCGCAAAATACAGCATTCGTCAATAGCAACCAATACTGCGGAGGACAGTTCAACAAGGACAACTCGTCTCATGATCCCTGGATGAAATCAACCGATGGGAACAATCCTTTCTACCCTTTAGTCTTTGGAGCCACTTCTTCCAAAGGTTACTTGTGCCCCGAGGGATCTTATTGTCTTCAACTGCCTCCTGATCAACTTCCTTTCAATGGAACTATCAGTTTTGATAACATTGCGCAGTCTTTGGAACTCGTGTTCGTTATTATGACAGGTAACACGTTTACAGATCTCATGTATTACACCACAGACTCAGACTATCTCGCCGCTGCAATCTTCTTTGCAGGAGGAATTGTTATCATGATGCTTTGGCTTATGAACTTGCTGATAGCCGTCATTACTTCATCTTTTCAGGTTATCAGAGGAGAAGGCAAAACAAGTGCATTCGCTGCCCATGCTGATGATGATCGCCCTGATCCAAATGTAAACATGCCACGACAGGTGAGCAAGCTAAAGCAGATGTACGACAAAACATATTGGCTCTGGATCGCTATTATTGTCTATGATCTTATAGCTCAAGCTTTCCGGAGTTCCAATATGACGGACTCTCGCTCAAGATTCATCGATCTTTCGGAGGTGGCGGTAACATTTTTGTTGTTAATTGACATCGGTTTGCGATTTGCCTCTGATTGGCGGGATTTCCACAAGCACAAGAGGAATTTATTTGACTTGGGACTTGCGATTATTACCACAGTGATTTTATTGCCACCTATTCGAAATTCAGGTCAACCTTATGCCTGGCTTACCGCGTTCCAGATTCTCAGAATCTACCGGGTTGTCATGGGTGTCGAAATAACGCGATCCTTGATCATGCTGGTATTGGGAAATGCAAGTGGTATTGGAAATCTTGTACTATTCGTCTTTCTTATCACTTTCTTAGTTGCAATATTCGCAGTCCAGCTGTTTCGCGGCGAGATCCCGTCACATGATGACTCTGGAGAATATATACAAGTCAATTTCTCTACGATGTTCAATTCTTTCTTGGGTTTATATCAAATTCTCTCGAGCGAAAATTGGACTACACTTCTTTATAATGTTACCGGCATTGATAAGGCACGAAACACTGCTTGGATCGGCGCAGCATTCTTCATTGGATGGTTTATTCTCGCCAATTTTATTCTGGTGAACATGTTCATAGCTGTCATTCAAGAAAATTTCGATGTTTCAGAGGACGAAAAACGCATGCAACAAGTGAAGGCTTTCCTGACCAGGAAAGAGGTCGATACCTCTTCTAGCAATCTCGCGTTATCGTCCATCGTTCGGTTCGGTCGCTCCAAAGCGAAAAAAGACCCCCTCGATTATGGGCCGGCAACGATGGAGATGTTATTAAAAGATGCGGTTGTTAAGGACTTTCTCGATGATGAAATTGTTCCGGGACAACACGAACACAATGCAGAAAACGCGGCTGCGGAGGCAGCTGGTGTGAAGCCTGGATACTTATCCTCCGTCTGGGGCAATTTCGTGTCTAAAATCTGGAACAGGGAACCAAATCCCTTCTATTCCAACATATCATTTTCTCTCAAGACCGATGACTCTAAAGGTACCAGGGCAATGGCAAAAGAAGCTGTCTCAGCCTCATCTCAGCGCAAGAAAGCACAGCGTGAATACTTGGCAAAACACCCATCTTACAATAACGCCTTGTTCATTTTTAAACCTAATAGCCCTATCAGAAGGCTTTGTCAAAGATGCGTAGGGCCTGGGCGTGGAAATGAACGTTTTGATGGTGTTGAGCCTGATTTGACCATCTGGTATGGCTTTTCGGCATTTCTGTACCTTTGCATTGTCGCAATGGTCTTGTTGGCATGTATAACCACACCTCTATACCAAAGAGAATACTTCATAACCAATCCTGATAAGTCAACTGCGAATAATTGGTTCGTCTTTTGCGATTTCGTCTTTGGGGTCATTTTTACCGTCGAAGCTCTCATAAAAGTCATTGCAGATGGGTTCTTCTGGACTCCAAACGCATACTATAGAAGTACATGGGGCTTCATAGATGGTCTAGTGCTTATCACCTTATGGATCAACGTCACCACTTCATTGATGGACGATGGAGCAATTGCACGAGCAGTTGGAGCTTTCAAAGCCTTGCGAGCTCTCCGATTGCTCAATGTCAGTGATAGTGCAAGAAATACATTCCACTCTGTGATTCTTGTTGGTGGATTTAAAGTTCTTTCGGTACGACATCTTTTTATTGTGTTATTTAATGCTTCTGCTAACATGCTAACAGGCGGCCTTCGTTTCTATGTCCCTCTTAATCCCGTTTGCAATATATGGGGTAAACCTTTTCAACGGCCAGTTGGAGGCGTGCAATGATGGCGACATCACTAATTTGACCGACTGTTCTGGTGAATTCTACAGTCAACCGTTCAGTGGCGATTGGAACATTGTTTCACCTAGACAAGTTGGAAACCCCTGGTACGATTTCGATAATTTCGGAGGCTCCTTATTCATCCTTTTCCAGATCGTATCCCAAGAAGGTTGGGTCGACGTAATGTTTCAGTCAATGTCCATTACTGGTCATGGTCTTAACCCGGGTGATCCTACATCGCGCGAGTTCAATGCAGTCTTCTTCGTCCTTTTCAACCTTCTTGCCACGGTCTTCATCCTTACTTTGTTCATCTCTGTGTTTATGCGAAATTACACGGAACAAACTGGGATCGCATTCTTGACATCTGATCAAAGATCTTGGGTGGAATTGCGTAAACTTCTAAGGCAGGTTTCTCCATCTAAACGACCGTCCCAGAAAGATCCACGTTGGTGGAAAGACTGGTGTTACAAAAGAGCCACTCGAAAGCATGGAAAGTGGCATTCAGCTATGACCCTAACTCTCGTCTTCCATCTCATCCTATTGTTAGTGGAATTTTACCCCGAACCAGATTGGTGGGATAGAACTAGAGATTATATATTCTTGGCTTGCACAGTTTTTTATATACTCAACATTCTTGTTCGTATAACTGGTCTGAGCTGGGCTCGATTTCAACGAAGTTCATGGGATGTTTTCTCGATTCTTGCAGTCTTCGGTACACTCGTTACGACAATCCTTCTTCTCACCAACTTTAAATCTCAAGTTTATGTTCAACTACACAAATTATTTCTTGTTTCTATCGTTCTACTCTTGATTCCCCGAAATGATGCTCTGGATCAGCTATTCAAAACTGCAGCTGCTAGTTTGACAGCCATTGGAAATTTGTTGGCAACTTGGTTTGTCCTGTTCATGGTCTTTGCTATCGCTATGACTCAAACCTTTGGACTCACTCGATTTGGTGAACAAGAAACCGACAATCTCAACATGCGAACAGTACCGAAAACGCTTATGATGCTATTTCGTATGTCTTGTGGAGAGGGTTGGAATCAAATCATGGAAGATTATGCGACTATCACACCTCCATTCTGTACTCAAGGTGCCAATTTCTTTGATAGCGACTGCGGAAGCCCTACATGGGCTCGAGTATTGTTTATTTCGTGGAACATCGTGAGCATGTATATCTTCACTAGTTTATTTGTCTCACTCATCTACGAGAGTTTCAGTTATGTCTTTCAGCGATCCAATGGCTTATCTAAAGTTAGTCGTGATGAGATCAGACGCTTTAAAGAGGCTTGGGCTACATTAGATCCGGATGGTACAGGATTCATCGAAAAGGAACATTTTCCAAGACTTCTGGGTGAACTCTCTGGTGTCTTTGAGATGCGTGTATATTCACATGAAGATTCGGTTCGCAGAATTCTCGAAGATATACAAACGGAACCAACCAGTGGTAGAATGAATTCTATCTCAAGCCCCAGCGCTTCTAATGGTATTGATTTGAAGAGATTGAATGAAAGGATTTCTCAAATTGATGCCGGTAGAGTCAGAAGAGATAGAGCGAGATTTAATCTTTTCTATGAAGAGGTTTTAGTCTCGGCAGATCCAGATCGGGGTATTTCATTTACCACAGTATTGATGGTTTTAGCTCATTACAATGTTATCAGTGATAATAAGAGCTTAAAGTAAGTTATTTGAATGATGTTTTGGTGCTTTAACTAATGATTTATATAGACTTGAAGAATTTTTACGTCGCCGTGCACGTCTTCAAAGAGTGGAAGAAGAAGTCCGAAGACGAATTGTGGTTGGTTTCTTCGATACCATGTAAGTTTTTGAAATTTCCATTCGCGCATATGTATCAATTTTACTGACAAACACAGGTACTGGTCCCGAAGATTCCGCAAACACATGGAAAGAAAAAGGTCTGGCCGCATGACGGATATTCCTCAATTGGGCCCAGAAGTTTACGTCGACGACGAAGATTCATCTACCCAGAAACATAGATCAACAGCTTCAGGAAGCGGAGCTTTACTTTCACCAACAGATATTACGGATTCAAGAAATTCGTTTATTACCCATGGACTTGATGGGACACCACTTAGACAGAGAAGAGGAACGGATGCGGATATTGGACTGGGTTTAAATACTTCATTCCCTTCTGTAAGCTCTGCAGTGAGTCCAACTTTGAGTCCGCTGAAAGCGCATGGGCCGCATGGATCGGCATTTTCGTTTGAAGGGGTGGGTATAGGAGCTGGTGATGGGAGTGCAATTAATAGCACGGCAAGTAGCAGAAGGAATAGTGCGGTGTCTGCGGAGAACGTCTTGGAGGTATTGGATAATTCGGCGTGGGGAGAGAGTATCAGGAGGAGTTTTACTATGAGGAGAAGTAGTAAGAGCGCGAAGTAGAGGTTGAGAGGGGTGTGCATATATTGAGGAGAAGAAGAATACATCCATTGTAAAGGATTATGTATGGAGTTGCGGACTTGAGCATACCAAAAGGAAAAGGAGAAGGGTCTGATATGAGTTAGGTATTGGATATATAGGTACTCTGGTTGGGGGATGAGAGGCGTATGGAGGGAGGAGTTTTATTGGAATTGGAATTGGAAGATAGATGGACTTTGATCTTTCTTCTGTTCACTTGTTCACTTTGTTTGTAATATGAGGGGATTGAGATGAGCATATGTTTCCTTCTTGCTTGTATTTGTTTATTTGTGTGTTATAGGAGGGAGGGAAGGAAAGGAAGGGAGAAAAATGCAGTGAGAGGTGGATATATGTTTGCATAGCTTAAGGCGTTGAGCGTTTACTTTTTACCCGTTTGTCTTTTCACCACTGTTTTTTATGATAAATTTTATGGTTGATAAATTGGGGTGGTGCAGGTGGATTGGAGATGGGGAGTGAAAAGGAGTGAGGGGAGTGAGTAAGGGAGTGAATGGGTGGGTATATAGTGTATTGGAATGGATAGATCGATAGACAGATAGATGGGAATGGGAGTATATACATATATATATATATGTGTAAACGATAAATCGAATCGAATTGAATCGAAGTGAAGTGAAGTGAAGTGAGAAAGGAAAAATATTAATTTTTGATGATGTGTTGTGATGTGATGCGAGTAAATGATTTTACGGATTTTATATTGGTGTTGGCCTGAGGGGTTTGGAGATTGATTTATTGATTGAGTGATTGGATGACTAATTTGGGAGCAGTGGCGGAGAGTATAGTAGAGCAGGGGGTAAATCATACATTTTGCGTGATATTCATGGAGGGGAATGTGATTCCTTCTCTGGAGGGGGCTGATATTCAAATCTTAAGTTTCAAGTTTCAATTTTTTTGGTAGAGGAGATTTAATATCTATATTTGTATTGAACTATCTAGGTATCTATAGGTCCCTTTTTTCCTTCTTCGGCAACTATAATGTATTCTTTGTGGATATGGGAGTATTCATATTTATAGGCTTTTCCTTTGAAGGGAGTTTCCTGATGATGAGAAATAGGAATAGAAATCTCGCTTAATGTGCTGGGGTGTTTTCCTAGCCTTTTTTGTGTGTGAGAGAGGGAGAGAGTGGAGGTGGGATTGATCTTAGTAGATATTCCTCAACATCTTATCATTTCATATTACACGCCCCTGACTCCCTCATCTCCTATTTTCATCCACGGCTACCTGATTTCTTGATTCCCATCGCATCGACAACTGAAGAAGCGAAGGGAAGACGAAGCAAAAGGCATCGAAAATAACCCATTCTCTAGAACCAACTTTAAGAATCAGAAAGTGAGAAATGAACAACCACTTAAGATAAAATCGAGCCTTGCGATCCAGACAAACATTGAAGTTGATACTCATACTGAAGACGAGTCAACGAAGGGAGTGAAGCCTCCAGTGCCGCATCTGCATCAAACTCGTATTTCTGAGACCAGGAGTATGCTGTTTGTATTTGTGTTTGTAGAGTAGGAGTAGATGGATATGTATCCGTATTCGTATCTCTATCCCTATCCATCATAGTCGCAAAATCCGGATACTCCGCCTCCGCACGCGGCATTCGCAATTTGAATTTAGGTGTGGGTTTCTCGTCATCATCGTAGAGAGAATCTTCCATATCGAGCGAGGATCTCGCGTCTTCGTTATCATCATCTTCTCTGTCGTTGGGATAGCGATATCGATATATATTCCCATTTGCATTTCCATTTTCGGACATTGTGCTGAGTGGATTTCCAGTGGTAGCATCGGGATTTGTTCTGGGCTTGGGTCGCATGTGCATGTAGGCGAAATCACTTTCTTGGAGGGGTTTTCTGGGCGTGAGAATAAATTCATCGAGGGTATCTTCGATATCTGTTTCTCGATTCGCTTGGTTTTGGCTTTCGAGGTTTGTATCTTTGTCGGAAGAATCGTGACGGTTGTCTGGGTTGGAATTTGCTGCAATTGCGCTTCTCTTCTCTAGAGAGGAATTCGATGAGAACACGGGAGCAATCTCAGTTGAGGATTTTTCCTGTGGTTGCGGCTTGCCGAGTAAATTTTGCATTTGCACTTGCGTCTTCTGCTGGCCCTGTTTTCTCCTCGACGCGAAACGAGAAAAAGAAGAAGAAAAGGAAGACGGAGAAGTAGAAATAGGCGAAGAAGTATAAATCTCCACCATCGAGTCCTGAGACTCAGTATGAATCAATCTATGATGATGTTGATCTTTTTCCCAATATTTACCACAGCTGGGACCTGAGTGCGCGTCAGTAAATACGTCAAATCTATCGTACTTCTCCGTATTATCGTTTTCGGTCTCATCCCCCTCGTCGTCATCTTCATCATTAACTATACCCATGTAATCCTCTGCTCCCACAAGCCTATTGCCATTCTCCTGTCCCGTAGCTTTAGTGACCTCGCTATCGCATTTCGAAAGATGCATACTATCCAGCATCTCCTTACAAGATTGATGTATAGATTTCCAGGTCTTCTGATTCTGCTTCTTTGGGATCATTTTCTCTCTTCCTCTTCCACTTCTGCTCTTGACACCTCCCTGATTTCTATCCCCTGTACCTCTCAAATCTTCAACCCCCTCATTCTCATTCTCATAAGCTCCCTTGATCCGCTCATCACCATATCTCCCACTCCCGCTCCCAAGCCCAAACAACAAACCCCCACCCAATACCTCTCCAAAAGGCGATCCCATCGGCGGCGTATCTGGGCCCATAAACTGCCCCTCTACTCTCGAAATAAGATATTCCGCATGTTGTGTCGATGGTCCAAAAAGTGGATTTGTATCTATATCTCCTACAGCACGATAGGCCAAGGGTTTTGCTGGTTTACCATTGGGACTAGACAATTTGGGGATGGGAGTTGCGGCTGAAATATCATTCGTCTGATTTGAGTGATTGAAGTAGTTTGTATGATCGGCATGAATGATATGATCACGATACTCATCTCTCCCAGACCCAGTCCCATTCCCAACTCCTTCATCCGCACGCGCAACAGATACACTTTTCTTCGAATGAAGGTTTAAATTCTTCAGGGGGAAGTTCGTCGCAAGACCCATGTTCAGATTCGAGAGGAAGGATTTGCTATGAGAGGTATTCCATAGATTGCGCATTTTGGAGGTGAGATTCGAGGGAGGGGTGGGGCTGTTGGGAGCGCTAGAGTAAGAGCGTGAAGATGGTAAGGATTGGGTGGAGGAGGATGAGGAAGAGGGTTGGGGAGGTGGATTATGGAGTGTGAAACTGGGGTTTGTGTTTAATGGCCTTGGTCTTGGTGTCGGTGATGTTGGAAACGATGGTTCGGAAATATCCTTCTGCTCGAAAGGAATCCGGGGATTTTGTCGTGGGGTTTCCGGATTCGCCATGATGTGTTGAGAGATGATATTTAGAAGATGTTGGATGTTGGATTGAATGTAGATAGGTATTTTGTATTTCCTTAATCAATTTGTCGAGTGATGTTTTAGATTCTTGATGTATGTGTGTTTCAAGGTATCTAGAAGTTTCTCAAGAGTGTTGAAGTCGTGAGATGTTGTATTTGATTGATAGATGATCTTGGATATGAGGATGAAGATGAAGATGAGTAGATTTAGAATGAAATCCAAACTCCGAATATGCTTTTCAACACAACGTCAACTCCGAAACTTATATACCTTCCGTTCCCAAACAAAACACTATCTTTCCTACGGCTATACGGTTCTACCTTACAAAAACCCTTAAGAACAGCCGTATATATCTATACAAAATGAAATAGAGAGAACCGATTGTATCCGTGAATCCCCAAGTCCGGTATTACTGTACAGTAAATTTATCGATGACCATCTGTGTTGTCTATATCTGGGTATATGAGATGTAGATAATTAATCACCAAAACATAGCCGTACAGTGATTGGAGTTGCGACTGATTTACTTACTACGGCGTGTCAATCATTCTAGATGAAATTGAGGTAATGTAAAGAGGAGAGAGAAGATATGAGAGGAAATCGATACTTCTTGATACAGCATGGATGACGTACTGAAATAGGTGATTACAGAAATATGTCAGTGAATAATAATAATAATGATCATAATAATAATAGACGACTGATATAAACCGCAGCTGTGCAGTGATTAGAGTTGAGGCTAACTTACTTGCTACGGCGTGATAATCGTTGTAGAAAGGAGAGAGAAGATACGAGAGCGAATCCGTATATCTTGATACAGCATGATAACGTAATTATAGAAACACATCAGTGAATAACAACAAGAACAGCAACTAATATCAACCATAGCTATACAGCGGCTGAAAAAAGCATTCATTTACTCGCTCGCTACAGTACCTACATTGATTCCAACGCCATCTCCAATCACTCCAGGCGAAAATGGAACCAAAAAGTGTGAATGCATTCAAATAAACTCATACGTAAATCTCAAAACAGTATGGATGACATACCTGTACAGATAATCACAAAAACACATCAGTGAATAACAATCACAATCACGACAAAAAACATAACAAAAACCAAACTCAACAACTGACCTTGGAATACAAAACACAAAAAACAGCCATACAGTAACTAGAAAGCACATTAATCCATTCACTCACTCGTTACAGTATCTACACCAATCTCAACACCAATACAATCTCAACAGCAATCTCAACACCTCTCCAACCCCTCTCCACTCACTCCAGAATCCAAAATCCAAAATCCACAATCCATCCAAACAAAAACCAACCCCCCAAAAAGAGTAATAAATCCATCCATCCATCCATCCCAATAAATCCACACACACAAATCCCGAAACCTTACCGCTAATGTAAATCTTGAAAGACGAAGATGCACATGCGTGAACCGTGTGGTTTTGAATTATAAATCATAAATGATATACTATAAAGGGATGAATGATGAATTGCTACTAGGCTTGTATACCTACCTACCTACCTATCTAGATACAAAATTCAATACATCATAATACAACACAGCACAATACCATATAAAGCGAAGCGAAATGAAGCGAGATGACGCGAAGCAAAATAAGTTTGTGAAGTGAGAAATCGCTTATGAGAACCTTGAATGTAGGATATGATACGATATAGTACAATACAAAACAAAATCCTACACAGCCAAGCTATCAACGAGTTAAAAGAAAAGAAAGAAAGAAAGAAAGAAATGAATATTCAAATTGCAGATTATAGATTACAGATTATAGATTACAGATATTATAATCAATCTGCGATTTACTATTTATTAGATATATGTACTAACTCATGCTGTTCTCTCGAGTACCTAGTACACAGATTTCTTGAATAAATTCGATTTGGTTTGATTTGATTTGATTTCGAGTCAAGATTCATTAGTGCGATGAAGTAGGAAACGAGGGAGCGAGAAATCGTACTCACTCGCTAGGTATTTTAATGATCGAATTGAAGATTCTGGATGTGTATGTGTGTATGGGAATATAAATATACAAAAACTTTGTCATAACTAGTAACCCATAATATCAGTATCAGGCAGTGAATGGATTTTGCTCACTATCTCATAAGATACACCACCCCTTCCCCTCAAATTGATCCCCCACCACACTTCCCCCCACACCTCCCCACCCTCTCCCAATGCACCAAATGACCCCTAACTGTCCTCACCCACCCAGCATAGATTATCGTACTTCCACCCACCGCTATCAAACTCACCAGGGCTACCCACCCAAATTGATCTGGTCTAGACCAAATAATCGCCATTACATAATTCCCCAATTCAAATAGTGCTACGAGGGAGTATTCGCAGCCGGCAAAGGAGGAGCGCTGAGTAGGTGCGATGAGGGTTTGGCTTAGTTGTTGAGTGGTGAGATCGAAGATCCAGAGACCGAGACGGGAGAGAGAGAGGGTAGCGAAGAGGAAGAGAGCGAGAAGGGGAGAACTGGGGGAGAGGGGGGGATGATGCGGGAGAGGAGAGGAGTGCTGGGGATAGAGGTGGAAGTGGAGAGGATCCAAAGGATGAGAGTTACCGGGATCTGGTATTTGTTTAGTATGTGGATGTGTGTAGATAATCGAGAGGGGGGATACATACGAGATTTATAAATTGCCATGAAAGACCCCAAAGACCTAATCGTTCCAATCCAGTAGTGATTCTTCCCGATTCATCGATTTCGCCTTCTCCCTGTAACAAAACTTCGTCCGAATCATTGGATCCGTGTAAACGATCATATGGACCATGACCATGAGCCTTTGAAAGATGTCGAACTCCAAAGGGTGTTACAACCGTGCTACTAATTTCCACCACACTTCCCGCTGCTCGAGCGAGCGTAATAAGATCCAACGAAAATCCCGCATTCAATAAGAAAGTGATAAACGTGGCACCATACGAGAGTGCAGAGAAATGAAGTAAAGAGAGCGACATTGAAGGAATCCAAACTTTGGACGAAAAATAATTCCTAAAGTCTTCCTTGTGCAAACGAAGCCCTCGCATGAATTTCTCCCTCACACTTCGCACCTCGACATCCGATACCACTTCATCATTTCTCACCTCTTTCCGTCTTTGTAATCGAGCGTTAGACCTCCATACTCTCCTCGCAGACCACATTTCCAATCCCCAACTCGCAGCACTCATCCCACCTACAACAATCACCCCAATTTTTATTCCCAGTCTCGAAATGAGGAATGAGATTAATATCGGCGCGAGGAGTTTACAACTCAAATCGATTCTTCTCATCGAAGAATTCAAATGCGTGAGATCATATTGATTCCCTGCCGGTGCCGCAGCAACAACCACCCAATCTCTTTCCATTGATAGCATATTCCCATTCGCGCTCAATGCTTCCAAAATACCAAATCCAAGAATTGGCAAGAACATGACAATTTTCATGGTATCTCTGAGTGTAACATCATCTTTCCTAGATTGGAGTAAAGGTACACCATTTTCAGGATTATTCTCCGATTCAACCACGAAAAACCATAATATAGAAGCGCAAATCACCGCGATTCTATTAATCGTAATCGTCGTCAAAAGAGTCTTCAGTCGGTCTGGACTTTGATCAACCCATCTCCCTACAGTGGAAGAGAAACAAATAGATGCTAAAGTCCTCACAATACCACTATTGAAATCCAAATCAGTTTAATCAGTATATATTGATCACGTGATCTTTCTCTCTTCACCTCCTTGTTCCACATCCGACTCGTGCGAGGAGGAGAAAACATACCGAATAGAAGCAGCAACCAATGTATCAGGCCATGCACTTGCCGTGAAGATAATCTATCGGAAAATCATCAGTATCGTCCATCAATCCAGACTCTCCATCGCATAACATAACTCACAGCCGCGAATTCATAACTCCTTCCATTCCAGGTGGATAAAAAATGACTCAGATAAAGAGCCCAAGCTTGTGTTTTATTCAAGTTCATTTCCACTTCCATTTCCATTTCCATTTCCACATTCATTTCCGTCTGCATCACTTCTTGCTCAGCCCCATTCGATATCAAAGCGTCTTCCTCATCCTCATCGTACCCATCCCCATCATCTGAGACTGAATCCGAACCCGCGTCTAGATGCAAACGCGAGTCCAAATTCTGCGCACGCGAAGCTATCTGAATCCCTCCAGTTCTATTTTCATCTACCGCTTCGGCGTGGGTTGAACAATGCTCTCCAACTATGACCATATCTAGAGTTGGAAGATTTGTAATGATATATTATTAAACATTCGTTAATGAAAAGTAGTATATCATATCAATCACCTACTGATAGATGGCGATTGTCAGAGTGAACAAGGTAAATGTTTTGAAGCGATTTTGAGTACAAAAGAGCGAATTTGATGAGATCAATCATTTCTCAACAAGTTCAAAATTGATGTTCACGTGACTATGTGGATATTATGACATGTGTAGAATTCATTCTCAATATGGCAGATCAAATTGGAAAATAGGACTGAAGGAAAATCTAGACTTTGATCCTATTGTCATTCATTCTGACGATTCTCTTGGTAGATACACGTGGATAAGCTCGACACAATGTTCTATACCAATCAAAAGTATCATAGTATGAAGATATATACCTAATCATGCGTACAGTTATATAATTTGCTCATTCCTACCTACTCATATGCCCTCTCCCCAACGACTCAGCCTCATCATCCAATTCCAATATCAAAGCTTCTCTTCTGGACCCTCCGTTCTCACACTCGGTCCATAAGCTCTCCATATCTTTATCCATTCCCTTTCCATATCCGTATCCATTCCCTTTCCATTTCCATGTCCCAATCTTTTTCCTTTCCCTCTCCCCTCCGTGCCATTCCCATCCACCCCTCCATCCATCCCTCGCACAATGGCAACATCCGAGCACCGACTCTTCCCTCCCATCCGAACCCAATCGTACAGAGTACATACCCCCTCTGCTACTATTTTAAGAATCTCGTCTCCGAGGACTCCGTATAAAGTCTACATCAATAGAGATAAAAATAAAAATAAAAATAAGATGAACCCTCGGGTAGGTAGGTAGGTAGGGAGGTAGATAGCCACAGACAAGACAAGACAAGGTGCGGCAAGCTACGAGAAAAAGTCAAGTCAAACGCAGATACCAATTCTGTGCCCCTGTCTTTCTTCCCCTTCCCTTCCACTTCTCCCCATACCAATACTGTACTCAGTGTGCTGAGCCTCCTTCCGAGGAACCGAACCGAACACTGAATGAACTCGCGAAATACGTACGTAGAAAAACCCTTCGCTCACGTGCTTTAATTATTTCCCCTCTTATCCACTTACTAGGGAGGTAGGTATCTATCCACAGTATATAATTTCCGATTCAAATACATGATACATACAACCTTGCTTGACTACTAAGGAAGGAGGTAAGTGAGTAAGTAAGTAGGTGAGTAAGTGAGTGAATAATCTGAATGTCCCTGATTCCATGGTTCATACAACACCCTTAATAAATGCTCCATCTCAACCTCAATTTCCAATATCAACGAGCTTCTCAAAATCTCAATACATACCCAGCTCAAGATATCACATACAGTGACATACTCTACACATCTCATCCGTCTATAATCAACTATCCTTCGAGTCAAATTCCTCCCTCTACTCACACACTACTTTACCCAGATACCTAGGCTCCGAGATATACAAATAGATAAATAAATCAGTTTCATCGCTCCCTATTCGAAACTCCTCTCTTTCCTCATGTTATCACAAACCTACCTACCCAGATACCTATCCCTCTACAAAATACAAAATACAAAATACAAAACACAAAATACAAAATACCAATCTCCGCCCTCCGTTCCATTCCCTTCCCTTCCGCTTTCTCCATCCGCGTCAGTGGGCTGACTGACTGACTGACTGACTGACTGACTGGCATCTATTTTACATCTATCAATCAAACATGTCGATACTTAACGATACAAATCGTGTTTATTTCCCATTTTGTATATCTGAATTCTCTCTTCCCTACGAAGTAAAATACGATACGATGTGATACGATACGATACGACTAAAACAAAATAAAATAAAGTAATTCACAATCGATCCACCAAAAAGTCCCTGATAATTAATAGTAATAAAAGAGAGAGCGCAGAAGATCCACTGCCTCACTGGTGATCCCTCGCTCACCTCGCGGGAATAGCGGTTGCGGTTGCGGTTGTTTTGGGTGGATGAATATGGGATGGTGATTATGTGTGGATTTGGGAATGTATGTGTGTATCGAGAATTGAGGATGGAGATTGGAGATTGGAGATTGGAGATTTGAGATTTGAGGATGGAGAATGGAAAATTCAGAATAGAGTTTCTTCATACTGATATTCATACTGTTCTTCATACTGATACTGATACTAATATCAATAATCCAAACTATGAAATAAAAAATAAAAAATAAAAAATTATATACATTTTAGACATAGACACAGATAACTATAGATACAGATATTTAATATGTGAAGATTAACCATTAACCATTAACAATTAACAATTAACAATTAATAATTAATAATTGGCGATCTGATCACTTACACAACTTACCCAGATATGTATCCATCTTTGTAATATTAGAAGAGTAACCTCACAAGACAGATGGGAGAAGTATGCATCTGCGAAGTCACCCTCACGAACAGAATACGTATCGAAAGAGAGATAGATACAAGAAGAAGAGATGTGGGGAATGTTTGTATTGTGTTTTTTCATATTGTATTGTGTTGTATTCTCTTCTATTCAATAGCATCCATCCATCCGTCCATCAGTTTTCATGAAGCAAGAAAAGACTACCTTATTACAATATGACTATTTCCTTCCTTCAAAAAAAAAAAAACATCATCAACGACTAAAAGTCTCAAACCACCAATTTTGTATATGAAAAGTTGGAAAGAATCGATCGTGAGAAACAAATCCATCCATCCATCCATCCATTTCTCCATCCATCTGGAAACCAACGCCCCAAATCCATATATTCAAGAACAAGAAGAAGAAGAAGAAGAAGAATCAAAATCCTCCTCAAGACCATTTCTCCATTTCTCCATCCGTTTGTAATCATTCATAAACGCCGTAGAGGAATGAAATTGAAGACCTCTCACAATCAATCCCATGTACCCCGTCCCATTCCGCTTTGCTTTGCTTCCTTTTCATTCGTATCCACATCCATCATCTTCAACCGCCAACCCTTACTTGATCAACTCTACTCCCTATCCCATCCCATCCTCTAAAATCTCCCTAATCTCTCCTCCATGCCTCCCCAGTAAACAATCGGTCTGGGTTCCATAATCTCCAATCCACTTCCGAAACTCTTCTTTTCCTCTTCCAGATCTTGCATCGAGGGTTGACGATGCATGATGGAATTGATGGTGTTGATGGGACTGTGGGAGGATTGAGAGGTGTATGAGTCTCGGCTTGTGGATGTGGTGGAGTTGATGGAGGAAGGCGATGAGGAACGACGGAAGGATCCGCGAATGCTGGAGATGGAGAATGAACGCATGATTGTGGTTGGTTTTGAGTAGTGTAGTGTGGTGTAGTGTAATGTGATATGATTGGTTGATAGTTGAGATGAGTCGAGTATGTGATTTGTGTATCGAGAGTTGAGTCGAGTATATGACTTGTGTGTCGAAGAGACGAAGAAGTTATTAGGATAGATAGATATAGTATTACTTTCGAGTGGTCTTTGATAACGAAAGTAGCAGTTGGTAATGTGATTGATCGAGAGATAAATATATCCCGGGCACAGCCTTTGAGATATAACAACGAGTGACGAATAACTTTCTCAAGTGGATAAGATAATTTTGATCACAGATAGATCTCGACCTTTCACTAAACTTCTCGACGGATGCAAAGATAGAAAGAACACGACGACGTGGAACAGCAGATGCTCCAGTTCTTAACTGAAATGGCGAGATGGTCTCAAAGGGAAGTGTCCCATGTGGTACGTCCTGTGAGGCCTAGGTAGTATTTCTGATACACGCATGGAGCTCCGTTCTGTTATGCAATGTAATGCGATACGGATCCACTGTAAAGGGAAATCCTGATATTGATTGAGAATGCCCAGGATCAGGTTAGATGCATTTATCCTTTTTCTCCACTGTGTACGGAGTAAGGAAGTGGAATACCTTGGCACATGGTCTTGTGTGACTGGTTTGTGTGAGGCATGGAAATCTCTAGAAATAGAATCATGACCATACGTATACGGACTCCGACTCAGATGGAGAATTAAAGTATTGAATATTTGTCGGGAAGATGAAGAGGGGCAAGTGTGAATGAAATGATCCACGCATGTTGAATTGCAAGGGGATGCCATTCGATGAACCAGGGGCTCCATTTGTATTGTGTAAGGGTCTTGATGTTAATGCATCCGATATACTTCAGACACGCTTCATTTATGCCATCATTACTTGATATGAATGTGATGTGAATGTAATGTGAATGTAATGTGAATGTAATGTGAATATCTATCTATCTATCTACCTATCTACACAGTCACATAGGATGAGTAAGAGAATGCAATAATCGATAATCGACCATCAATATATTGGATGTAGATGAGATAAGGTATGTGTGTCCATAGATCCATACAATATGTGTCGTCAAGTTGTTTCTCCCAGAAACACAACCGAAAACCATGTTACAGCAATTGTCTGGAGGTCTGGAGAAGGTCAAACTTTGAATTGAAGGCCAAACTTTGAAGACCGCACGCATGACACATGCTGAATCTTTTCCCCGGGTAATGTATAATAAACTTTTTGGGTCATGTATACCACAAACTTTTCTCGATTGAGTTTTATGGTGTCTGTCTATCTGTCTGTCTATCTGTCTGTCTGTTTGTTTGGCTGTCTATTTATTGCACTGCAGCTATGTACCTAGTATTGTTCTATACGTGCTCCCAAATGTAGGTACTCTGTATAAAATGTACCTGTATAATATGTACTCTGTATAATATGTACCTGTATAATATGTACCTGTATAATATGTACTCTGTATAATATGTACCTGCAGAAAGAATCAACCCAAACAATTGGATATCCTCTCCCTCAAATCTTTCCATCCAATTACCTACAGAAGAATCAATGTGCCAAAAAGGTACCAACGACAACCTCGGGACATACGAAAAAAGAATCAATCAATCCCCTGCACAACTACCTGGTAAAAAAACGAAAGCATTGAAGATGATGCGATGCAAAGTGTGATGAAATTGGTATCAATACGAAGGACTCAAGCTCAAGCTCAAGCTCAAGGAAGTGAGTTGATTACGCTTTGATGACACCAGTTCTTACGAAACCCCCTTCGCCACCGGGTCATTAGGCCTGATGTGGAATATCTGGAATATTCTCAAACTTCACGCTCAAACTTTGATAAGTGATCTGAACGAACCAACTGGATAGTTGATGATGATGATGGTGATGATGATAAAAATAACCTTGGAAATTGCATCGTTGCAGTAGTTGGTGGATTGTTGGAAAAAGAAAATATTATGAAAATGGTTGATATTCCTTACTCCGGCATTTATTCCTCGTTTGTGAACATTAAATCTTCTCATGAGAGATTGAATAAACTTTACGATCATCAACATCATCAGCATCATCAACATCATCAACACAACCATCCCATTCATTCTCCAAAAGAAAGAACGAAATGAAACGAAACCTAACCTACCGGTACCTACCAAGCCGTTCCCCCTCCCACGCCTCCACGTAACACGTCAAACGGCATTCTGCATTCATTCCGCATACTTCGTAGACTTTGTCGATTCCACATCTCTGCATAGAAACCCCCCAAAGATCTAGAAGCCTCTGCTTTTCCACGCCCCATATTTTCTCTCCTCCTCCATCCAGTCTGCAAGTTCCCCGTTATGTTTATTTTTCTCATGACGAGTCCATCAGACTTGCACCAGTTAGAATTCTAGACCTGCCTTTCTGAGTTTTGCTTGGTCAATCGGTATGGAGAACAACACATACATACAGAGTATCTGCAGGGAATTCTCCATCTGAGTTCTCTGTTCTGTTTGCGTACGCGGTATGGAGTTTCTATGGAGTTTCTATGGAGTTTCTATGGATGGATGGGTGAATAGATGGATGGAGCGACAAATGTATGGTCTGGAATCCTCCAGAGAATCTGTACATGCAATGCGGAAACACTTCATTCAATCAATCAATCATCCATCCATTCATTCGTTCACATTCCCACTTATAAGTACTCCGTAATACATTACTCATTCATCTACTAGGTATAACATGTAACAAACATACATCACGAGATTCCCACACACAAATTCGGTTTCAATCCTGAAACGGAGCTGCTACAGTCCAGAGTCTACCGGTATACTCTTACGGGGTAGCCGAGTACGGATGGATGGGGAGATAGATACACACAGATGATATATGGAGTACTGGTACGTGCGAATGGATTGATACATCAACACAACACACATACGATATACTACGAGGATGCAGTAAGGAAAATAACATAACTCGGTGTTGCCGGTTTCTGTTTTTGTTTTTGCGGCAATTGACATTGAAATGGGAACTGATAGTCGGGTTTTCCTTATATCTTGTATCCTTACATTAATCCCATACATTCTCAAACTCCTGCGCTCCTCTCTCATCAATCCTACAGGTATTCTTCCACACCATGCCTTACCAACCCAACACACACAACACGCACAACACAACACAATACAACACCCCGTTAAATAAATAAAAATCAGATCAGCACACACCTACCCGTGCTCTGTACATCAAACCATCCCATACAATCACATTTACATCCCATCACATAATATCATATCTTTATCCCTCTCCCCTCCCCTTCCCCCCCTCCCTCTCATCGCATCGCATCGTGTGCTCCGTTATCATGTCATCTCACCATACCATGCCATACCAGTATCAGATTTACATCATATATCAGAAATTCCATATCAAACATTATGATAAATGAAGATCCTCCTTTTCTGTCCCCTGAGGTTATTCTTACAATTACATTCACACTTACCTACCCCTCACGCTTTCCAAACACCGTTTTTCCCTCACCCCCGTCCATCTACCTAGGTATCTCCTCCTTCTAACCCTCGGGGAAAATATCGCTTACCTAAGGTTATGGTTAATTGACCTAGCTCCTGGGTATTGTACCGATGTCAATGTCATCACGATCATCATCCTCCTTCTACCCATCCAACATCTCAAACCTCAGATCTCAAACCCCAAACCCCATTCATCCACCCATCCACCACAAATCACAAACCATAAAAAAATCCCATCTCCCATCTCGAGCTCCCACAACCTACTAGAAAAAAATAAAATATCCTCGGCCCCCCTCGTCTAGACCACCACTCTAGCTTTCCATCTAGCTTTCCATACATACCTACTACCTACCTACCTAGATATACTTCCTCAATTCACTTCGTACATTTAAGTTCACTACAATACGATATCAACACAATATCCAATAATCCATACCATACCTAGTAATTACCCCTCCTTCCTCTCCCTCTCTCCCCCTCTTTTGCTCCAAGAAGAAAAAAGCCAAAAAATAAAAACTCAAATTGATGCATAGTTTCCTTGCTTTAATACTATCCTCGAGTAGAGGAGAGTAACCTCGAATAGATTAGATTGAGTTGGATTAGATTAAATAGAAACAATAAGTTTGATTAGAAACATGTTCTAGTTTTATTTCGAAAGATTTGGATGGGATATATATATATATGTGATACATGTATGTATGTATGTATGTATGTATGTATGTATGTATGTATGTATGTATGTATGTATGTATGTATGTATGTATGTATGTATGTATGTATGTATGTATGTATGTATGTATGTATGTATGTATGTATGTATGTATGTATGTATGTATGTATGTATGTATGTATGTATGTATGTATGTATGTATGTATGTATGTATGTATGTATGTATGTATACTTGGTGAATACGTCGGTAGTAAGTAAGTAGGTGGTAGATAGATACACACGTACGTACGTACGTAGCAGTGTGCTATCGAGTCATGAATTCTCTTTCCTCTCATCGATTCTGAGTATCTGAATATGAGACGGTGGATCACATCAGCCAGCTGCAAGATGAAAGAAATATCATTTCATTTCATGTTATTACATATCCACCCGGCCAATCTCATCGAAATCTGGAATCAAAAATTTCAGTGATGATTTATCCATCTATCTGTCCATCTATCTATATATCACTTTACTAAATAAATAATTTTTACCTCTTCCTCTGCATCTTCCTCTCCATCTTCCTCTCCACCCCCACCTTCCTCGGTACCCTCGCCATCCAATAAAGCCCCAACGCGCCCCCAACATTCACACCACTATACACCCACGAAATCGCCAGATCTCTCCCGCGATGCGCGTAAAACACGCCTACGCTTACTAACAACATATTTGTATTTCCTACCGGACAAATATCGCAGGTTGTGAAACTTCCTGGGGTGAGTAGATGGGCGGCGGAGGTCTGTAGATAGGATGAGAGATATGGGGCGCAGGTGAGAGGGGAGGAGGGACGATGTGGAGGAGCTCGTGGGAGGCGCAGGTGATGTTTACTCCTGAGATACCGGTGGAGAGGAGGGAGGAAGCGAGGTAGGTGACGGGGGTGCTGCGGTACACGAACGTCCTGAATTTGGGGAGCGAGGTGATTGGTGCTAGGATTCTGGTTTGGGGGTTCTTTCGTCAGTGCTGTTGTTTTGTTCATGGAGTGGGAGTGGGAGGGATGCCGTGTACTTGTCTGCAAAAGATCAGAGATGAGGTGTAGAGAAGTGCAGAGATATTAACGCCGGTGGCGGGATCGGGCATCATGGTCCCCAGCATTTGTGAAAAGGGTGAGGAGAAGAGGAAGAATGACACGTGGATTAGAGACATTAATGTTCCCCTCGAGCTTAGAGATCTAGTCGTAAGAGTATACCTGCATATCTTAATTGGATAGTACCACGTTACAAACTGGATGGCAGCGAGGAAAAATATACCGGGGAGCTCGGCGATCATATTTGATAGGACGAATACGATCCAGGAGTATGTTCGCGAGGAGCGTTCGCGTGCCTCGTAGAGGGTGCGACTATCCATGAAATGGGATAGGGTTATTTGTACGAGATTTCCGTGAAGGGTGAGAAGGAGGAAGGTGGAGAAGATTTGGTTCTGGACTCCTTGAATACTTGTCTGTGAGTTGTGGAATCAGAATCCATTGATGCGTCCCTGGAATTTATTAGTGACTGAAGTGAAGTCTCACAATGGATTGATACTTACTGCTCCAAGGGTTATGAAAAACTTGGAATATAAATAGGCTGGAGTTCGCCAGTCAAGCTCAAAGTTCCTTTTAGTTACGATGTACAACTGGTCGAGGAAAGATGTCGCAAATTCGTTCGACGAAGATTCATTACCTAGATCATGTGAATAGGAAAGTTCACGCTTCATCTTGACCAGGTCTTTCCTGATGAGTTTTCTTTCCTCCGAGGTACTCCAAATATCAGTCCAAGAGACAGCTGACTTGTCGACAACTTCGAGTAATCACACCGCGGGATTTTCGTCAACTCCACATTCTCGAGATCCATGACGTTGGAAGTAATCAATCAAGGTTCGCGAATGCTGTCCAAGTTCTCCAAGATATGCAGGTTTTCCTTCGTGGAGAACTAGAAGCCGGTCGAACATCTCGAATAATATTCCGGATGGTTGATGAATGGTATGGAAAATTCAAAGTTGCTTCAGTATACCTAGGTAAGCAAAGCAATCCCGTAGGCCGACGATTGGTCCTAACTGGCAGTAGGTTTCACCAAAAAAGAAAGATGAATCACTTTGCAGGGTGCATCTAACAGGTAGTCCTGTCATATATGCAGTTATCCCATTTATCCCAACACTACCGAGGTCCCTATTGTAACCCGAAATTGAATAAATGTTCTAACTTGAACAAGTAATAATTTCTCCATCCAACAAACAAATGAACAAGAGAAAAAATATTTTCAAATTAAGTCATTAATACTTGACGAAGGTTAGCTCGTTCAAGCTTACTTCTATTCCATACCTCGATTCAGCCACTCTCCTGCGTTTAGGCTGGTTAAAGTTTGAAAGTATACACCTGCAACAAGTGCACAGGTGTAAGCTTACCAGCGAGAGCCTTTGTTATAGCCTTGTCAAGTTTTTATATGTACTCCTGTCTTGATGAGTTAAGCATATTCAGTTTTCTATATATATATTGGAGCATCAGTCCCTCTGTTAAAGCCAAGTCATTCTTCGGTCTACGCTTCATGATATCTGATACCATTGGAAACGTGCTGAATCTGTTCTCGCCGGTCCACAACACTTCCATTATTCTTCAGGGTCCTTCGTCATCTCTATCTTTGCTATCTTCCTTGGAAACTCCGACTTGGCCGTCAAGATCATCCAATGCTTACCTTTTTCTGGTGTCTTTGAACCAGTCCTCTATAACACATCAGATACTTTTATACCTCAGTATTCTTTCACTTCCTTTCTTGGCCTGCTATTTGAAAACATCGCAGTTGTCGTAGCTCAGTGCTCGGATACTGCTCCTATTAGAGAACCTCTTACTGTTCCTTACATGATTCCATTCTTCGGGCGAACAGTTGACTCGACTATTAACATTCAAAAGTTCTTCCATGGGTTGAAGTAAGTTCAATGATCCTTTCATTAAAATCAACATGCTCACTCATGTGTCTAAGCGACCAAACTGTCTATGGGGCCAAGATATTTGGGTACAAGGTTTTCTTTATCCAAGGCCCTGAGATGATCTTAGCTCTCTGGAAAATCAAAGTCTGGAAGGTTAAATTCGTATTATAATAATTTAATAATGTTATTATAATGCGAATTTAACCTTCCAGACAAAGAAACAATCACAGCGCCAGTTTATCAAGTATGAGTCTTGAACAAAATATTTCGAATGAACCCAAAAGCTGTACAAGCTTATGTTTTGGACGAATCGGGTCTCAACGCAAAGACTCATCCACAAAGCAATATATCAACCCATAATCGCGTCGACTTTATCACTCATGTTGGGTTTCTGCGATTACTGACTAGAGATGGACTTTCTGGACTCTATAGACGATGTTCATTAGAGTTCTCCTACAAAATTCAAGTTCTTGGAATTGGGCAGGAATGGGCCGAGCATACTGATATCATGAAATTCTGGGAGTTGCCATTGATAGCGTCGATGAACAGGGCCATAGCAGGTCCACTCCTCGAAGCCATAAATCCCGATTTCACTGAAGATTTTCTCGAGTTCCTTCCATATGCTTACCAACTTGTGAAATCTTTCCCTCCTTGGTTGATCCCTAGGGCTTATAGTATTCGCAAAAAGCTTGTTGCCACCGTGAAATCATGGCACAGTATCGCAAGATCTCAGTTCGAAGATCATTATGTTGATGCTGATGGTGATGCTGATCCATGGCGGGGCTCACGATGCATACGAGAGCGGCAGGATTACCTATCCAAGGTAGACGATTGGGACTACGATTCAATGGCTGTATCGGATTTTGGTCTCTTATGGGGGTAGGTCAAATCCACCTTACCTTCAACAACAGACATAACTGACTGTTTTATCAGCGCAAGCATCAATGTGCACAAGGCAGCAGTATGGGCTGTCATAGAAATATTCAAAGATCCAGCTTTGCTTTCCCGTGTTCGGAAAGAACTACAAGGAGCTTCTTTTGATCCTGAATCTCTTGCATCACCCCATTTTATTCATAAACTAATTCAGATTCCGCTATTACAATCGATTTATGCAGAAGTCAATTCGCCTGCATGTAGAAGTTTAACACGTTCTCTATAGCCATCATTCACCGGTGTATGTGAATCAGTGGATTTTTCCTAAAAAGACTCCTATTCTGGTACCTTGTGGCCCGGCACATCATGATGCCAAAGTGTGGAACACGAGAAATGGCGAGTTCCCACTGGATACTTTCTGGGCGGATCGGTTCTTACTATACCCAGAGGACGCTGTGAGCGGACCTATGATCACAACCCCGTCATCTAATGGCGTTTCACAATTCATGTCATCTTCCCATCAAAAGAATTCCTCGAAGCCCATCTACTGCGAGTCCGTTATGCGGAGTTCTTTCATCGGGTACGGCGTAGGAGAGAGAACTTGTCCGGGACGTATCTTGGCTAAACGTGAGATCATCGCAGTTTTTGCAAGAATTGTGCAACAATATGACATTGAGCTGTTGACAGAAGAAAAGCATTTCAAACATAGTATGGCATTTTATAGATTTGGTACTCAAGCCCCAAAGAACAAGATACCTCTTAGAATTAAGAGAAGAGGACGTTAAATGGGTAGGAAAATTCGCATAGAAGATCTCTGAGGAGCCACGCTACTGTCACTTACTATTTGTACATTAGACCATGAGTCTACGGGGAGGTTAGGCTGATTTTTGCTACAAGTTTTCTGATAGAAAATGATAAACTTGATCGAGTCGGTCAAAATAGAATAACTTAAAGTTGATATGCCATGTCATCGCTCCAACATTGAAATTTCTTCATGGTTGACCTGAAAAGTGGACAATTGGCTGGAACCTTTGTATATTGCGCTGGAGTTGAATGTAGCTCACCGCAAAATTCATGGAAAACTTCTTAATGTGGTTCTCATTTCTGACTGTGCTATGTATACAATAACAAAAAGACTAACGCGGCGACAAAGTGGCATGAGTATCTAGAAGACCACCTCCAAATATACTGCTGAATGGGACCAAAAGTTTCTGCGTTCTATATTTTTCATTTTGAATCTCGCCGATCATCTTCTCATACACTCCTTTGATAACCTTAACTAAATCTAGACCATATCACGATCTGTAAAGGGTGGATGTGACTCTTGCATTCCAGCCTATTTCTCATTAACCACTAGTCACAAGTTCAAGGAAGTCTTATTTACCCTTTCACTCGTGGTCCAGATCTTATGCTGAACCGTAATGCTCTGCTGTTGTTCATTCAAAGGCCATCCATCTTCTTCCTGTTCCACGGGGCTTTTGATGACTTGGCTTACCCTCAATGCGCTGCTCCTTCCGTTAATGAAGGTTCTGATACCCGTTATTATACCTCTCTCGATTACTGGCAGCGCCATCATCCCATGCATTTCATGACATGCACTTGCGGAATCAATAGCACCGCTCGCCTCGCTAGTGCGTCTCGTTCGCCACTTTTTGGGAGTTGCGATCAGCCGCAATAATACTTTTGTTCTACTGAAAATCTTGCTGCTGTATACGGGAGGCTGGGGTCCCATTACTTTCTGGTTGCGAGAGACAAACAAAGCACGGAAGGCAGTACCGGTGATCAAAATTAGACCGACTTCGCCAGCGACAATAAGCCATTAGACTTCCCATGCGCTGTCAAAGCTAGATTTGGCGCGAAGGCCTGAGACACGAATGATGGTCAAAACGATCATGTCAATTGTGAGGCAGAGTGAGAAACCGAGAGCGATCTTCTGTGTCTAGCGAATTTTGATATGCCAAATCAAGCGGACAGGAATTACAAGAACTGAAAATTTAGTACTTAAAGTATGTGGTTAGAATATTTTTCTTACTGATAAGGTCTGAAAAGATATCTAGGGCCATTTGAGAGACTGCATAGTTGATAACAACTTGCGCCTTGGCTCCTTGGCCACATTGTACTGTATTCAGTAAATCAGCAAGTATCCTAGAGGTGGCAGCAAGGGGACTCACAAGCTTGAGGATTGTTGTAATGCGGGCAAGTCAAAATGTATATCGCCATTCCATATCCCGCAATTATCAAGTTAAGCACAAAAACCACCCACCAATAGCGAGTCATACTCTTGATTCTATCAATCAATTTATTGAAGGAGAAAAGAAAGCTAAACGTGACGCTCACTATTGCGCCCCAAGCACACATCAGGCTTATTGTCGAACGCTTCGAATAATCATAAACGCGCTGAACAAAACCCTTGGGAAGTTGGGTGTGTATCTCAGATGTTCCCAGTATCAAGGCTTCGGTCATAAAGAGGTTGTCAATATAATTGAAAAGGAGACCAATTGATGCTGTGATGCAGAGGATGCCGACTATAATGAGAGCATCGTCTATGGCAAACTGTTTTTGAATCCGAATGCGTATGTAGAATCGAATGAGAGCAGCAGTGATTGCGAGTGTGTAGAGTGCTAGGGTTGACGCCTTTTCCATCAGCTTGTGTTCAGTTCAGACGAAGGGGTAAACTTACGAACAACTCTTGCTTATGGACCCGTCTCATATGATCAAATTGCGATAGACCCATCTCGAAAGCCGTCGTTCAAAGCCTTGAAACTGTCAGAGGAGTTGCTAAAATATTGGCTTCTCAGATCTTCAGAGACCTTTACGTTATGTGAGTAGGATGATGGGAGAATATGGACATAACTGATGCTCACATTTTCCTTCCTGTTGGCATCACCAAAACGCCATACGTTATGGAGTCTACATTGGCTCTTCATATTTTGCATCAAAGCCAAATCTATGTCCACTCTAAGTGTGTTAGGGGCTGACGGTCGTCACCGAGTACTAACGATAAAATGACCGTTGTGGCGACTCAGACCATCTATCATATCTTGGTACATAGAAAAGAGTGTGCAGCAAGTACCTAGAGATTTCTTCATTTTTCATGTACCCCGTTGCACGCTAACAGGATAATTTTATCCAAACTCTCCTCCTCCAGTCTTGTCTATGAGCCACGCTGCAGGTCTGCAGTGAAGATAGTTCTGGAAACAATCCATGACTCCACCTCACTGACAATTTTCTGACACCCACCAACTTTTTGGTCAAACCAGGCATTAGTTCGTGTATGCACTCTGCAACACACTTGCTTTATCAGTTCTCACTCATTAATACTTCAAAATCAATACGTCCAGATCAGTTCTCTTGTTTTACACACCAGAAACTTTTTAGGCTACCTAGGTAGGTAAGCTAAAGTTCATCTTAATAAAAAAGTGAATATAATCACAGGTACATTTACGCCTCATTAGCGCGTCCAAATAGGTATAAATTTCGAGGCACTTGACATGAGTTGTTAATATCTTAAGTGTCGAAACACTAAAGAAATTTTTGTGATGGGTGTAGTGTCGTTGGCAGAAAAATACTTCTTCTATACCCCTACCAAGAAATTGCTTTTCTGCTCATTTTTCCGTCAAAGAATGAGGTGTGTCTACCCCAATAAAGAATAATTATAAGTGCCACACTAGAGTGCTAAATGGCTATACTAACGTTCAAAACCGATCAGCCGCGAACTTCGAACGCATAACCGTAGTAGCTGGCTCGACTTTTCAACAATCAGCAAGCAATCTGAATTTTGCGAGGGAAGAATTGGATGTTCAGCTGAGTTGGGGTATCAGCACAAATGAGCACAATGTGTTCCATGGCTATGGGCTGAAGTGGTTAACTCGGCGATACCCCCGTTCTTTGGAGCTCATTGAGAATGCCATGATGAGGACACTTAAAGTCAGGAAGTCGTGACGATGAATAGCAATCTTCAATCTTGACGGGTAGTTGGTAAAATCAATGTAGATGAGATGGCTATTAGTAGAGGAAAATGAAGACCATGAATCACAACGCTGTGCTTATGTGTTACCGGAAATTCTTTATGTGTAAACATCGAGTATTTTGCTTATGTTCAAAACTTTCCATGTATGTTTGTATAGTTTTTATTCACAACCATTGACCTCACAGGTGGATATCACTCTTTAATTGAAGCTGGTGATGTCAAGTTAGAATAGAGTACATATGGCACACATAAAACATATGCTCAATTTCGCGACGTAGTTGAATTGTGCCATAACTACCTAATGGAAATAATCGATGTGACAAGTTCTCTTTATGACTCTGAGCTATGTTCTTGGGTTACCTCCAACTCTATTTCGAGTGTGTGCTTGCTGAGTTTCTGCTCCCTTTTCAAAGGAGATTCAACACTAGAATGGCAAAAATGGCTCCACCAGCCTGAAGTCTAGATTGGGGTTGCTGATTCTCTGCCCCAGCGGACAGTGAGGTAGTGGCATCAGTTGAATTTGCAACCAAAGAAGTGGTAGCTAATCAAAATAAGTTGTTGCACGTCGTAAATATCAGAAATCTGTATTGGGTGGTCTTACATGGACTTGCGCTCGCTGTTCTGGCACCTGTGGTGGGAATGACGCTCGAAGCAGAGGGAGCCCCACTACTAGATGAGGGACAAGATGGAAGTGTACTGGCGATGGAGATCCCCACCCTGTGAATGTCTATGAGTAAGAATTCCTTGTAAAGTGGAAGTGTGTGCACTTACCCCGAGCACAAATTCACCGCAAACGAGATGACCGCTACGCAGCATGTTAGAAATTTTGCCACTTAAAGAATCATTGAATATGTTACATGCAATTAAAATCGGCTGTATTGCATTTGGACAACGAACAGCAACCAACGTTTTGAGAGAATGAACTGTCAGCGCAGATTCAGCTAATATCGGTCTGGTCGCACTGTGTCGGCAAACTAAATAGACAGCTTTGCTGTCAACAATGTCAGTAACGGATGGCGTATGGCGGACAGGAGGATAACTTACAGCGCAAGAGGGCAGTTGAGCGGAAACTAAAGAGACAGTGCTCAACCATGCAAAAGTTCGTTGTGTAACCTCCATGGTGGATTTTTGTGAGTTTTGACTTGTCTCGAAATTTCTTCTGGGAAACGAATGTCTGATAGAATATTGAGAGGCACAACTGAACATGGAGCTCACTCGAAGTCAAGGTGCTTTCAAATCTTTCCACCAGGGTAGCCCCCTAGCTACTTTTAGCCCTTATTCTGTATCCAACAGCCTCATATCTCTCTTGGTCCCACAATGATTGATATTCTAATCTTACACACCACCTTCGAAGTAAGGCGACGGCGTGGTATATTGACAAATTCTTGGAGGTTCGAAGCGGTGCACCACCAGACTTTGACGCTTGGTTATTATTTGTGCGAAAGAGGCCCAAAATTGAACAATCCAATAAACTGAGGCGGTATACGTGCCATTAGCCTTCTGCTGCAGTGCCTCAAAAGTCAGAATCTGCAGACGGATATTGCGCTATCAGGATTGGGGAGCTAGCGTCTTACCCACCATCTTTGCGGCACTAGAGTGGCACAATCTTCAAGAGGAAAGCCGCATGAGTGCTAATCAGACACAACACACGACTAGAGTAACCGTGCACAGCTGTTCGCCGGTTCCAAAAATCACACCAAATACAGTCATTGTGCCCCATTTATAATAATAATTCTTCCGAAGATCAGTGTGGGTGAAGACAAGATTGAAAGTGACCTATCGGGATTCATCAGACGGTTCAAGGTTTCTTACGCGCATTAAGTTCATCCCAATTACGGGGTGACAAACGACCACTGTACAAAATCAAGGGGGCGGCACGGACCGGGATTATTGATATAAGGTCAATTAAAAACAACTAGTTTTGCCTTTTAAATAAGTAAAAGCCGACTATGAAGTACCGGCACTAGCACTATAGCCTCACCGAGTTACTTATAGGATTGTCTTAATAGAAGTAACTGGTATTGCTGTGATGAGCTTGGATTAGGTTTAATAAGAGCTAAATTTATTCATCGAATAGATCAAAATTGAAAAGTTGATACGAGTTGAATGTTTATTCAGATTTGGTGATTGGTGAAAACATATGTCTCACGATCATGATAATAGTAATACTGATAATAGTGATTGGACTCTAGTAGTCAAGTAGTTGGACGTCGCGCCCCCTGTCGATCGATGCTGATAGGCGAATTCATAGGGCACGGGCCTCTGGGTTACTTTATAATACCTCAATAGACTTACCCCTCCATGATAAACAAATGCTTGGAAAGTACTGCTTTCCAATGAGTTTCCATGCATATCGAAATTGCATTTATATTTTGCCTACCTCCGTAGGTGATCCAATCTTGAATCGCTATATTTTGTAGCAGTTGGTGATTGATATCTCGCCATCGTCGTCGAGAATGGAATACTTATTCACAGCACCAACAATCTCACTCGGCTGCTCACTTATATTGCTGCTCCCCTTTAAAGCCTTTTCAAGCATATGTACCAATCTCACTTCTTGTGCGTTGTGTCATGTGGCGTTGAGGCGGTAGTGAACTCTTGGTTCGACGTACCATCATTTGATATCTCGACAATTAGAATCAAATATTTACAAACAACAAACAAACATACAAACAGTAAATCTTCAACAACTTGACTATTCACGCCATCATGGATGTTTTCCAGACCAAGCCAATCTTTACAGCTGTCTCAGTCGTAGGAGTAACTTTGCTGGGCTATTTCTTCACACGACTCTATGCAGCGCGGATGCTCATGGTGAAGCTTCAGAAGCAAGGCTGCGTCAGTTTTCCAACCCTTCTTTATGAACGCCAACTAACAACATTTGCAGCCCGTAGCACCCGGACATTCCTTCCTCTTTGGCCACCTTCTTCTACTTGGAAAGATGTTCAGGCGCCTGCCAAAAGATGCTCACTACCAATATATGTTCGGCGAGATCTACCGCGACCATTTTGAGTCTACAGGCGTATATTAGCTGGATCTCTGGCCCATGACTGGACTCTTCATGTGCATCCACTCTCCCACGACTGCAATCTCTGTAACGCAGACAAATACTCTAATCGCTGCGCGCAAAGTTGACCTTTTGGCACGCTTTTTCAAGCCAATTGCAGGAGGCCCCTGTCTTTTCGATATGCCCGAAGAATCATGGAGACCGTGGCGCGCTGTATTTAATAAGGCGTTTAATAATGATTATTTCCAGAAGCTGGTCCCGGGGATGGTCAAGCAGATTGAAGTTTATAAGGATATTTTAAGGTATATCATTGATTCCTTCCCTCATTGTCATCTAATATCCGCCTCTATTTATTTGGCTCGCTGAATGCTTTGTAGTCTCTGATGTAATCTTTCATGTTTCAACCCTTCCCTGGTTCCAAATTGCTAATTATTTGATATTGTGATAGAGAGCACGCCGAAAAGGGCGATATGTTCTATCTGGATACCACGACTCTGCGCTTCACTATGGATCTAATTGGCAAGACAATCATGTGCGTCTCTTTCTCCTCATTTTATTACCGAGCGAGGCTAAACTGATTAGGAACACCGAATTTCATGCTCAACGCGGGTACAATGTTCTTGCAGACTCTATGATCAGCCAAATTCGCTGGCATGAGCCTGCTGCAGCTATCGACCCCTTCAGCCGTATAAATGTAGCACGATGATATATGGAATGGTCTAACGGAAGAAAGATGGATGCATATATCATTGCAGAGCTAGATAGAAGATATGCAGAATACAAAGCCGACTCCAAGGATTCGCGTAGCAAAGCTATTATCGATCTCATCTTACGAGCAGAAATCGCCCCCGAAGCCGATGTCAAGCCTGAAAAACTAGACCCTGACTTCAAGGCGTTCGCGATTAGGCAAATACGCTTATTTGTTTTCTCGGGTCATGACTCACTCAGTAGCACAATCTGCTATGTCTACCATTTACTCTCGAAAAATGTCGAGGCGATGCAAAAAGTCAGAGAAGAACATGATCTTGTCTTTGGAAAACAGATCGATGGAGTAAGCGAACTTTTGAAAACCAAACCACATCTCGCAAATGATTTGCCTTACACCAGCTGTCATCAAGGAAACGCTTCGGCTTTTTCCCGCCGCATCAAGCTCCAGACAAGGATATCTAGGTGTTACTCTTTATGATGAGCAGGGCACTGCATGTCCTACTAAACACGCAGTCTGCTTCATTGATCATGTAGGCATGCACCGCGCGCCGAGGTACTGGGTTAGACCTGAAGAATTTCTTCCAGAACGATGGCTGGTAGACCCAGGTCATGAGCTATACCCCGTGAAAGGTGCATGGAGACCATTTGAATACGGCCCAAGAAATTGCATTGCCCAGGGACTAGTCATGACGGAGTTGAGGGTTTTGTTGGCCTGTACTGTACGAGAATTTGTGTTTGAGGACGCATATGAAGAATGGGATAGGTCTCATAAGAAGAAAGGTCCACAAACTCATAGAGGAGAGAGAGCATATCAGATCGAAGAAGCTGCAGCACATCCGAGTGTCCATTATCCTTGTCGAGTGAGGATGATGAATGTTTGACATTAGAATTGGGTTGAATAAGGGGTGGCGTGAGGCATTGATGTATTCGGTAATCGGTAAGGACGACGGTTAGCAATAAAGTAGACAAGTTAAGTTGACTGCAAAGTTATTCATAAACAACAATATCTATATGCCTAGCAATCTCAACGAGATGCTTGATATCTTCATGGTACCAGCCATGATCAAAACCTATAGCTTTCTATGGGTGCTTAGATAACTTTCAAAACGCAACACGACCAAGTTTATGGTAAATTCCAGCTCTTCAAATATGTAGGATAAATATGTGCTGTGCAAGCAGTACCCTCCAACAGAATCATGATGGGTAAAATATTGAAGTATTGTTTCTCATGACATAACACTCAAATGGCAATCAGAACCAAGAAAATAGAAATGGATGAGGTGAATTCGTGTGAGCATGGACGCTAACCGAGTCGGGACTAGCCGGATCTCCAAGACTTTAGGTCCAGAGTGCTTGTGGTTACAAACTGACAATAGGATATTCTCGCGACGCGTTTTGAAATATACTAGGTAGTCAACGATCTGTCGAAAACACCATATAATACTTCGAGACTGCGCAATTCCTATGGTTATGATCGCCTAAATGAACAGTCTGTTTTGAGACGCTTTTGAGCTGTTTTCAAAATTCGTATCATTCTTTCGCAAGGTCCAAGAAACGATTGACTGAATTAGTACTTCCTACATTCGATAATCCCACATCAAGATGACGACTCGCAATCCCCCTCAATCTTTCATTTCGAGTTATGCTCCGCGATTACGCACATATGCCAATTCGTTGCTTACCCCAGTCATACAGCCAACAGCAGCTGTCGCGACACCACTCGGTAGAACAACGAAAAGAGGAACCACGGCAATAAATTATGCAGAGGATGGATATGAATTCGAGGAGGACGATGATGATGAAAACAAGAGAAGGCCTACAGGTTTAAGAAGTTTACGAAGGGAAGATATTGGACAGGCAAAACAAGACCCCGCAGAAAAGGTTGGCAAAGAAGCTACTGCGCCAGTAGAAATTCAAGGTATTTGGAGAGATTGGATGGGCAAGCAACGGCCAGGAAAAACCGACATGCAAAACTATGCCCAAATCGCATTACCTTTAACGTTAATCCCGATTCGAATCGACCTTGATATCCCTTCCTTCACACCCCCTGCGCCTTTACCCGTGCCTGTAAACATTCAAGTATCTTACCCTTCGATTGATACTTCCTTACCGGCGTATAAACCACAAGAGACGACAGTCCCATATCGCCTGAAGGATGTATTTCTGTGGAATTTGCACGAGACATTGACAACCACCGATCAATTCGCGCAAACCATGGTACAAGATCTGGACTTGCCGAACAGAGGACAAATGGCAGCCGAAATCAGTAAGCAAATCCGTACACAGCTTGAAGAATATGCAGGTGTGGCTCTTCATCCACTCTTTCATTCGCAACAGACTGCAACGGCGAACGGCACTGTGACCACCATCAAACAAGGGCCATCGTCTCGAGATGCTTCAAGTACACCTGCAGCAAGTGGAAATGCGACTCCCATGCGAAATGTTATTGGCCAATCTAATGGCTATTCGACTCCTGCTAAAGCTCCCACTTCACAGTCGCAAGAGATCACTGCCACTGCAACCTCAATACCTCCAGAATCCGATGAATATAATCCCGATGATATGTACCGGTGCATCATTAATTTGAATATCAATCTCTCCAATCATCTCTATACAGACAGGTTTGAATGGTCATTACTACACCCTCCAGGAACCGCTGAAATATTCGCAAAACAAACCTGCGCAGATCTTGGTTTACCTGGTGAATGGGTCCCAGCCATGACACATGCGATTTATGAAGCTGTTTTGAGATTAAAAAAGGAAGCATGTGAAAGTGGTGGTTTGGTTGGAGGTTATGGAGGGGAAATACCCAATGATGCTGTGCATGGTAAGGATGCCGGATGGAGATATGATAATGAGCACCTAGCAGATGAGTGGGAACCCAAGGTTGAGATCTTGTCAAAGGAGGAAATTGAGAAGCGAGAGGGTGATAGAGAAAGACAAATTAGGCGGATGAGAAGAGAAACTGCTAGATTCTCTTCCAATTCCGGGATGGCTGGTGGTCTTCCAACCCCGGGTGAGAACAGAGGATACTTTGATGAACCACCTGCAGAAGAACGTATGGGTCGTGGTGAGAGAAGTAAGAAGAAGAGACGCTTCAGAAGTCTTAGTCCATTGGGGAGATCTGGAACACCCGGTGGAAGAGGAACACCTGACACTGGTGGCATTACTGGGTATGGTGGAGGTGGCAGTCTTACCGAGTTTGAACGGAATAGTTGGAGATGCTCACACTGTAAAGTCTGGGGGACATCGGTTTGGTGTGTGAGGGATGGACCGTTCGGACCAAGAGTAAGTCATTTTCATGTCTTGATTTTAATATTTATCACTAACACAATTCTCAGACCCTTTGTAATAATTGTGGCTTCCTATTCGAGAAAGACCGCAAGCTACCTCGATGGGCCAAGGATCTTCATAGACAAGACATTCGCTCAAGTGATTACAGATAAAGATATTTCTAGTCTATTCTTTCAATCGCCATATGAGAAATTTCTACTTTGATTTTCATGAATTTTGGGAAGCTTTTTTGCTAGGAGTCTGAAACAGGGGGCTTTATATCACGCAGCGATGTGGTAATATGGATCACAAATGATTTACTTCTGGTTTGCACATTGACAAGTGTTTGATTAAGGATGGAAAAGTCGGTTTCATAAAGCAATGACTTTTCGAGAAGAAACTTTTGTACAATAGAGAGCTTAGGCCAATTAATGAAGTTTGATCAAGAATATGTGTATGAAAGTTTTTATTGGACGGATGTTGTGAATGAATGTCTTGCAGTATCTTTATTAAACATTCTTGAAAACCTTCTTAGAGAGTAGTATACTATCTCGAAGAGCACCACCACATACACCTCTGACTATGATTGTAGCTTTCATTATTACATTAGTATCTTTTTGTGATGACATGAGAAAACGACCAACCCCTGATAAACCCGGAGCGAGGAGCCAGAGAGAGCATTCTAATAAAACCAAACTTTCGACCCCCATCCTGTCATTACAATCGATAACCCAACCTTTGCACAAAGGGATTAAATCAAAACTAGCCACAGCTCCATTCTCAGTCAACAAACCTCCATTTCCAATCACCCCACCCCATCATCGAATGTTCCGCATGCATTAGTAACATCGAAACAGAAAGTTCATGAGTATCTCAAACTCCCCATCTACTGAATTTGGCACGAGTTCGTTCATACATATCCTTTCCATCCACCAGATATCTACATATCCATCTTCGTTTTCTTATTCACCTCTTCGTCGTGTTGACTAACGCTAGACTCTCTAGCTCTCTTGCCAAAATCCTTTGAGGGACCAGCAGGGAAAATACCCATCTGCGGTTTTGTTCTTCCTTCTTGTGCTTTGGGCTGTTGTTGGATGGAAGCTTGTAATGGCATACTCCAGTGTGGATGGGCTTGTCCTCGTACACTCCCATTTCCATCTCCATTTGTCTGGAATGGTTCCTGTGGGCTTGGAAATTCTTGTTCCTGCGCCGCTAACTCATTCTGTATCTGTCTCTGTGTCACAAGAGCTTGTTCGCGAGCTTGGATAATACTATCGACCGTCTGAGCGTTTCTTTGCACAGTTGACTCCATGCTTGCTGTTCCATTCTTCGGTCCTTGTCCTTGTCCTTGTCCCTGTCCTTGAGCCTGCGCGGTAGCTTGAGACTGGATATGAGCCTGTGCCAACATTCTCTGAGCTTGCGTCTGTGCCGTCAATGCGTCCCCTTTGACCTTTTGACCCCAGATCTTGACGGCTTCCTCTCCTAGAATATTATGCTTTCCATTGATTGTCACAGCAGCGCTAACTTCAACTTTGATCCCTCTAGGAATTCCGTCAGCATCACCCATTGGAATACCGCGTGATCCTTCAGACGCAGAATGCAGAGATTTGAGGATTGCATCTGTGATTTTTTGGACTTGTGGGGCAGGGTGGAAAGTGATTATGTTGTCATCGCCGGTGATAGTCAAGGGAGAATTGATACTGAGACTGAGACAGGTGGATTCATAACCGGTCTCCTCCTCCTCTGCTTCTTCCTGCTCTGGTTGTTGAGTGGAGACTCGTGGTTGCTCGCTGGTTGGGGCGGCAGGAGCAAAGGTATTTGGCCTTCCATTCTTCATACTGAGTTGTGTGGGGGGCATGCTGAAAAGTTGTTGGAATGCAGGTTCCATTTGTCCACCATTTAGTCTCATCGCGGTCGGGCTCGGGTTGGGAATATCTCCTGGCAGCATGTGTACTGGTTGAAATGTTTGCAACTGGCCAACATGCTGCTGTTGCATTCGTTGCTGCTGTGCTTGATTTCGCTGCATTTGTTGCTGAGCTGCATACTGCTGCTGTTGTAATTGTTGCTGTGCTCGATATTGCTCCGTTTGATGATACTGTCTCTGTAAATTTTGAGCTTGCTGTTGTTCGATTCGATGTTGATGCAGCATATTGATTCCCATCTGCTGTTGCATCAGGGTGTTCCCTGGTCTGAAATTAGGATTATTGGCGCCGTCTTGTTGCTGCATCTGTGGACTCGATCTAATTCTAGGGTTATTGACTCTAGAGCCTGTATTCTGACCACCAAGGGAATCCCTAGGTGTAGCACGACCACTGGTTTGGTTAGAAGTGATTCCCAATCCTTGAGGTAAGCCTTGGTGGTTGATTGGAGGAGAATCACCCGAGCCTGGCATGATGAAAACTTGAGAATGATTGATTTGATTCAAGAGATTGTCGGATAGAGTATGGCAAAATGTGATGGTAAGGAAAGTTTGTTGTAAAATCAACTGTATTGGTTGGGTTGTAGATTGGACAAAATTGATCTCGAACTTTAAATACTTAAATATTGGTTGTGGGAGAATAATAGAAAATTTGAGAACAGTCTCTGAGACGCTAAGCTAATGAAAACCCTGTTTTGCCTCCGAGGTGAGAGGTACTGACCTGTATTGATTTTATATTCACTATCATAAACTTCACTCGAAGCCTTTCTAGATGATAGTGGTGAGCAGGTAATAAAGAAAGGTACAGTGAATGTCTGAATCTTTATAGGGATGGAAGAACTTTGGAACTACCATTCATTCTTTTGAAAATGAGAAATAAAAATACAAATATCTATCTCTCAATAATAGAAGGTGATTTCTTCCAGATCGTCAAAGTTGAATTTCTAATAACACAAAGAAGAGTATCTATTCACCGGGCTAATGAAAGAAATGAGTAGCATGACTGACCTCTAATAATTGAACAAATGACTTCGATCGAATGATACAGAGACAGAAGTATGAATGTTGAACACTTGAATAGGTTGGTGGGATTTCTCAAAAGTCAAGTGAAAGAGACTAGAAGCATGAACTGTCTGTAAACAGTCCTTCAACGACGGAAGAGAAGGTATCTAATCAAGATAGTAGTATATAGAATTTCAACTACATGAAATTTACATCATAGCTTAGCCAGTTTCCACGAGATATGACAGTATGTGCCAAGTTCTGCTTTCATATATCAACATCGAGTCATCAACACCATTGGTGAGACAGGGAACAGGGAGTGTTTGAATCTAAGACTCCAAAACTGACACATAGAAGATAGTTATGACTATAGAAAAAGCACTAGGGCTATCTACGAAAAAGCAGCTGGTGGCACTAGATATCTGCATGATCTGGTATAGCTTCATGAATAGAATACTGAAGGGGAATGTTGAAATATAATGCCATAGTGGTCAGGTGAAGATGATGGTAGTTTGGAGAATGTTACGAGAACCTGATCTAGGCAGCTTCATGAGAACAGTAAGTAATGAAATAGATGTGAGAACATGCTTCAGGCTACACTCAGAACTGAACTAGACAATGACCAAAAGTCTTGGTGGTAATGAGTGGAGGGCATTGCTATTAACGTGCCCAGAAAGAAATAATCATTGTTAGAAATAGAAACAACAGTGCCTGTGAGCAGTGGTGTATACAAAAGTGAGAAAAGCAGTATGACAGAAGACAAACAAAGCACATCCACTTGAACAATCAGTATGATGGTGTTTGACCAGCTTCAAATCATAATCAATGACATTTCTTTACCAGCTATCAAACGCGTCAGTGCTAGCTGACGCACTTGCTTATTTGATGGGAGACACACCGAAGAATCATTGCTTCATCTTGAACCTTGACCTAGCATCTTCTCAAGCAGCATTTCTCACTCATAAAAACTGTGTTTTGGTCGTAACATATCATGAATTGGTATCATCTTCTAGGCCACCTCATCATCACATCTATCCCTTGTATCTTACAAATCCCTCCGAGGAAAAAAGATCTACGCTCAAGTAGCTCATTTCTTCTCTACCGACTTCTTAACACCCTCGACAAATGCCTCGACTGCCTCGCCACCTCCTAGTGGAACACTTCCTCCCTTTACTAAACCGTTATTCTTTAACTCAACTCCCAACGCATCCGCAATACTAGGCAAGCCACCGTCTCGAATCGCCATAGTCAGACTTCCTAAGCTCTGATGAAATTGTGGACTTCGAACTACTCTCTTCAATACCGACTTCTTCTGGTCCAAGCTCAAAGCCTCCATGGCAGCGTTTGCAGTCGCGGAAGTTGCGTCGGCCATTCCTTCGAGGGACGATGCGGATTCTTGTGCAAGTTGTAGGATAGTTGGTGGAAGATAGCTAAGGAGATTATCCACTTGAGCTGGGGTTGCAGCGTCGATCGATGGAATGGTTACCGTATTTGGTAAAAGGTCCGGTAAAGTAGTGTACATTTGAGTTTGGGATTGTTGTTGCATGCCAGCTCCCCCAGGACCCTTCAATGAATTGAGAAAGTTTTGAACAACTGAGGCAGCATCTGATGGCCCTGAACCAGCACTACTCACATAGTCAGCGCAAGGTTCTTTTTGAAGGCTAAAACAGATGGTTTCGTAAATTTTAGAATTCATGCGCAACATAGCTGTCTAGAAGTACAAGAACAATACGGTATGATTATTGTTGAATCTTCCAATGTACCAACCAAACGCCTCGTGTGTAAATGCTTGGGTACTTTGCAAAAATTGGATGAGAATAACCTACGCTCTTCCACCATCAGCTCCGGCCTCCCTTGAGCTAGCTCCTTCTTCCCTAACATCTCCACCAGTTGCACCTGCACCTGCACCTGCACCTCCACTTCCACCTTGGTGTTCGGATGAATCACCATGACCCTCAACGTCCTCCATCGTTTCGTCTTGGTCGTCATTTCCTCCGTCATCTCCTCTGACTTGTGCGATTTCCTGTTCGACATCGACTTCATCTCCTTGTAACAATGAATTCACAATTTGTCCAATCTTCAAGTCCCTGGGACTAAACCAACTTGCATCTCCATTTCGCGCTTGTGGTTTTGATTGCATCCAGAAAAGATATCTTTGGGAAGAGGATGAAAATTTAAGAACGAATATGCGGCCATTGGTTTTTGCGGTTGGTTCAGTGGTTTGATTGGAATCATAAGGTTGGAAAATGGCGTCGGTTGGTGGTAAAAGTAGATCCATGTTATCCTCATCATCCATACGTTTGCTTCTTTCTCGCCATTGGAAATGAATTAAATCTTCATAGCAGTCAGTTAAATCCTATCTCCAGGGATACCTAAATGACCTACCATCTTCGGACCAAAGGTAGATATAACCTGGAGTTGCTTCAGGCTTAACTTTGTGAGGTGTACTTGATGTCTGGTAGAAGTAGAGATGTTAGTTTGACATTTGAATGCAGAAAGATATGAATAAACTCACATCGATTTCACACTTCCCCGCCTTAAAAGTAATAATTGGTGAAATAGACATCTTGTTGGTTTTGATAAGCTGTTTGGTGACAGGTATCTTGTTGAACAGGATAGCTTTAATGCGTAATGAAGTATGGGAAGCTTCACTCTAGGCGGCCGGAGCTTCGCAATGAAAGTGTCCGGGTGGGTCTACCAATTATGACGCTAAAAGGGCTGTCACTATTTTGGCCGGAATTAAGAGGCACACTTTTTCCAAACTTAGATAATCACACAATCACATGATACACAAATCATTAAGCGAATTGAAATTCCAAGTGTAGTGCCGCAGGTTTTAGCCCTGCTTGAATTTCTGTATTGGAAGAACATCTCGACTTTTACGCCAACGACCAGCGACAAAATTTACGACAACTACCCACCAACGGTTCCTTCTTCAAGATGTCGGCAACAGAAGCTACCCAGAAGAAGACCTTCGGAAAATCGACCCGGGTCGTTTCCAACGAGAAGGCACAAAAGTACTACCCGGCAGAGGATGTCTCCGCTCCAAGAAAGGTAAATACAAGAGGACCCTTTTTTTGAAAGCGATGGCAGAGTGTTGGTTGGAATATCGTCAAATTTGGAAAATAAAGAGGCGCGGGATTCAAATATATGGGACTTTGCGATTACAATTGCAATCGGCAGACATATATTTGATTTTGATATCAACCAGATCGCCATTATATTACATCACTGCATCGCATTTTAAGGCATTGTTTTATGGTTGAAAGAACCTCATCACTAACAATCAATTCTGCAGGTCCGCAAGTCCATCAGACCATCTAAAGTTAGACCATCCCTCGAACCTGGAAAAGTCCTGATCCTCCTCGCCGGTCGTTTCCGTGGCAAGCGTGTCGTTCTCTTGAAGGCACTCGACCAAGGTGTTCTCCTCGTCACTGGCCCATTCAAGGTCAACGGTGTCCCAATCCGCAGAGTCAACGCCCGTTACGTTATCGCCACCTCTACCAAGATCGATTTGGAGGGTATCGACTCAGCAAAGATTGAGGAGCTCTCAAACCCAAAGTACTTTGCTAGAGAGAAGTCAGAGAAGAAGGCATCAGAAGAGGCTTTCTTCAAGCAAGGCGAGAAGCCAGAGGTAAGATCTTGTGCTGGATATATGTCACAATTGCACAAATTTAACAAATCACAACAGAAGAAGCAACCATCCTCCAGCCGCGCAGCAGACCAAAAGACCATCGATAAGGCCATCCTTTCCAGCCTCAAAAAGACCCCAGAACTCGCCAGCTACCTCGGTAGCTCTTTCAGCCTTCGCAAGGGTGATAAGCCACACGCAATGGTATTTTAAATATGTGTTGTGGAGATTGGGGGGAATGGGTACATTTGGGCGCGGATGTGGGAAAATTCTACAGTCGATTTGACGAGTCGCTTCTTGCATCTTGACCTCTGAATGGGCATGGGTCGTCTCATTGTGAAGGGCGCTATGTAATCTGATTTGCAATGATGAAGAAAACCACAAAGCAATGATATCTTTTTTTACGCGGATGATTGTGAGATATGTGATTTCAGGATGATCTTAGACAGGTGGAAAGTATGGATGGGGGTGTGGTAGACTTGCATTTCAAAGGATAATTCTGTGACGACATCAGCCAGCCGACATGTGTCCATGTGAAAGTCGCGGGGCGCACTGCCCGAGTGCAATCCAATTCATTTCGTGGAATTACTAAGGGTGGGTAAAGATAAGTAAGGCCAAGCCACGTTTTCTACTCGTCACACCGAAAAACTACGCACAGCGTTATCTTTGGCCATGCACAAGTTGATATCTTATTCATGTGATGAAAGTCTACGCGCTAGCACTGCTGCTGTTGGAATTCAGAAGACCCTCGACCAGCTAACGTGGAGCTGGGGTGTTGTTGGTATGGTATTCCATCACTAGCAAAATCCCAATTCTGGTCTCACTGATACGCGACAAACCCATGCACCAAGATTCTCCTACGCCTATTTCTCCTCGTTCATTTCTCCTTTCCACATCCCTCCCACTACCTCAACCCCACAACTTAAACATCTCTCTCCGCAAAACTCCTAATCATTCCCTCACAACTTGCCTCATACTCCTTCAACTCCACCTTCCCATCCTCTCCCAATACCGTGTTCGCCTGCACAAAAACCTTTCTCGGTTGCTTACACTTCAACACCTGATCTCTAACTTTCTTTCCCCAATATTCTGGCTCCACGTAACACATGTCGTTGTAGACCTTGACACCTGTTTCTACATCCGCAATAGATTTATAGATGTGTAATTTTTGAAGGTAGGATTCCACGGCTTGACGACCGACTGTAGGAATAAGGTGTCGCTTAAGATTGATTGTTAGGTCTGAAAGATCGGGAGTGGAATGGGTGATGGTGCAGAAGGATTCAGGGGCCGAGAGGAAACATTGGAGGATGGAGAAGCGGGCTTGAGAATGTGCTTGGCCCCATTTGGTGGAGCGGGGATCCCACTAGATAAAGTTAGTACTTGGTTGTTTCTTTTGCGAGGAGGTTTGGAGGGAGGACACATACGATTTCTAAAGAGCAAACACCCATTCTAGCCATAGATAGCCAGGCTGCATACAAAACATCCCCAGCTTCATTGTTCATATCAGTTGTTCCATCACCGTAGTCAAAGATCTTCAGAACCTCGAAATCACAACTGAGGGCCATGGCGATAGCCTCAGCTCTACATTCTTCATAACTTGAGGCTACACTTCCAAATACAGATCCCCACGTTTGTCCGGGTTTATACCATGTAGCAATTGGTTTTCCAGTAAGAGGATTGACAGGGGGATTCTTAATGTCGAAATTGTAGACGCCCGGTTTGGTTTCTTGAAGTAATTTTCCGGTTCCATGACCGAGAAGCTCGTGGACTCCTACTTGTACCTCGAAGGCTGCATCACGATATTTGGAAAATACTTCGAGATCTTCATCTCTGATAAATGGGATTTTCTCGTTGGGTGCTTTAGCTGACAATACGTTGCCTAATGAGACATTTTTGAACCCTTCTGTTTGTCTGATGTCGTCATAGTTGGGCTGTAATATTAGTCAGTAGTGCTGAAAAGTTCTATACAATTAGAGGTTCCTCACGATATTAATACCTGCTGGAATTCCAGCTCCAGCAAACGTCAAAACTTCAAGACTTGTAAAATCTGGGCTCAAGAATTTATCTTTCTCGAATTCTATTCCCCAAGGTAATTTGGGAATGAGGCTTTCAGCGGCATTGACAAGGCCGCCAAAGGCACGAGTACGTTCAGCGTTTACCATGGCGGCAAAACCTAACCAAATTGTTCGTCAGTACTATTGTCTCGAAACTCGAAAATATGAAAGACATACCCTGGAATTCAGCCCTCACGCCCTGAGGATCTCTCAAAGTCTCAATAAATCCAATGTTAGATTCAACCGAAGGCCCCTTATCTCTGATCCAATATCTTTGCGAATCCTTAAAGACTTGCGATGAACCAGTTTCAAACGATTTAGCATAGGCTTCATACATATCCTTCTGTGTATTATTTGCTGCATTCTCGGCGGCTTTCTTGCAATTCTCGGCAACCAAAGCCAACTCTTTTGAATGATCACCAAAAGCAATCTTCAGCTTACTGCCCTTTAGTGGGCCTTCTTCGATGGTGAACTCAGTTTCCTTGCCAATATCACTACCTTCAGATGGTACACTTGTGACGGCTGAAGCAAGCAAAACTTCGAATGATCCTTCGGGAGTCTTTCTCAATCTTGTGTTTTCCTATTTGACGAATCAACAATACGAGCAGGCCAACAAATGCATTTTACTTACCACAAGTAACCCCTTTTTCTCCAAGAAATCACCCACAGCAATGATATCCGATTTGGTGATGCTGGTTGAATTGGGATAATAATTGGTCAAATTTCCATCATCAGGAAATCCAAGATGCATCAATCCAGGGTCTTGAGTTGGGAAGATAGCTCCTTTGGTGGCTTCATAATGTTGCTTTGCTTTGGGAGAAAGCGCAGCCAAAGCTTCAAAGACATTCTCGTCACATCTTGGGATGATTTTGGAATCTCCAAAAAACTTGTAGTTTCCGCAATTGCCAAGAAACTATAAAAGATTAGATCTGCATTCTGATTTTGGTCCTATTTGTCTTATTGTAACTCACTTGACCACAATACTCGAGAAAGAATTTCAGATTTTCATCACTAATCCCAGCTTTCTTTTGAGCGGAACTCCAGTTACCATCAAAAGACTTGTGAAGTTCAACGATAAAATCGTAGATGTCTTCGGACTCTGGGGAAACTTGTCTTAAAGTAATACGTGTTCCATGAACAGATGCTCTATCGTATAATGTCAGCTGATGTCCTTGCAAACAATCCGCATACTCCGAGCTAACGCCAAACATCCAGAAAGCCTTTGGATCCATAATGAATGTGCACGCATTCGAAGCTCTCCAAATTCTCCAAATTCAAACATACCTGCTAATATAATGAGCATATCTTTTCTCTTTATCAGAAAGCGCTTCAAAATGCTTTTTAATCTCAAGCTGAACGACACTAGGGGGCGAATCCGCAAGGAAGTGTTTGAGTTCCTGAGCATTCATAGTAGACAATTGTCGCTGGAATTGTTGTTGTATTCTATGGAGTGAAAATGGTATCAGAAGATGTTGAGAAAAAGATCTGGTGTTGAAATGGCGGGGAAGGCAAGGGCGATGAGGCTGACGTGGGGTGAAACAACGAGCCAATGAATATGCATGTTTCACGCGCCCCGGCAAACATTTGGACATTCTCAAGTGGTGTTTCCTATAAAAGTATAGGTTTCTTATACGATATACATGCTACGAAGAATTCACTCAATTTTTGTATGGAACGATTATTGACAGCAGTTATGATAGGTAGATATGTTATACTCACACGGACCACACGTGAGACGGCCCTAATGAGTGAATTTCAAGGATAAAGGAAAACTACAGAGGAATTTAGATAAGTGTGTATGCTCCGCGGGTGTACAAGAATGGTCGTTGCGGTTCTTGTCGAGATATTCTGTGATCCGTCTGGAAGAAATGATACTCTCGTCAAATAGGCGCAGGATATTTGATTGGGTAAGAATCATATCATGACAATACCCTCGGCCGCTCATATCATAGACCAGAATATGATTATATCATGGGGACACCGATCACAAGGTTCGAATGCCTTCGGTTGGAGCTTGTAAATTGATGGTAAGATGTCCTCGTAGTCCTTCAGTCATACTATGAGTCCAGCAGTCCATGATATCAAATTTTGGTCTGGGAGAATTAGAATAGTCGTGAGAGATGCAACTGAGATCTATACAGATGATCTTTTTGCTGTGGTTCTAATAGTAATTTCCTAGTTGAAATCCACCCAACGGACCTTTCTTGTTTCTAGTTGATCATTATTAATGTTCTTCATTGTTAACATTTTTCATTATTGATGTGTACTTGGAAGTCCTTGCATGGAGTGAAGCAGTAAAGCTCGTTCTGAAGTGTAATTTTCCTGTCCACGTGACCTTGAAAAGTTCTTGCCATTTTCGGTCCTTCGTTAGCGAAATTTTAGCGTCTCCCACAACAATTTTGATTTTCCGCGATCTTGAACTTCTTACCTAGACGACGGCCAGTAATTTACACCTTTTCGCCATTTACGACATTCGACAAATCGGCCAAGATGAAGTACATTCATTCCGAAGAGACTCTGACCATCCCAGAGGGTGGTAAGTACGGTGTTTCTTATTTTTGGATCGTTGAAATCGGCAGAGGAGAAGATTGAATTCAAGCTCGAGGGAATTGGTGAAGCGCATTGAGGAATACTGGATGGGATTTTTTTGCAGATGAGGAATGAATGCTGATCGATTTAATTGAATAGTCAAGGTCGCCATCAAATCCCGTCAAGTTACCGTTGAGGGACCAAGAGGTAATTTACAATTCCTACACACCAATCGACAATCAACCAGATCGCAAATCTAATACATTCGAAATAGGCAAACTCCACAAGGATCTTAGCCATTTGGCAGTCAACTTCTCTCAACCAAAGAAGGATGTCATCAAGATCGAGCTTCACCACGGAGCCCGCAAGAACGTCGCTACTCTCCGAACCGTCCGTACTCTCATCAACAACTTGATCATCGGTGTTACCAAGGGTTTCAAATACAAGATGAGATATGTCTACGCACATTTCCCAATTAACGTCAACGTTGAAAAGGGACCAGAGGATATCCCAGTTGTTGAGATCAGGTATGATGGTCCACAAGGAAAGAAATTCAGGCTGGAAGAAGGAAATGCTGATTATTTGGGAATAGAAACTTCATCGGCGAGAAGATCGTCCGTAAGGTTCAAATGAGAGAAGGTGTTGCTGTCGAGCCATCGAAGAACGTCAAGGATGAGCTTCAATTGTCTGGTAACTCCCTTGAGGATGTTTCCCAATGCGCCGCCGATATCCAACAAATCTGCAGAGTACGAAACAAGGATATCCGAAAGGTGGGCACAAAAATCCTTATCCGTTAGCATTCTTTATACTAACAACAGCAATAGTTTTTGGACGGTTTGTATGTCTCAGAGAAGGGTAACATTGTTGAGGAATAAATGGAAGGCATTTGTGGTGGTCACCTTTTCTTACATTCATGATATGTATTGGGAGCATTAAAAGGGTTACTTTGCATATTGTGTAGCAAGGTGCTCGGAATGAATATCTTGCGCAACCAAACAACTACCTGCGGTTCCAAACTTTGAAACGATCGATACCACGGTGACCTGGATTGTAATGATGGACAATTTGGTAGAAGGGCGTGCCAGTGCAACGATTTGGGGAGAGCTTTTGAGAAATCAATGAACCAATTATGGACCCTTTCAAATATCATGGCATAATGTTTCAGGTCTGAGTTTTTGCAATTGATGGAATATCTGACAGTGCAACATACAGGCCTCGCAATTTATTCGGTTCACTTTCATCCCCATACAGAGGCACCAACGCTACTGGATTCGAATAATTTCTACTAATTGAATAGAATCCTCGGCTACATCACCCTTTATAGCACTCTCAACTACCCTCTTCACCGTATTCATTCCTCATCTTGTTTCCATCCAACCTGTCCTCGTCTGCCAATCCATGTCTTCTATCCAATTCCCAACACCACGGCCATTTCTGTTATTTCTGTTATTTCTGTTTCATACTTTTCACATTCTCATATACCTCCCGCCGTTTCCCTTTTCCCCCTCCAAATTATTTTTCCCCTTCGCTTTACATTATACAAACGGGATCTCAAAAGTAGACTTTATAGAAGTATTTCTCCTACTCTATTCGGTCAGTCTTGATCCCTATATTAATACACACTCTTTGTTCTTTATGAATGAGGAGGCACGATTTGATTATTTATGTTTTCTGCAGATTTTTGTGGAGGAAATTCTGAGGATCGTGTGGACATTTCGATGAAGTAAAAAGGTTATCGTAGGGAGTCGGCGGTATATAGTTGAAGAGGGGTATGAAGGTTTGGTGGGTGTAAAGTAGGGAAGAGTTGTCGGATTATATGATTCAAACAATGAGAGTTATCCAATAAACATGTTTGATCAATTTGTTGTTCATGCTTTTACCGTATGAATTGTTTTAAAGGGTGTTAATGAATTGGTCTCGAATGTTATACAATCTGTATTCTTTAACGTTTCTTACTCCTTCCGTCGGACTTCGGGGTTCTATCAACACTTTTGTACTCAACCATTTGATGAGATGAGGTCGATTATGAATCATCGTGAAACCACCTTGCCTACTGCATACATTAGCGATGTATGCATCCATTCATACATACATGTCTACACTCCCGAATTTGTCCATCAGCACTACACTATTCAGTAGTATAGATAAGTAGTGGAATCATCACCACTTCATGCTCTTGCCCAGTAATACGCATGACTATCGTTGTTCTTCTTACACATGTGTTCCTTTCGTATATCTAGGTACCTGTTGATATCTGTACAATACGAGTTGTGTATATTCAAGATTCATATCGTTCAGCATCGTTCTCTTTCACTCTTGCTTTCTAAATTCTTTCTTTCCCATACATAGGCAATTTTATGATGGTAATTCTCCTTTGCTCCAGAGTTATGACTTGCATACTTTACTGAGAAATTTGTATCTTGACCCGTCTCGCCTCATGTTAGTGGAGAATGTGAATATGACTGCGAACGAGGAGGAGAACGAGAAATGAAATCACAACCTCACTACCTTATTAAATGCATTGAGTTCCTCGTCAGTTGTGAAATATGGGATTGATTGTTATTGTTGTTGCTGTTGCTGCTACAAATTATAAATTTCTTCAGCATTCTTGATAATTGCATATATGTATCCACATAGGTAGGTACATATACACATCAAATAGATCTTTTCTATTATTTCATTTTAGATCGTCTAGCCCTTTTTCGTTTTCCTTCTCTTTTTCCGTATCACATCGCCTCGATTATGGTCCCCTGTTGTTATGATCTCTCTCTCTCTCTCTCTCTCTCTCTCTCTCTCTCTCTCTGTGGTCGAGAAATAAACTTCCTATCTTATCCCATCCCATCCTATCATATTCTATCCTGTTTTATTCTGGGCTGTTAAATATCGATACTATCATCAATCTCAATAGCATCGACAATACGATAATATCAATCTTCCATACTTATCCACACCTACTCGTTTTAATTACTTGGATACGTTTATATGCACATAGATATCTACACGCATAAAGGTATCAGAGAACAGAATGACAAAGTAACAGAGGAACAAAAGCATGAGTTGAGAGAAGGATAATAGAAAGTGGATTATGGATTTGTGATTTATTTGAGAGCATTTTGCAGCAATTGAAAATTGAAGGGGTGGGAGAGAGGTAAAGAGGTACTGTATATGTATATGTATGGGATGGGGATGAGAATGGGGATGAGGATAGAAGGAGTAGTTATATACATAGGTAGTTTAATCGAGAAATATATCTGAGTATCTATCGATACCAGGAGTTGACTATTGGTAGGATCTGAGTAGTTCTTTTGGGGAGAAAGAATGAGATCAGTTGAGATCAGTTGAGATGAGGCGGGGAGGGGAGGGAAGTCTATGTGTGGTGATTTTTCTCGAGGAAAAGAGGAAAGAATATTGGAGATTCGTGAATATCTCTCTATATATCTAATCATCTCACGTTATTTTCGTCGTGTTTGCATCGATATTTCGTATGCCCAGGTAATTACATCTATCCAGCACATTGCTACCAACACATGAGAAAATAATTCAGAAGGGAAGGGAAGACAGCTAACAACCAGCATGTTTCATAAAGTCGCTAATGTAGGTTGAAGATGTTAAGTAAATTTTTAACAGGAGTTTTCATTCGTAGAATCCGCTGTATACATACATTTACTCAATGTATGTGCACGTGTGTATGTATGTATGTAAGTATGTATGTATAACCCTCCCCCTTCTCTCACACACACATTCATTTATTCAATCATTCCATACCCAACCTCCGAATCCATTATCCGTTCGCTCATCACACATTCATTAACCCAACCTTTCCTCCTTCCCACCCATCCAGTTCATTTCATTTCCCCTTCCTCATTCATCCCTTCATACAAAAGTCGTAAAAATACAAAAGCACCCTGATACCCTCGTCTCATACTATGCACGCATGCTCGCTCAAATTGATATAAACGCTTTCATGCTTTCGTAACATATAGCAAGCATTATTGAAGTTTGCGAGGTAAATCGAGTCACCCACCCATTCATCCATTCATTCATCATTCCTCGTGCATATTCATCTCTTCATCCTCTTCCTCATTCTTTTGATGTGAAAGAAAAGAAAAGCAGGAAATGAAATGAAATGCAAAAAAAGGAAAAGGAAAATTATAAACAAAAAATAAAACAAATAACGCCAGAGAAATGAATCAAATCGCTAATGCCTGCCGGAAAAATCTCTTGAATCTCTTGAATTCGTGTTTTTCATTCATGTGTATGTTTTTTTGTTGGTGCTGTTTTGACTGTGTGTTGTTTTTGACGTGGGAGAGGATGGATAATCTCATAAACATGTATGAGATGATCCCCAAATAAATCGAGATGGTCTAGTGAGAATAGACTAGATCGTTAAAGATAAGATAGGAAATGAGAATTATCTCCTCACGCTCCTATCTCTATCTCTCCTCGTATCCTCTCTCGTTCTCCTGTCCGAGCTTGCGGAACCTGCAAATTGTATGTTAGTCGTCATTCTCCACATTCCCATACCCCACGACCAAAGCGCAGAAGGAAAGAAAATTACTCACTAGCACTCGTTCCCGTGTAACTATCAGTATAGTAAGTACTGCTAATATCCGTCACCGTCGTCGTAGGCCCCGGTCTCCTCTTCTCATCCTTCCTCTCCGCCTCCTTCTTCCTCAATCCCAACACCGCTGCCAGCCCTACCAATCCCGCACCCACAGCACCCATTCCTCCCATTCCACTACTCTCCTTCTTCCTCGTCTCTACAACCCTCGTTGGCTTATCCGTTCGCGCACCTCCAAACCATCCATTATTTTCTCTACGAGCTGCGGCAGCTCCTCCCATGGCAGCTCCTCCAGCTGTAGATCCATGTCTGTGATAACGCTCTACGGTCTCGATACGCTCGGTACGAGTACCACCTTCGCGTCTTCGGGATTTACCACCGAAGAGAGCGAGAACGGAATCCCAGAGTCCCTTGACAATACAGCAGAAACACAAGAGGAGCAAGAGAATAACTCCGAAAATCGTACCGATGACAATTCCAGCAATAGCGCCTCCGCTCAAGTTGTTCGAGCTAGTGCTCGTGATGGGTAAGGTGCTTCCGCTGGCAGTAGCAGGCGGGATAAAGGGCTCGGTAGTCGTGGCTGAGACGGTGGCAGTAGATGTTGCGGCACCTGTTGGTCGAACAGGAGCGGAGTAAGTACCAGAAGTAGCAGTGTAGGACCATAGACTTGTTCTAGCAGTACATTGACCACTGTATTCACACATCTGATCGCTGGCACAGCAAATTGTTCCACAGGAAGTTTCGCCCGTAGTGGTATCGCAGATGGCGGCGCTGCCTCCAGAGGTAGTGGTAGCGTAGTAGGAACTGTATGTGCTTGTTCCGACTAATAAATCGGTTTCGGTGTAGGTGGTTGTGTAGACTGCCCAACCACCAGAGCCAGCAGTAGAGGCAGAACAGTAAGCTACGTTTCCTGAAGAAGTGTAGCAGGCTTGGCCGGCGGTACAACAATATTGGTTGTCGGCGCCGCAGTAGGAAACGCAAGAGCGGTCCATAAGGTATGAGAAGCCGAGATCGTGAATATCATCTTTGGGAAAGGGACCTGCGGACACTGGAGAGGTATTGGAGAGGGTGAGGAGGAGAAGTGAGAGGAGTTGCGGGTTGCCTTTGGAGATCCGCATTTTGTCGATTGTGGAGTGTTGTGGTTGTATGATAGATGAAGTCAAAGCTATGTATGTATGTGAATATTGTCGGAGTAATGAACTCGAACCAAACGATTGTACAACGTCAAAAGATGGTATGTATCAAATCAATCTCCCGACGTATTGAGACTCTTTTTTTTTTACTTTTCCACCAGCAAAAAGATCTTCAGGAACTCGATGACTCCTTCACATGCAGCAGCGGTGTGAAGTAAAATAGCTCGACGATAAATGGCCAATCCAAAAGATGCAAACCCCACTTTCGTCGACACTACCACTTGTATGTAATATGTATGGTATGTGTGGTATGTGTGGTATGTGTGGTATGTTACTTTGTATATGCTCGGATCGTAAGAAAGATCGTTTCTATCCAAACGAACGTAAATATGTCCAGAAATTCTTATCTCTAGAAATTATTGATATCGATTAGGGAAAAAGGTCGCCGATAACCCAGAAGAATGGTATGTATATCTCTGGAATGGAAATCTTTTCTTTCTCTTTAGGAATGGAAAAGAGGAGGAACTGTAACAGAAACAGTGTGGGTGTGGAATACCACTTATTCAAAAATGTCGATGGCTGAACTTTTTTTTTGGCTTTAAGGGAAAAAAATAGCTGGGCTGGGAATGGAGTTAATTGACCGTTTCCCCAACCACCCAAATTTTCCCTACCAAGGACTAAGAAGGACCAAGGCGAATTTCGTATTTCTTGATTTCGCACACACGTATGGTTTGAATGGAGATCAAATCTGATTCAAGTGAAATATAATTATGAAGTTTTCGATGAAGATGTTATTATGGATTTATTTGAATTGATTGGTGAATATTGAATCTTTATTAGACGTTCTACTCCATCGTCGCTCCATCCATCAGTCAGGTACCTGCAGCTATTCGGTTAAAAAGATACCTACAATTGTTTACGTTTATCGCTAGCGGGGCAACAATCAGGCGATAAGCAACTAAATTTGGGTACATTGGATCACAATTGGGCAAAAATGGGAATTAAAGAGCGGTTAACGACCTCGAGACGATACTCGCCACGGTCAGTATTGTACCAAAGCTTTCAAAAATGAGGTCGATTTGTCTAATCTTCTACTAGGTGTAGATATTCATGCATGTAATTGAATCTTTTGAAGTTAGAGAAGTTAAAGAGGAACCATAATGGATTTTACTATATATCTAATTCTCCCCCATTCACATTTTGATGGAGAAGGAGGTACATATTGTAGGTGAAGTATCTGATGAAAAGACAGCAAAATGAAGCTCACCGAATAGAAAATCCTCACTCTACTCAAGACTCCTTCACCTTCCTAATCCACTTTTGATACCTTGATACTTTGATAACCCCACAAGATTACACACCGATACCCGAACCGATGGCGTTACCACAGGTCAGTCAGGTACAAGCAACTTTACAAATGATAACTTTCCAGTACCTGCTTTTTATCTTCTAAGCCTACTCTATTTTGAGATTTAATCTACGAAACATTTTCATTCCTTGGAAGTTGGAATCTAGAGTCTAAACTTCCTTCTTCTTGTTCCGGAAAATATCCTCCATCGTCCGAAAGAATAAATCTAGCACAAATGCACGACGCAATACGCACAATCAAAGAAAAGCCCGACGGGTTAAGATTCCACTCACTCAACGGAAATCCACTCAATCCGAATCTTGACGCCATCATCATCGAGATGTGAAACACAGTCTCGACTCTTGACTCTCGAGTCCCTGCATCAACCAACAGATGACATGATTGACTTTGACAACAAGTATCAAATCGGATAACTACTCTAGTACTCGGTCTATAAGTCTTATATGCAAGACACTACTTCCGTAAGATCAAACGTTGTGTCGCTTGAGATGTGGATACTTGCCACGTCTGCCGATGCTCGGAGATTCTGACCGGGCAATCATGAATGGATAAATGAACGAGAGTGAGTCGTTGGGCGAAAGAGTATGCAAACTTCATCTGAAGATTCATCGGATCAAGAGAAATGTTTGCTTTAATGGCGGTACAAGTGTACTTGTATTTATCTTGTACAGCGTATCTTGTATCGAGTCAGTCCACGTGGCTCCGACATGTGGTTCTTCGAACCGAAGTACGAAAAGACAAAGTACTGAGATGGAAAAGAAATCTCGTCATAATTCCTATGCTCATATTCATACATCTGTAGTCCAATTCCTGCTTTCACGATAGCCAAAAGATGCCCATCTCTTGTTCTGTTTCGCGCTTTTTTGCCCTTTCCTCTTGGGCCATAACGAAGGCTAACATTGAAACCCTGTTCGTCTGATCATTCCAGGTCAGCTCTCTCCAAATCATGAAAAATGGACATTGCAAATGCTTTGAGGAAAATGTGAAACTATCGCAGTCAAATTCTCAAAGCTCTTGGGGAACATATGTATACATTAATTGATGAAGGAGCGCAACTTTGATGTTCCGTCTTGATTGAAGTCTTGAAATGCAAAGTATCATTTGTAGTATGATGCATTCCTGTATATACTCCCTTCAATCATCCCTTTATTTTGAGCATCAAATACGAAAACTTTCTCGAAAGATCTCTCAGTTTTGAAATATTCGAGAAGTGAAGTCGAGATAATCTTTTGACTAAAAGTTACATCTACGCTAAGTTCAGTTAGTGCTAGGAGCTGCTAAGGGGAGCTACCTCTCTTGCTCATTCTTTCTTCATTCAAAGCAGAACTCACTCATCATATATACGTAAAATCTTGCATGTTCTAAAGATTCTTGGGTTAGGTCTCAGTCATTTCAATCATACTAAATTTGTTTTTTAATTACATAGTATCTCGACATTTAAATCTTTTACACCATAATTTACAAGAAGAAGACAGCGAATAAAGCTGCTCAGATACAAGACCATTCCTTCCTCGAAACATCCAAAAGACTGTTCTGTTGCTTAGTTTCTCTCCACACATTTGTCTCAAAGGGTAAGTTGACATAGACTAATCTCCTGCTCTGACCAATGATTTGGCAGCAGCTATTCTTCTAGTTCATAAAGTTGATGGGCACTACCGATACTTAAATACCCACAATGGACTCATTTAATGTACCTATGTTCCTCCCTTTATAGATTAACGGTCTAAGTAGTCCAGTATCTACCTTCCATAGACTTGATCTCGATAGTATATTCCGGCAAACGATGCAACTCCTTTTTTAAATCAATCTATCCAGATGATTCTGTCGGGATATCGATCATGTGATCATAGAGGGTACTGTATTAGCTAGCGAGGCGCTAGCGCTTCCTTATATAAAGTACTAGCTTCCTATAGATAATAATAATTAAGAATGATTACAATTATAATAGACCAAAGTACTTTACACTTATCAACCAAGTTGATACCAACAGATTCTTTCAGTCATTTCGAGAGTTCAGTGTCAGACTTTGTCCCAAGGATCGACGGTACAAATGGAATCAACAATTAACAAATATTTGGTGGGTATGCTGCGATGACTGCTATATTTGCTTCCTCTGCACTCGAGTTTCTCGGAAGATGTTTGAGATGTTGGGAATGGATCGCCCTTTGAGGCGAACTGTATCATGATTTGAAAATCCATTCGAGGCTTACCTCCAGTGAATATGACTGCGATTAATGATTGTGTGCCGAATAATGACCAACATAGCGTTAGCTTGTATGTGGGCTGCGAGAGATAGGGTGGTTTGTGATGGGTATGCAGTTCAAAAGCAGCTGTCCGCACCCTTTTAATTCTTGTTGGACCAGCGTCCTGATGTTACTCTTGGTAGTGGATAGAACTTCTTCTGATTTTTGATATCTCGTTATATGCAAATTGGGGTGATGATAGACATACACTTGTACTTCAATTTAATGTGGAGTCATTATATCGAAGAGAATTGATGCATTGGTGTTTAGTATGTAAAGATATTCCGCGTGACATCTGTTGTGAATTGCGATATTCGAGGTGTTGTGCATTCCCACAGAGGATGCTGGAGCAGACGATGTGTTCGCCTTCCCACTATTACAAAGAGTGCTAGCCTGTTATTTGAAGAGGAAGATGAGGATGACGATAACAGTATATGGCAGCCGGGAGATCTTTCCAGAAGACTCTTTTCATCATTGCTTCAGCTTACATCTTCTTGTAGATCGGTTACTCAAAATCACGGGGAAGTTGTTGTGGACCTTGACATTGATGCAAACTCCCGATATCTGCAACTCGAATTGACTACAACTATGTACTGGCTACTTAGTGGCATAACATCTCTATAAATATGTTTAAAATAACCGCTAATGCAATCCATATGACGTTTGTGGCGTTCCGCAAATAAGCTGCTTCAGTAGCCGTCAAGTTCTACGGAGGCGATATGTCATGTCCCTGTGTACAGAGTACAATACACAGTGCGAACAAGTTTACCCCACCCTATCAAGATATCATCTAAAAGGATCTTTAATTGTGATTGAACTGTTGTGCCTTACTAGTTGACTGCTGTGTGTACTAAACTTCTGTATTCAGCACCTACTTGCCCCTCACTCACTGTACATCCAGCAACAATGCCTATTGGTCGGCGATGTTCATAGTCAAGATATTTTCTGTCAGAGGTAAACCATCAAGTTGGTACACTCTAGACAGAGTTCAATTCTATAAGAACTGGGTGCATGCTCTTGTTAATTCTCCCTCTTCTTTTCAGAGATCCACCAGTGGGTGCATGGATTGATGGGACACTTCCCAACTTTCGAAAATTTTAATAAAGTCATTCTTTAATTGTTTAATATAAAAGCTTCTATTTCGATTATTTTATATCTAATAAACAATTATGACAATTTTCGAAATATACAATCCAATATATCAAAAGATATTCACAAGTCTATTTTGGTAGTGTCCTCTTAGTCCGTACACCCACTGGTGATCCATTCTATCTACCTCTAGTTCTAAAGCTTCATTCTTCGATATATCATCTCCCAATCCATCAGTCATCCAGATTTGGCAGCAACATGGGCAGCAAAAATAATCCTCAACATCAAGAGCTCCTTCCAATATGTACAACAGTCTGGTATGCTGTGAACTTGCTTCCTCAAGGTAAGCTCTACTTCACGCCTGCACCATATCCTCTGAAATTTGATGAATATGGGTGTTGATCCTTTTGATCTATCCACGACACTGGAGTCAGATCGGAAATACAACTTCTTAAAACATGCCGAGCCAGGGAAGGAATTCCAGCCACTAGGTTCCGAGACGAAGTATTGGCTACCCGAGAATTTTGAGCAACACTCCACGGGATCCAAGTCAGTGAGTGACCCATATTCTCATATGCGGGACTGGAACGCAACTCGCCAGTGATTTCAAAATCGATACAAAAGTAACCGCCAATTATGCCGGATTCTCTGCCGAAGGTGGTGCAGGGTAGAGTACAGTACGAATTTCAAATCTACAAGATTGTGTGGAATCTGCAGTCTCGACCAGAAGATTTCCTCCATCGGTGTTATCAACAAATAGACGACGTATGATTCAGTAGAAGACGGGTTTATCAGTGCCGCTGCTAAGCTCCCGACTTGGAAGTCGATATCCAAGGATCTCGAGAATTTCGATGAAGTCACCGGTATCTACAGTGCGTTTGCAAAATTCTATTCCAGATACGGATATCATTTGATACAGGAAGGCTATATGGGCACACGATACCAGCTCAAAGTAGATCAGAAAGAAGTAATGCAAGAAAAGGGAGAGGAGTTCTCAACAAACATCAAAGCCGAGTATCAAGGCGCAATTGGAGGATCCGTCAGTGTTGATGTCAAGAAATCGGAGTCGTATGAGAAATACACATCACAACGACAAAGTGATTGCAAAGTTCTTGGAGGAGATCCTGGAAAAGCTGGCACACTTTCCCATCTATCCCCAGATGATGTGAATGTATATAATGCAGCGTTCAAGGGATGGCAAGAAAGCCGCAAAGAAGGGTCGACGGATGCTCTCCTTCATATAAGCGTCATGGAGATTGGAAGCTTCCTGAAAGGCAGCTATGTGAAAAGTCAATTGGCAGCTGCTGATCGTCTTCCCTCTGCCTGGTCTTATTTTAAGGATTTTTATACCTTCCAGGAACTGATGACTGCTATGAGCTTATCCAAGAACGATGTGATCAAATTAGAGATTACCCCTCTGCCCTGACTGGAGATCCGTGTTACTGGAACAGACATTTTAACAGTAACTCAGACGAAAGCAAACAGTGTTGAAGTTACACCCAATGAGGATTGTCCTTTGCAGTACCCTAATGTAACAATAGTCGCTCCCGATAGGCCAGTTCAGCTTCTGTTTACCCGAGTTTCTGAAGTTTTTTCCATGTTTAAGGTTACGCTTGGTTAAAACCTAATGGTTCACTTGATGCCTTTCAAAATTCGGGCTGTGTTTTCAGTAATAAAGTCTGGATCCATAGGCAAGTGTAGTGTTTCGTCATTTTCTTTCAAGTTCAAACCGGATTTCATGACTATGGGAAGTGATGCTTGATTCGTATTATCTGTCGCGTTTGTAGTTTTTTCAAACCCATTTTCAGAAACGGGAGGAGAGATCGAAACTTCAAGAGATTCCCGATACTTTCGATTCATATTCCCACTCAGTATAAGAAAACAATTGAGGAAGTTTCTGGAGGAAGATATTGGCGACAGAAATCTGCCACACAAGTACCGCACTCATAGCAAGGAACTAAGGGTTCAAATGCTTGGCCCGTAATTATTCGGGTTACGCTAATACGTCGCTTAAGCCCAACGATCCAATTGGAAGGACAGGCAGAGCATACAATGAACGAGAAATTTCTGAGCACTTGCTAACCAATCGACCGATTCCAATGATCGAAGACAAACAAATAGGCTGGTCGTGTCGATTGAACAAAGCAAGATTACTTCAATAGAACCGCGCATGCCGTGAACTGAGGGTAGTTCTAAGCGAGGCAGACGATAATGTGTTCCGTCAAAATTAAATATTTGTATAGCGCTTTGCCTGGAGTTCAGACTAGGATTTAGGGTAGTGTCTGCTCGAAGTTTATGTGTGGCATGGTCGCTGTTAAGGCTATATCCGAAAGTTTCCACCAAATGATCGTTGCAGAGTGCAAAGCCCACGATGATCACCCTCCAGATCGCATCTTAACTACATACGCAAGACACATTTATTCTAAGCTCATAGCGATCTACAATAGAACAACTTGATACACCAAGTCTATAATCCAGACATTATCTTAAGTCCTTTTCTTCGGCGAAAAAGGCTCACTGGAGCGGCGCATAACCCACAGATCTCGACAAGAAACATTACTATTCACGTCATCATTCATATCCCAACTCAGACTCTGGAGCTTAAATTGATTGCTTGATACTTCACTCAACTACCATCAGCGGATTAATCAACGTGAAAGACCTTAAAATTGATCGTTGACTAACGATCGAGGTTTGTGATTGACTCCATTCATGGCATAAAATTTGAGAAGCTTGATCGAAAGAATATATATCAAGAATACATTCTCTCAATGCGAAAGGTTGTTTCTGTAAAGGCAACACATTGGAAAAACGAGAGTTTCAATTAATCTCAAGTGTCGTCGATGGAATAGAAACGCAGAAATATGAATTATGCTGTGCAACTTCCAAGCCATACTGGTACACGTGATCTCTATAGGATTGACGGCAATGGGGCCACGTGCCAACAATCGCGGGCCGAGCATGCAACGCCATGCCTGTGCAAAAGAATAGTGTCTGCTGTGATCTCCTGTCCGCATTGTGCTAATTCATACCTTGCTCTTCATTGAGTGCGAGGTCCAATTCGCGTTCACCACGAGTAGCATAAATTAAATGTTTCTTTCTGGTAAGGTTAACTAACTGGTACCTAATTGGCAAGTACACGCATGACTCAAGTCTTTTCAGACTATATAAATATATATGTTTACATATCCCGAACTCTTTCAAAGAATCTCAGTCTCATAAATCACACTCCAAATTAATAAAAAAACCCTTTAACTATCTCGCCTATCCTCATCCAACAACTGGGGCGTGCAACAAGTTCGTCTGCTTAGTCATAAGTCAACCCAGCCCAAACTCCAAAATTCACTCTTCCATACTGAAGCCGTTCAATGCTCTCATCCCAAACCCCCAAAAAGCGTCCCCAAATTTCCAAAACAAAACCGACCAGAATGGGACTCGAACCCACAACCTTTGCCACCGGAAAGCAATGCGCTGCCATTGCGCCATCTGGCCTTTCTGACTAATCAGTAGAAGTTGTTGTTAAAAGATATAAACACATTTTGTTGCGTACCCCACCGTCGGAATTTCTTCGCGCCTTAGAGACTAAGACTGCATTCTGAGGCTGCAGTATACATACATCGCCACCCGCTGATTTGAAGTATGCATACAAATATTTGCTGCCGGGTCGGTTTAGATAAGTCTGTACCTGTATGCAACTTCTGCTATTGATCAATACGAGACATTTTCTCACTTCCTACTTGGAATTCAGATTTTCACTCGAGGGAAAGAGTTTTCATTGCGGGATAGACACACGTGATCTACTTAGCACAAGAGCTCAGGCCACCCCTAAATCATCGCTACACTTCTGTTATGCTTGAATATCCAGCTTCCGTTTCGTATGTAAAATTCAACAGGAGATCACAAATGGTAAATTACTATACAAATAGATATCTCCTAGCCTTATATCTTGCGAGATCAGGAATAAATCTTCTACACTGCACATCCCACAGCTCTCATCACACATGCGCTCTCCAATCCATATTATCAAAAACAGACATATGAACTCCACCCACCCATGACATCCCACTCCGACGCTCCACCTCAACCCACCTCCCAAAGTATCCTCCACTGTTGGATTATCAGCGTACATCGTACAAAGTATAAACAGCGGAGATTCTTTCACCCTCTCAACATCCAGGGTAACTTGTAGCTCCATTTAATAATCAATAGGAAGATTGCAAGTAAAAGTTTTATTAGCCTAAGCAAACCACACGTAAATCTCAAATCTACTCCCATCAATCATCTAAACCAAGGGAGGGAGGAAATTGCAAATATCAAAAGAGCAAATCTCTCAATCTTCCCTCGCCTCTTGTACCCCCTTTTTCCACATACTCCCAAACCCAAGACCCCCAAAAAGTCAATCTCGACGTCGGCATGATTCGAACATGCGCCCCCGAAAGGAATTGATATCGTATTCTGACTTCATACTCCTGAACCCAATGAACTCAGAGAACGTTGAAGTTTTAATTCGAGTCAATCACGTTAACCACTCCGTCACGACGCCTATTTGCTGACTAATTCATAAAGTAATTTTGGGCGGGTTTCAGTATATATACCTGCCACTTGAATACCGATGGAAAAGGTTGGGAAGATAGGTACCTATTGAGATATGAATTCTGTTCCTTTGTTTTTGCTTTTGTTGCGGGAAGTAAATGATGGTAGGTTGATAAAAGAAATACATATGAAAAAGTCCATACAATTGCCAAATGTATTTGATTGTGAAGATATTAATACATTGTATCGAACTCATCTCGTCGTTAATATTTAAGTAATCCATACCCATCCCCCACCGAATCGAACCTCATAACCCTCATCAACAGACATTCTGGACGATCCCAGTGTCTATCTATCTATAAACATTAATACAATTTTAATTACAACCACTTCTCCATCAACATCACCATCAACACCACTACATTAACCTCCACGCCCCTCTAGATATCATGTCTCGCTCTCTTACTCTTCATTCTAATCTTCTCACCCCATTTATACAAAATAAACGGAATCGGTATAAACGCGACACTAATGAAAGCCAACGTGGAACTCGCCCACGGCACTCCCAAATCCTTAAACATAGCATTAGCAAAGAGTGGGAAGCCGGCGCCGAAACACGAGCGCATGAAATCGTTTCCTGCGAATGCTGATGCTGCCACTTTGGGGTATGCGTCGCCGATGTAGTTGAGAACCGAGTTGAAGAGGAGGAAGGCACCGATGGAGAAAAAGGCTGAGCCGATTATGGGGACGATCCACTGGGTTTGGTTAGTTTGTTTTTAAGGAATTGGAGGAGAAGGAAGAAAAGGAGAGGAAGCATACGTGAATACTTTCTTTACTTGTCCATCCGAACCAGAACAAACAGATGGGAATGCAAAAGGCTCCTACAAAAGCCGGTTGCAATCTGATCTCAGGTTTGATATTGCCACTCTCATCAAATCTTGGTTCTTGGAATTTGTATAGATACCAGAAAAAGGGCGGTATAACCACAACAGATCCAACGAAAATACCCAAGAAAGCCAATCCCTCTTTCCCCAAACTAAATCCGTGAATCTCGACAAAGACGATAGCGAATGATTCGAACCAGACATATAGAAGACCGTAAATCAGTGCAATGTAGAGATTGAGGCAGAAAAGAATGGGTTCGGAAAAGGTGAGTGAGAATGGAAGAATGAGCGCCATGTTAATCTTATCTTTGGTGGTCATTTCATCCGCTTCGAGCTCTGCTTCGGATTTGAGATTATCAGCACTGCTGGATTTCTCAAGACGTCGACGTCGACGATACAGGATATTGGCGGAGCTGGTCTCAGGCAAGAGAAGGATCAAGACGATCAATGCGAATCCTGCAGACATTATTAGTATCAGCCCATCCAGAGAAATGTGCCCAGTGATCTTGATAGTCGAACGCAGACAAGACTATGACATCCGGAGTGTATCAGATTTTCAAGAATTTGATTGAACTTACCAGATAACCATGTTAATTCCCAGATAGTCCAAGTCCAACCTTTGCTTTCGGCGGCAAAGCCTCCAACCAAAGGACCCAACTAAGTTTGTCAGTAATTAGAAATTTAGAGACAGTGATGAGAAGAGACAACATACCACAGGACCGGACACAGCAGCCATACCCCAAATTCCAATTGCATAAGCCCTCTTTTTTGGCGCATACATATCAGCCAACGAGGCACCACCAGTAGCCAATACCGGCGAACCAAAAAATCCAGTCAAGAATCGAAAGATAAGCATCATGGCGAAATTCTTCGCATATATGACACCGAATTGGAAAACCACAAATACAACTAGCGTGCCAATATAAACGGGATTTCGCCCAATCTGAGGTATTTCACTCATGGGAGACCAGATCATGGGTCCTAGACCATAGCCGGCAACGAATAGAGTGAGACCAGCTGTGGCGGCAACTTGACTGACTCCGAATTGTTGCATCACATCTGTGATACCTGCGGAATATATGGCCGATCCAATGTACACAGCGAAAGTCAGTAAACAGATGAGGAAAGTAACGAAGAACTTTTTTCCTGTCGACCAGTTTTGTGGATTCTGTTATTTAGAGTTAGTCAAGGTTACGAGAGACATACAAGACTGCATATTTGAAGTGCATGAAATATCTCCAAGGGCTCCAACCACATACCTCTGAATCAAGAGCTCCCTCCGTTTGGTCCCAATCAATAATTTGAACATCTTTCCCTCCATTATCCGTTCTCACAGCATCTTCATTCGTCACTCGCGTTCTGTCTGAACCTAGTGTCGTGTTTGAAGGCCTACTTCCATGCCTTTGATCTCTGTGTTGATCTTCATTATCAATTTCCTTATCTTCCTCGGAGGCTTCCTCTTCTTCAGGGTCCTCGCAAGTGCCGTGATGTCTCACGTTCTGAGTCTTCCGTACATTTAGATATCTTCGCCAAGTTTTCGGATTTCCCTTTTCACTGTCTGCTAGTGCGTCTTGTTCCTCTGGATACTTCAGAAATTTGTTCCCTGATAGTAGACGCAAGATTTTTCCCGCCGTTGCGTCTCGAAAGAGTTCCCTCATTCTAACTGTCCGATGTCAATCGAGAGAATAGAAACTATCGTGTCAAATCGATTTCGTGTCCAGAAAAAATATGTGAAGATTTTTGAAACGAAGAGACTTTCAACTATCAAGAATGGAGGGAGTAGTCTATCAACAGTATATCAAGCAAATAATAGGTACATATGGAGTATAAAAATAAATTATGAGGAGGCAAGTACAAATATAAATGCTCCAACAGCCGGAAATATTCCTCCTCCGTTGAGCTTTATTCCAAATGCACTCTTCTCGGCCTTTCTCAACAGTCCATATGATATCATACTTCCTATCAATAAACGCGCCAGTCTCCTAAATAAATCTAGCTCCTCCTACCTCAATACTCATACAGCAAGACCCGGCCCTTTCACGAGTGGAATCCACCCTCTTCGAACCAGATCCAAAATGCCTAAACCCGAGATCCAAAATGCATACCAAAAAGTCCACCCCAGATGCTCGAATCAGCAGTATTCCAACATCTTCGGACATGTTTGTCCGAAAGAATGAAGCTTAACCATACCACATTCAATCTGACAAACCAATCGACTCGATAACGATTTGTGCCTTTCTCTCGATACCCATCAAATAATAGATGGGCAAAATATAAGTATGCACGATGAACCAATGCCGATCATTGGAAAAGCTTAAGAGAAACCTAATCGCTGACGTAGATGACTTTTTTTTCCCGTGCAAAACTCTTGATTGGCGCTAGCCAACGTCTGAGCACAATGACTGAATGCATCACTACCTAGTAGGTACGTATGATAATTCTTCGGACTCCGCACGGGATTGCGAAATCGATGATTGATGATGATGATTAACGAAGCTTCACGGTTTCGATTCCATTTATCTGATTTTCAATCCTCAATTCCTAAGCGTTAAATCTAGATCATGTGGCTGTCATGTCAAATCTGAATCAAGACATTGATGAGTATAAGGTTAGAAGATCTACCTAAGTCAGCCAAGCGAACAATTAGTCAACACATATACCTATCGACCTCCAGTAACCTATCTACCCCTCAATTCATTCAGCCCAATTTCATCAACGATACATATATATTGGTATGCGTTGCATATGTTTTAGAGATTGTCTTAAAAATTTGTTCTTTTCTTTTTCTTTTCTTCAGCTTTGGACATTAGTTTCTTCTACTAGGAGGAGGGGGCGGGACGCTTCCCCCTCCATTCAGACCCTTCTCCTTAGTGTTGAATGGTCTCAAAATATAATCCTAACATAATATATACCTAGAATTATGAATTATTGTATAAATATGCACTCTAATGCAGTAGAAACCATAACGGCACATAACAGCCTTCCGCAAAACCCTTGGCATGATGATTTTCTAGCATGGCGCGTCTTTCAAATACACAAACAATTTTTCTTATTCCTCCCCCCTCGCTCTCGCCCTCGTCTTCCCTATCATGACCCGAGGGCTGATATCATCTAACACCCCTCCTACCCTCCAATTCTTAGCTCCCCAAACTCACACTCCAGATACCTCTTCCAATCCCTCCTTCGCACCCTCCCTAGTTCCCTATTCCCATGGTTTCCCGCCTAACCGCCCAATCTAGAACATCACCTACCTACCTTCTTTCAATCCCCTATAACCTACAACCCCATCCCCTAGTATCCAAACTCCCCAACCTTCCTGAATCCCTTCCTCTCGGCTTCGGTGGCATTCCACCCAGAATACGAACCCAAAGTTCCAATTACGAGCAGTACCGTCGTCACCGTCACCATCGTTATTTCAAGAAAGCCCAAGAAAAACGTCTCAAAATCCATTCTCACCTTACTCCAGACATCCAGAATTCCAGTTCACTAACCTGAATATAATGGAATTAACTTCTCAGTCGAGAATCATATCCATTTCTTTATATATATAAAATATACGCAGGAAGAAAATAACGAGATAATGCGCCTGCCAAACCATCCGAACGAAGACATGATAATACAAAGTTTGATTCAATTCCCAACACAACGAAACTAAACGCTATTAAAGGATTATTCTGTGTCCTGACCCTTGTTGTCTGCCTACACAAGATACCTGCGTAGTAATGACCTTATCGTCTGTCCGATTCTAGCTTCTCATTCCCGTTTTCCCCCTCCTCTCCCCCCTTTAATTAGCCTTGACGCTCAGAATTTTCTTCGCACCCAAATCCTTCACCTTCTCTCCTAACGTTCCCCTCTCGTCCAATTCCGCCACATCATCACCACCTCCGATACTGACCCCATTAATCAACACATTGGGGACTGTTCTCCTTCCTGTAAGCTGATTCAATCTCCCTTGTAATTTTCCTCCCAAGGGATGTTTATCTAATTCCACCACATATGGGAGCGGATCGATTGTGTATTTTTCGAGGAGGATATCCTTTGCGCGCTTGGAATGCGGGCAGTAAGATTTGGAGAAAATGATAACTATTCGAGTAGTTAGTTAATTGTGTTCTCTAATGTGAAGAACAGACCTTGTAGAACATAATAGAAATGCAAATGATTAGAAAAGAAAAAGGGAAACTAACTCGGCGATTTCTTCAAAATAGTATTCAATTCCGTCGTGACCTCCATATCTTCTTCCTCCACCTCCTTCTCTCCCTCTTTAACAACTTCTTGCGCCTTATCACTCATTTTCTTCCGTCCCGCAACACTCCTCTCCCCACCTTGTCCCTCTGCCGCATTTCCCTTTCCCACAACCTGCGACGGTGGATCAGGTTTAAACGCCTTGGCATTCGCATTATCTTTTGCTTTATCCGCCGCATCTTTTAATCTCTGTTGCATTTCTTTTGCTACTTTCTCATCTTCGTCGTTTCGGCTTCCTGCAGCTGCCACCTCTTGCTTTCCCAATCCATTCATGGTCTTGCTGTAGAAATCTCCGGAGTCGGATTTGACGAGATTGCGCTGTTGACGGAGAGAGGAAGTATAGAAGAGGAGGGATACGACGGCTATGAAGACGAAAAGGCCGAAGACTTTCACCCGTCGCATGGAAGCCATTTTGGTGGGCTTTTCCTTGTAGTAAGGAGGATCTATTGGGATGGGTAGGAGTGGTTAGTTGTTGGTAATTACTCGTATGGAATTGAGAGACGAAGAGAGAAACTCACTAGCTGCGTAGTACTTTCCCATTTCTACTGCGAATGCTATGCTGTACGTTTATTGTAATTTGCGCGATAGGTAGGTACGTTGAGGCTTGCGAGTTTTTGCGAACTTGCTTGCTTGCTCTCTATCCCTTTTCTCGTTGACCCTTTTCTCCTTCTCTAATCAACACTGCAGAATCTGCAAGTTTTCGCAATGGCGTACGAGGTGATTGTTTCGTATGGATTTCAAACCGCTCAGGTCTGCAATAAATCGTCTTAAGAAACCACCTGTCAACCCCAATGCCAATGCCAATGCCAATCGCAATTCAATCCCAATAGATACTATGCCGATAATCCGAATCCTTCACACCACGTATCGTTTCGTCCTTTGTTTCCACAAATAAATTGTGACTTAATAATTATCTGCTCGCGTCGTAGGTAATTATTATCGTTTTGGTGTACCACTTGTACCCAGCTAGTAGATAGATGGATTGTCGAAGATCCAATATTTCCCGTTTCAAGCTTCGCTCCACTAGTTGGTTGGTGCTCCCTGGATAGATTGCGATCTCTCCTTAAACCTTATCATGTATCAAACTTCACAATTGGATGTAACTTCTCACCCACGTTTAAATCTCTCAGACTCGTAAGAAAGATATAAGTCAACGACAGTCATGGTTATGGTAGAAAGAACCAAAGGTCACACGATGCTCATATCTCACCCCTCTTTACACACACTAGACTCATCCTTCTGCCTCTTAGGTTCTCTGCAGATACCCATAATTCGTGGCATTCAAAATTACGAATCAAAATCCAATCTCCATTCCATCCGAGTTGATATTCAATAAACCGTTTTTATCCATTCTGAAAGAAGTTCTATCCCCCGCCGCTTTTCCTCTGATACCTACCTGGTCGGGTACAAAGGTACGAAGGGTCATGCACCCCTGGCTAATGAAGATCTAGCGGGCCTTAATTCGCATTTAGCTCTTAAATGTCATCGGCAAACATGGAAGCACGGTTTCGAGTTAACGAGACCAGCATGATTGACAGGAAGCCTTTTTGGTGTATGGAACAGAATATAGAACAAAACCATTGAGATCATCTCGTTTCACAAGTATTTGAAAATATGAAGGGGAACCCCACTGATCACCAAGATCCACTGCCGTCAAGCTTCTAGAAGATCTGAACCCCGTCTTGAGCCCATCTTGAGATCCGATACATTCTTTGACAGGCATCGGCAATGTCAAATTAATGCATTTTCATTTCTGCGTTCCCAGAAGTTTTTGCAATCCATATCCTTGAAGTGTGTCATCTATTATATTCTTATTATGGATTAAGCTAATTATTTAAAGGGCATATTACATAGATAGGTATGTATGGTAATCGTACAAGTCGTAACAAAAGAAAAATCACTCCCGTTGACCACCTCGTTCCACGAATAGCTTTGACAAAGGAAAGTATACCTGTATGTATCAGTCATCTAGCGCCATCCAACTTTTATCCCCGCTGGGTATATCCCCTTAATCAATCATAATATGCCACTCCAGAAGCATACATACCACCCAATAATCCCTCATCTAAAAGCACCCACACTCGCTCTTTCTCTCAGAGTTCTTTTCCCTCCATCACCTTTCATAGTCCCCGTGACCTCAATCCAATCCTCCCATTCTCGTGCGATTTCCATGAGGACACCACCCATTACAGTAGCCGAGGCCATTAATCCATGTCCTTCTCCTTCTAAGACTCTTACTTCACATCTCTTCATTGTTTTGCCCAACCATCGAACATTTTCAACAGGGACTCTCGTATCTTTACTTCCATGGTGAATGACTGTTGAACGTGTGATATCTACATAACGAAACCCAATAGTATGCCTTCTCTCCAGACATACTAGTAAATCCACAGCGGGATTTGCGCCGACAGTTGCTAGATCCCATATAGCATGCGTTAAACGTGTATCATAGGTCATTTGTCTTTCTTTGTCGGCTAATGTACTCGCAGCCACTGCTAATATTGCGGCATCATGATTCGGATCATTCGGATCTGATGCTGCTTGCTCCATTGATTCCGGTACAGTAGATTCTGGTCTTCTCGAAGGATCAAACTTTTGATTCTCCTTATCCAGACCTGGGGTGAGTACGTTGGTCCTACCACTCGGTGTCGGAGTATCTCGAGTGGTGGATGCTGACTTGCGCTTAGTTCTCTTTTGTTTTGGAAGACTGCTTGTAACTGAGCTACTGGTGGCACTCATGAAACTAGAATTTGCAACCTTGAGAATTGTGGTCGGAAGCGCGCGAAGTATCCGCTGAGATGTAGGTATAGAGTTCGCTGGTGGCGATACTGTCTGTGTACCAAATGTTGTCAACTGTGAAGGGGGGATCCAAGGGGCAAGAAGATGAATGCGGCCGCGAATATGCTGTGGCATACGCAATGCTGTTGCGAGAGCGTATATTGCACCTGCTGAATGTGCAAGTATGGAGAATTTTGTTATCCTCAAAGCTTGACAAATCGCGTATACATCATCTATATCATGTTAGCTTCAAGAAAGACGACAAAATTCCTAAGCAAACTTACCAGGCCAGCTCAGTGGAGTCGCTGTGCCATCAGTATATGGCTCACTTTGTCCAACTCCTGGTCTATCCGGTGTGATCAGTCGTAACTTCAGCGCTAGGGCAAGCTCATCGTAAAAGGCGGTGATATATCTTGTCAGACCCATCCCAACGCAACAGAACACTGCTGAGCCCTCAGGATCGCCTACTTCTGAGAATGAAATAGTTCGACCGCTTGTAGGGTGTCTAATTTTTTGTGACAGGCGTGGAGATGCAAGATAAGTTGTAACGGCATCATCGATAGAATCTGCACTGCTAGGACGAGGATCAACAAACACAGAAGCAGGTCTCGGTTGTTCTGGAGAAACAACTCTAGAGCTAGGTCTAGAAGGGTTCTTTTTAGAGGTATCATAGTCCGAATTGGCAGGACTTAGCGGTCCGGATAATCGCTTGAGTCGTGAACTACTTCGTTTTACCTTTAGCTCTGGCGGTTCAGGTGACATCCCACCAGATTGTCTTTTCTGACTAGATGATCTCTTGTTTTTGGTAGGACTTGGATTGGTTTGTGATCTTCGTTGAGTAATAACAGGTGCAGGAGCACAATCAAGATCATCCTCAACGATCGGATGCTCATTGTTCTGTGCAAAATCCTCATGTTGTTTGCTGGCTGGCGTTGTAGATATGGATGAAGGGGGATGGAACTCCTCAATAGGCGCCTTCAGATTTGTGGATTCCCCAGATTCAGAGCTTGCCCTGCTCTGAGCTTCATCATGCTCGTTAATGATATCCTTCTCCCTTTCACGATCCATATCACTTTGTCTACTTGCTAATTTTGAATCGCGCTTCTTTGTTTGGGCCGCCGGTTTTCGGAGAGATGAATCTCGTGCAGGTATAAATCTACCTGATCCAATTCCGCCGGGACTATTCGCCAGCGATGGAGACCAACGGCGAGGAATTGGGGGTGTTTTTGTAGTGTCGAGGGTGAGAATGGTGTGCTTGCCTAATAAGGGAGGTTCCTCAGTAATGGGAGTTTCAGCCATAAAAGTTGGTTGATCAAAACTAGGCATGGCCAGGCGATCAAGCCCAAGGCCTTTGAAATTTCGTGTCTTTTCCGATGCGTTTTCTCTGAGTCTTTCTTTTGAACTCATATACATCAATCCTTTATTATTTCTACCCTGTTTCTTATCCCAACTATCCGTTGACCTTTTCCTTTCCAATTTCTGTATCGGAGCGTAACCCGGCTCTATTGATAAACTCCCGATGGTGCTCGAATCATCTTTTTCTTTTGATCCTTGTGAACCTTTCGAACCCGGTCGGCGCAGAAAGTTTTTAAGGGAGTTGGATCTAGAATCTGTCGCTGGTGATTTTGGTGCGGTTAACGGAGAGAATCCTGATGGAGGTTTCGAAGTTTTAATAACAGGAGGGCTGGCAGCCAATTCATCGAGCGATTCTTCCTCAATAAGTTCGCGCAATGAAGGTTGCCTGAATGCTCCGTAATCGATACCAAAACTTCCTCCCGAACTTGTCCTAGTATATGATGGTCGTAAATCTGGATGGGAGAAGGAGATCGTCGACGCAGATGGTGAGACCGAATTCGAGTGATTCTCGAAAAGATCATTCGCGGGAGAGGATATGATGGAGAGAGAAGTAATTAAGGAAGATATAACCTCTGGCGATGCAGGTTGTACAGATATGCGATTTGAGGAATGCGCCGAAGGACCTGATAGAGATTTTCGACGGGAATGTTGTCGTGAACGATATGGTATTGGTGGGGGAGTCTCCATGGCGCTCTGTGTAAGGATCGGACGTACTCGCGCCTACTATAGATGATCGGTAGGTTTAGGATGATTTAGAGTGATTTTGATACAAGCATTGACACCATACACCACCTTCAAAACCACAAACAATTGAAAGAATGTTTCAAAGATCCCAATTTTGTTTAAATGCGAGGGAAGATTTGGGTTGGTGCAAAAATTGGGTGAGACTCTGTTCGCAGTGGCTGATTGCTAGCAAAATTAAGTAGATGGTCCGAGAATGTAGAGTGAATGAAAGTAGAAGAATGAATGTTGATCTATCTGGACGAAGACGTTGAGAAACTTTGGTCAATTAATACGCAAGAAATCTTTCAGCAAAGGTTACCACATCAAAGCATGTATCAAAAGGATCAAAGCAGTCAATGTGCGAACTCCTTTGAAGTTATACTATGAGACATACGAGATCCATTTGAACTTGCTGTTGCTGTTGCTATTGCCGTTGCCGTTGCTGATTCCAAAAGCTTTTAACAGAAATTAAAAAGCCCCTCGGCTTCAATCGATCAATCAATCAATCGAAACTTCTTCCAACAAAGGACTCGAGTCGACCGATTTTATTAGTGAATTGTCGAAAGCCCCATAGTTTAGGTTCAGGGGCATTCAATGCTTATCGTCTTTTTCCAAAAAAGTTGACTATGCGCGGGGGAACGTCCTGATGGGAATTTCAATTGGCAATGATAGGTTGAGGCTGCAAATTCTACCTGCAAAATGCAATGCAGAACATGGATGTCTTTCCCCGAATGCACTCGTGGAAAGATGTGATGATTATGGGTGGGCTTCGTGGGATGCGTTTGGTTTGTCCCTTTTTTTTCTGGGTCGCCAAATTAATCTCGACAAGGCGGCCGGGAAAGGGAAGCGATATCAATTTGGAAAAGGAACCTTGTAGAACACCGAGAACACTTCGAGAAGATATATATACAGGTACAGTAGGAAGGGAGCTGATGTGAGGAGAATGGTGAAAAGGGAGAGAAAAGGAAGGGGAATCTCTATCCAGGTATCAATATCCATCATCCATGGTTCTGTCGGTCCGGGTAATTATGCCTTATATGAATTGTGGTAGCTCGTACCCAATAAATCCCGAAAAGCATCTTTCTTTTCATCGGTATCCGCTTCTTTAAAATTTCTACAATTAGAGCAGTGGATCTTGAGTTTCTTTTTCCTTCTTTCCCGTACTGCTTATCAACAAAAGGAATGTCAAGAAATATCCAAAGCCCGAGCTGAAGAAGGTCTTGGACAATTTCGTTGCTCGTCCAAATTATTAAATTCAAGCGGCGGGTAAACTAATTTGAACCCCTGATGCAGTAGCGAAAAGCTAGCATTAGTCCAGCAATCCTCCACATGAATGAAAAAAGTGGGCACAAATCAAGAAACGTCAGAATTATGACATCGTCACCACGAGGGGCCGAATCTTTTGTCGACATAAACTAGGTATGGAGCGGGCCGTTCGTTGGCATATCGTACCAAGTGAATCGTCTTTTCTCTCCCCACTATCTGTAAAGTATATCTAAGACACAGTACACTCTGATCTTGTGTGCACTTCTTCACTATTCCGAGACATACATCATTTGAAGAACGGTTTGCAAGATAGACTATACTATGGATGCCCTTCTATCGCTCCCGGTGGTGGGATGGTTTCTCATGCCATCGGTTTCAACATACTCTACATCCCTCAACTTCTTATTCTTTTATATGACATGGTCGACTCTTGTACTATCACATTCGGCTTTAAGAGTTGAGGTAGTGGGAACTCTAGGAATAAGACTACTGTTCTTCATAGTGCCTTCATTTGTATTCCTCATATTTGATTCTATCATACCAAGCTTATCGGTGGGAGTTAAACGGCAAGGAAAACAAGCTTTACCTACTCGAACGGGGGGGACAAAAGTGTCTAGAGCAAAGGCTCCAGAATGGTACCGGGTAGTGGGGATCAGTTTGTTCAATATCCTTATGGGAGTCGGCATTCAAGCGGGATTTGAAATGGTTCTTACGGAGATCTTACACTATAAGAGCGCGCTAAGAGTCACTACTACGTTACCCATGCCATGGTCTATCGCCAAGGATGCTTTGAAATGTCTTCTTTTTCGTGAGGTTAGTGATTCTCCCAAGTATCTGCCAAGACGTACAGCTGTAGCTAATTTGTACTGTCTATCAGTTCATACAATACTATACCCATCGCTTCGTCCTTCACGCCCGCTCTTCAAATTTCCTTAGCCGAGGTCACAAGAGCTATTACCACTCCGTCACTTCTCCATATGCATTTGTCGCCCACTACGATCACCCAGTCTCCTACATACTGTTCCGCTTCATCCCCATCTATCTCCCAGCGGTAATTTTCCGGGTTCATCTTCTAACATATCTTCTCGCCCTCTCTGTTGTTACTATGGAAGAAACACTCGCATCGTCCGGTTATAGCAGTGTCCCTGGGATCATACTCGGCGGAATTGCACGTCGTCAGGATCTCCACAGTGAAAGTCGAGGAAAAGGAAATTTTGGACCATGGGGTTTATTGGATTGGATCCATGGAACTAGTCTCGGGTCCGGATTGGAGGAAGATGTTGCGAATGAAGCCGAAAAACATCAGGTCAAGAGCCGAAGTAGGAAGGCTATTGCTAGTGGGAAGGAGAGTGTGAAATCATTAAATGGAAGGAGAAGAAGTTCTAGGAGAGCTTAGGTCTTCCTTTTATGATGTTAGGGTGGTCGTGGTTGGATTTTGTTGGCAGTGGAGGTTGGGAAACACTTAGTTTACATTACGATACCCTTGTTCTATGGTTCTGCTAAGCCTGCTTTGTATTTTATATGCATCTATTTTGATACCAATTCTCGTCATCGAATCTGAAGCAAGATTCTCTTAGAAATAGGAAGTGCCCTTGGTGGCGCAAGCAGGCGTCATCCCTCAAATCCCTCAACTCGACAACCACCCAACTTCATCCAATCATCATTTCTCCCCCATTGTAACATACTTCGAGCAAGGAGTAAACGTAATACTATCGCAAGGCCTTATATGTGGATGCCCACCTACCAGGGCAGGAAAAAAGTTGAAATTTTGATCTCTTGACATACTTAAGGCACAAAAAGCCGAACAATGTTTCAAACTCAATCCCCAAAGTTCTGATAATCTTCCTAGAACCTCATAGAGCGCAAAGTTTAGACTTTGTTTGATATCACAGCAGAACCTACACAATCTCAATCTCCCAAAACCAAATTCCCATGAAGAGTTTTAACTTTCATCCCTTTAGATCGAAAAGTCCCCAACTCCCTTCTCTCAATCTTCACACCCAGCACCTATTCCTTCTTCAATTCTTGCAAATTCAACTTTTTAACAACTTTTCCCTGATCCCCAGATCGTCATCATCCTCCCTCCCAATTTTCAGGACCAACAACCAAAATCTTAAAAAGTTGAAAAAAGTTGATTTTTCGAAACCTTCGTGTACAAACCCTGAGCAAACAGCTTTTTTCTTTCAAAAGACCACACTGGTGGACAAATAAAAGTTGAAATCAACTATTAAGATGTGCAACAAAAACTTGCAAGAGGAAGGAATCACGAGATTCGGAATGGGTGATTGTTATTCCGAAGTGGCTCGAGCTTTCCTGGGTGAGGACATCCAACACCTTTTTTGATTCTTGTTTGTTAAATACAAGACATGTCATGACATAATGTGTTGTGGGGATACTGCTTACTAGAAGTCTGGATCGCAATCTACCAAACTATTGAGTGGCTGATCTCTTTTTGCAAAGTGCAAAAGTTACTTAATCTTACCGTGCAGACAATTGATCAAAGGTTTGTGGTCAAATAGGAACAGGAAGGAGATGTGGGAAGAAACTGTCATTCGACCTTTGTGGAAGGAGAGGATCTTCCTTGAATTTAACTTTATCCCACATAGAAGTTTCTGGTGCTGATAAGTTGAGGACAAAAAATAAGTTCAAAAGCATTGGAACAAAAGCCCCCTCATGGATATGGCAATGACCATGCCAATGCATGAAAAGAAAGATCTTCAAGAAAATCATGGTCCTGGGTTTATGAAAAATCATCCCTTTATCCCTTCATCTCTTCACTTGACAAGGTACCCTCAAAATCTTTCGCCGCCAGGAGGGGGTGCTCATATTATGATGTCCAGGTGGAGTCATCCATAAATAATCGTTATCACTCCAAACATATTGCTATTTACTCCTCAATTATATCTGTTATTCTCCAAGGAGATTCCTGTCGTTATACCTAAGACAATTACAAGCACCTTTATCTTCCAGGTGTAAGAAAATATCGAAGTTTAATCGTTCAACAATTTTAGAGTTGTTCAACAATGTCTCAGAGCTTAGAGCAAGTACTACTTCCTTGACTCAGCATACTTATGCCGATCACTATACTGGGGACCATAACTGAGCGTACCAGATATGTTTGGATCAAGACCATTGTGAAGGTCGGAAGTTCATCATCTTTGTGGAATGTCAAAACTCAAAAGTTTGGCTAGAATGGAAAGTCCTAGGCTTCTAAGTACTTCTTCCAGGGCATCTGCTAAACTCATTCAGTATAGTGGGATCGATTGCTTAGTACAATTGAACTCTCTCATTCTCTCACAAGATTACATACATTGATTAATAAGGTCTATGGGAGAGCTTCGAGGGGTCTTTTCGCTTAATGGCTTTATTTGACGTCTCATCAAAACTCATACTTCTTTTTACTGGATATCAGTTATATCTGATTAGACATATAGTTCCTGTATACGCTCAAATTCTCTCAGAGATCCAGTAAGTAAGCATGTCCATTACTTTGTTTTTGTTCCTTTGTTGTAACTAGATTTTTGTAAAATGTTATATGTATCTCTTAGTGTATAAATACTAACCTCTCTCTTTTGCTAGCTTTGTTTGAAGATATACACTGTGTAATATTGCATAAAGATGTAAACCGTCGTTCCCAGGGAGGTTTCCATGAAATCAGGATAAGTTTTGGTGAACCAAGTCTGGTAACAGTAGTTCAATTCTAGGGGACATATCCCGGTAATAATTTTGGCTTGTTGTTCCGATGTGGGCACCCAGAATATTGACCGACAAGGTTTGTTTCTAAGTACCTCCTGCTTACTTCTCTATACGAATCCTTGACTTCTTTACATGTTCCCTTAACGATCAGCAGATACTCGCAATCACTTTCTTTTTAACTCTTAGTACAAGAAGCTGGGTGCTTTGTTCTCCTATACAACAGACAATCCCGCCTTTCCCGGATTCGTGGCATAAATCTCCCAAATCTCCGTCGTTTACACAGAAGTCACAACTACCACGTCTTCCATTACGCGTTCCTGCCACGGAATTGTTCCTCCAGCTTTTGAACTCTCAACCTTACTTCAGTTCTTACTTCTCATGTTCAGTAATCTCATGGCTACCAACCTATTAACCTCCAATGGGAGGGTAGAGTTACCAGCAGATGTATGCCTACGAATTATAGACCTAATCATTCATGACGCGCCTAAGAACGTCGTCATCTTAATCAAGCTTTCACGTGTCAGTTATATCACCTCTCTTCATCTCCTCTTTTGAGCAGTACAACAAGAGCCTACTCATTACCATACTTAAGATAACTCAACTAACTTCCTGCAGTCCTTCAAGAAGCTCGTCAAAACATACGAACGAGGCCTGACCAAAACCGCCATCAATCTCTACTCCAACGCCCACGTAAATCAAAACATCCACTTCATCGTCCGCAACCAACCAGCATCTAAGGACCTCGCCCCCAACCTATACATCAACCACACCTTCGCGCATCTCCTAGAAACCCAAACTCGCGCACGAATTACGCACGAAATAGTCCACGATCCCTTTTCACAATGCCACCACCCCACTATCTACTGGGCCGGCGGCGTAGGTTTCGATCCGCCTACCCTTGCTATTCCTCTACCCGAGCTCGAAATCCGAAGACAGAAATTCAAAGAAGATGCGCTCAAATTATTATACGAGCTTTTCGATAAAACCCAAGGTGTCAAAAACGACTGGCATGCTCGAATTCGACAAATCGATCATCTCTCCCGTCTCAGTACGTCGGAATTAGCAGTGCTTTGTATCTTCATTCCTATCTTGGGATTTAATCTTCTTGAAAAAATGAAAGATGAGAGTGTTGATACGAAGAGAGCGGTCATAATTTTCCAGCATAACCTCGTGAGATATGGACCGATAGTAGCTTGGCTGCAGATTTCTGCAGATACGAAGTGCAAAAGAATAGGACTTGCGGGAACGGTCAGATTGAACGAATGGTGGAAAGAGAGACAAGCTGAGGGTGTGGAAAAGTTAAAGAAGTTTGAGCGGGGTAGGACGGGAGAGGCGAGGATGATACTGGTGCTTTGGAGAATCTTTCAGGGTAGGGATAGTGTTGAAAAGACTTGGAGTCCGAGGAGCGGGGAGAGACTTTGGGAAATTGCCAAGGAGGTGGTGGAGAAGAGGATGAGGGGATATACCGTTTGAAGGGGGTTTCTTATCTCGTCTTGCTATGCTTGGAGTGGGTTGAGGCTGGTTTATGGTTATATGAGGCATTGGGATTGGGATTAGGATTGGGATCGGAATCGGGATGATGTCTGTGTATTTGAAAGATTCGGGGTTTTATTATGATCTCGATTATCCGGAATGAATTGGGAATATGTTTCGGTTGCCAGATACTGAGACTGGTACAGACAGGGACTAATGTTGGTATTACGATTGTCGAGATAGTTATCAAACTGTCTGGGTTAAGCACTATGAATTGAATTAGGTATCCAAACGGGGATTACGAGATTATTTCAAATGAGGAAGATTGAATTACTGTAATATTACTGTCGAGGGTCCATTGAGAGGTTATGAGTGTGAATGTCTAGGAAATAACAAGACTCCGAAACTTATCATCGCATTAGTCGAGATGACAACAATGATTGTTCATATCAAGGTCAAAGGTTCAAACCCTCATCTGATGTTTACGCATGATAGTATTCAACTTTCATATAATTGTTGCAGATTATAATGTTCTCGTCTGATCAGCACGAGATGTCAATACTAAGAGTGAGAGTAAAGGTCGTAATAGTTTTCCACTTTCTTCTTTACTTCATACGCTTTTGTCTCATGATTTAATAGAGTAATATTCATTGTCAAACAAAAATTTAGATGATCAGAAGTATTGATTCGAGGAGATTCGTCGGCAAAGTTGTGATTCATAGAAGCATTTAGCAACTCTTGACGAAGGGGTACTCATCTAAATTCTATCAAGATCTGACATGAGTTGAGATGTTTGAGAATACTCATCTCATGTTGATAGGATAATGTTGATCAACAGATTCCTAGAATGCTTTTACATATATAGATAGAGATTGGTGTATCAATCCCTTGAGCTTGGATTGAAGTATCTTACTTTCACGTTGACATGTATCTGCTAGGTATGCATTCATGAGTTCTGCTGAGTATTCATTCCAGATTGCTACATATCTCGAGCTCACCATCGACGGTTTACTCTCAGACTGGGTTATCGTTAGCATCGACTTCCTGCTCTTCGTATCTAATTACTGCCTCCTGAGAAATGTACATATAACTAGCCAGTACCATACCGTTTCGCTCCACGTTCTCACGCACTACTTACTCCTCTCTTCGACTTTCTACTAAAATGATTTATCGGGGTTTTACGACAAGATCCATAATCATATAAAATCCACAATCCCTATCCAATCTTACGAAATGCCCTTCAGATCACCCCGATCCCATCAGCTTTGAAACACGTCCACTGATTAAGTATTGAGCATTGAATTGCTTTATTATTCGTTAGTTGAGTTGTTCGCGTTGTTCTTCTGAACGTCAGGCACAATTTACCTTTTATTATCTTCTAGGGCATCTCTTTATAAGATGACTCTACTGGACAACTTGATTGTGAAATTTCTCTAATGCTAATAAAGGTATGTCAGTTCTTGCTTTAAAGAGAATTGAAGTATCGTTCACGGCCTTGAGCAGTAATCTCGAAGAGCATATTGACTGTTCCGTTCTAAAGGTATTAACAAGTTGGTTGGTAGCTGACATGGGCTTAAGGAAGTCCACCTCCATCTTGCAACGCAGTGATCGGGCAAAAGTGGATTACTTTCCAGATTACTTTCAAGAAGGACAACTTACACGGGATGAAGCTGAGAGGTGATGATGTCAATGGATGAGGAACGAGGAGAAGTAAAGAGCAAAGAGAAGAATTCAGATTATGGGGGGAAGGGATGTTGATGAATGATATGAAAACGGCTTCTCGAATGGGGATCAAGATAAATGGCCTCGAAGAAGTTCCCTTATTCCTAGGAGCAAGACAACAACAGAAGGTTCTTTGTTCACACAAGGCGTTGTTCATCAAGTTCAAAGGAAGCATTGGCAATAGACATCACAAAGAGTTATAACAAAGAAAAATCACGGAGAAAGAGTTTTTAGGTTTAATATTTTAAATTTAGGAAACAATGCGATCTAAGCAAAACGAAGAACAAATGAAATCCTGTCGAGGAAAGGGTACAATTGCGTTAATCAGAAACAAAGGAAAATCTGCCGACGGGCAACTTGAGAGCCAAGCTCAATAAGAACCAGTCTCAAAGGTCTAGCTTCTCAGAAATTACTCACTGATTTATTCTCGCGGTCGAGAAGAGGAAGTGGGTGAGATGGACTGATGAAGGCAAAGAGCTCACTGAGCTTGCATTGCCTTCTTGCGTTCCAACTCCGCTTCGATCTCCTTGAATATACCTTCTGGGATTTCAGGAAAGTCAGTACCATAGAAGATAGAAAGCATCTCTTCTTCTTTTTCCTTGGCCCAAACTTGATGCATCAAATCAGGAATTGCAAGCTCATCAGCCACTGGAGTATGAGCCTCTTCAAGCCCTCCTTTTTTCCCCAAATAATACCACTTGTTTCTACAAGCTTTAACGGTGTATTTGCGACCTGGCCAAGGATCGGATACAAAGAGATCGCCTCCTTCCAGGTGTCTAGTTTGTTCGATTGTCATGGTAACCGCAATGTAAACCCATTTGGAAAATTTGTTTTCGAGTAAGTGATCGCGTACCACTTCGGTGAATTTAGCGATTTCGCTCTCATTGTAAGTTGGTGCCATTTTTGCGGTGGTTGATAAAATTGTTAATCTTTTGAGAGATTGCTCGAAAATGTTGTGTAGATGATTGTTTGTAATGTTGTGATGTGGATAGTTGTAATATGAAGTTATTGCTGAAGAATAAAACTTCTATCTCATCGATAATCGCATCTCAATTATAGATTTGCCAGATACATTGTTCTGATGCTGTTCCACCCAAAGCTTCATTTCGAGGTTCTTTGTGCCATAGAACAACCCTCGACTTCGAGATTGTCCAAATGTTATCCGAACACCATTTAGATACTAAGCTATGCAGCTTTGTTGTTACTTCTCTTTGGAAGTGAATAATCTTTAGTAGTCCAACCATGATTTTGAATATATTGTATTCCATTCTGTCTGTAGTACTTGCCATATGGGCGTCTAATACTAACCAATTTATAGTCCTTCATCTATGCTCCTATTCCCACTTGAACGCCGAAACGCAAACTACAACTTGCTCTTTTGAGCCTTGCTCTCCTCTCTAGCCGAAGATCCAGGAGAGTTCGCAGCGCCACCAGTCTTCGAACCAGAATTCGCCTTGATACTAGCCATACCCTGATCTAGCATTTTTCCATCTCCACCACTTGAACTGCTACTTACAGTCTTCATTAGAGCTCTGCCGTTGCTCAAGCAAACCTTTCCACCTTCTACTTTGGTGATAAATCGAATTTCTTCCCAACCTTCTTTAATTTCTCCAGTTTTCCAGATCTCGATGATCAATTTATCGCCTGGTTTGACCGGCGATGCGAATCGACATGAAAATTCTTTGATGTTTTTAGGATCACTACCACCAATAGCTTTTAAGAGCGCATGAGCGGTGAAGTTCCATGATGAAAGTCCATGCATGATAGGCCCTCCGAATCCCATCTTTTGCCCTGGCTCAGGTGTTGCGTGTAAAGGATTGTAATCGCCATTCAATCTGCCATTTGACATTCATTAGCCCGGGACTCCGAACGACATTCCAGGATAGAATCATACCTATACAATAATGCACTCTCTTTTGTAGTCTGATGTTCCATAACAGCATCAGGTTTCTTTCCTTCGGGTGGAGGAAAGTTCTGAGTCGCCGGACCCTTAGGTCCATTCCAATTACCTTGACCAACAAAGAATGCACTTCCAACAGCCCTGGTATACACTTCTCCACTGTTCTTGTCTACAATCTCCTGTTGTGTTTCAACAACCGTGCCAGATTTTCCTTTATCATATACGCCGATAACTTTAGAGCGTAACTCGAAGGTTTTACCAGCGGAGGTAGGTGGGAGTGGTTTGAGGAAAGTCATTGAACGTCCACCATCAAGCACGCGTCTGTAGTCGAATTTTGGCACACCGGGAATTGGGGTTGCGGCAGAGGCGGCATAGAAGTCAATTACTTCTTGGGTTGTACGTTTGAATGCTTGGTCTATGTTAGCAGATTTATAAAGTGAAAGGGGGAGGAAGCTTACGGAGAAGAACAGGATATGTTGGAAAGACGGCAAAGTTGGGATGTAATTCCTGTGCCTTTGATTAAAATGTGCCATTTCCAATTGAGTATCTAGTACATACGAATAAGAAGTGTAGCTCATCATTCGTACATCCAATGCTGTTAGCAAAGAGCAAAACATCTCTCTTCAACCAAGAAACCTCCTCTGCGGGATATTCGAAACCAGCTCCTGGACCAGACATCTTGATGATTATATGATATGATTTCACCGTTATTTTTCAAATTCGAAGTGATTCCTGAAAATAGAGAATTGAATCGAATTGAATTGAAAGATATGTGATGGGATAAGAAAGAAAGAGAGGGTCACCATTGACCAAGAGCTTTGAGCTACCCCGGAATTCCATTCATAATCCCCACACTTCGGCCATTCTCACATGCCGAGGTATCTTCGGAGAACTGATGAGCAACAATCTCGATTCAACTATATTGTTGTTAGGATTCAAACATTTATTTATAAACTTTCCTGCATAGAGTTCGAAGCGCGTTGGTTGAAGAGGAAGGAAAACATGAGATTGAACGCATGGGTTAGGGTCGATACATAAAATAAAGTACGCCCTCGGAGCAATTCTTGAACATCAGAGCATATTCAGTCATTGGATGAACAATCTATGGAGAATTAATTAAAAATGATTTTCTACATATCAAACATCGAAGTGATTTGGCAGTGGAAAACTCTAATATGTCAAATGGTCACTATGAACAACTTTGGCACATGATACCATGTCAACATCTACTCAGGTTTACGCGATAGATTTATTCTATCTAAGCCTTATTAAACAAACCATTTTTTTGTTAATACCGTCGTCGACGTAAGAACTGTTCTCTTAGTATGAGCCTCAGACCTCTCAAACCTGTCTTATCTGCGCCAGTAAGCAAACCCACAACTCTAGAACCCAGGACATTTTCGGTCCATTCTCGCCCTGTAAATGTAACTCAAAATTCGAATACAAGGCAATTACGCCGAAGCATCGATCATTATCGCAATGAAAAAGCAAAAGAATCATTAGTTACGCCTTATTTCGCCCCATCTCAATCCCAAAGCAGAAGGGCCCCGTTAGGTTTTGTGGTATCACCCACTTAACTAACCGGTAGGAGCTCCATTTTGCCCTTGCCATCAGCAATCCACTCAGGTTCAATGAGTTTCTCTCGATCCGCATACAAGTATTTGTATGCCGTACGGATAGTTCCGTCACTAACGCCAGCTACTTGGGATATCTCCTTTGCAGACTTTGGCTTTCCGAGGAGAGCTGATGCCATGTAGATGCAAGCGGCCGCAACTGACAAAGGCGATCTACCAGCGAGATCACCGACGGTAGAAACCTTTTCAGCGAGGCCTTGGGATATCTTGACGAACTGTTGGCTCTTAAGACCAAGTTGACTGCAGTAACGAGTACAGAGATCTTTGGCATTGGTTGACGTGGTTGTCTGATAACCATCTGGGGCCGCAAGAGCTTGAAGGCAATGTTAATATATACCAGTATAAGATCTTCAGCTTATACAACTTACCACCAGTAGCATCAGCAGTCGCCTTCTTGGCCGAACTGTCTGAAGCAAAGAATTTCTCAAGTGCTTTGAAAGTTCTACCAATATCCTTCTTCGAAACCTTCGTCAAAGCGTAGATTTCACGGAAGGTTCTGGGAACACCGCACTGACGGCAAGCGATAAAGATACAGCCAGCAATGATGGCTTCTTGGGATTTACCTTTGAAGGCTTTGGCGTCATCGACAAGTTTGAAAAGGTGCTTCGCGGTATCCGAAACGTTCTTTGGAATGTTTACAGCATCACAGTGAGCGCCGATTTCCTTGTAGGCTGCGAGTAAAGCTTTTGTTGATTTGTCTGTACCTTGTTTACCTTGGGCGCGGTAAAGCTCACGACTGCGTACGCTGCTGTCGCCAAAAGCGATTGTAGTGGAAAGTTGAGAACCGTTCAAGAGAGGATTAGCAGCGTCACCAACACGGGATGGATCGTCATTTCCCTGGTCATCATTGGAGAATGTACGCCATTCAGAGCGGGTATCGACAATTCGATCACCAATAACTACACCGCATGTATCGCAGACCAAATCTCCAGAAGAAAATTCTTCGACGAGATTAGGTGGAATCTCCTTACAGTCCTTGCACATAACTGTGACGTTCAGATTCTGACTCCATTCTAAATTCTTGTCCAACGGCGGTTGAGCCATCATCTTTGGTTTGTAAGGTTTTGGTCGATAAATATTATCAAGCTTGTCGAAGACTGGACGTCTCTTTGGCTTGCGGCGAACTTGTCTTCTTTTCTTCGTAACAGCTAGACGGGCTCTGATATCTCCTGTAGGTTTATCGCAAAGGATTGTAGTTGAAAGCTTGATAAAAAGCGGAGAATGCAGTTTGGCGGTATTGTGGGGAAATTAGGTTGAGTAAATAAATCAGGATGAGTACGACAATAGAGAAATCTAGTCTCTGGATCTATGATTCAGACTCAGTTCTACGGTCGATGAAGATTCACCTACGGTCGACGAAGATTTGAGAACGAGTGAGTATGCGTTATATTGATGGTCGATTCGTAGAATAGATAGAAAGTGATTTGGTGAATATGAGTGTGGCCGTAGTTGAAAGATTGATTTGTAAAAAAGAAACGACTGAAATGTAATTCGTTTTACAAGGTCAAGAAAGACTTTGTAAAGAGTTCGACTATCTAAATATGCGACCGTCGTCGACTTGAGCTTCGAGTCGAATGAATTAAATGTCGTAAGGTAGAAGAATGTAGGGTGGGAGAGTGCGCTTGCTGCTTTCGTCGACGGATTTGAAGATTTTCGCAGAACAAATGACCAATAAAGGCGTCCGTGAATGATGTGTCAAAATCGTTGTTGGGAAGTTGTCAAAATTATCGTCGTAAAGATGACCGGCAACTTTGTGATTGTTCAAGAACGATAATGTCACAGTCTTCTGTTGATGTGCGAGCGAGCGGTGGTGATTGTCGGAAAGGTTGTCGGTGAGGGCGAAGTAGGCAGAGAAGATTTCGTACAAAGACGCCGCATTCGAACTAGAATTTCTGAACTAAATTTGTAATCCAATCACGTGAAAACAACTCACTCTTTTTTTTGGTCACAGCCTTGAGCCGCGCCTTCTTTTGGTTGCCTTACAGCACTGTATTAAGTTGCTCGCTAATACGTCGCGCCGAAGCTCCAGGTCACTTTGGAAGCTCTTGGATATCGAAACAACATTTGAAAGTCAATACATTTACCATTATTCCATCCCATCGCGGTTACTTTGAAACCCAACTTCATACGCCCTTTTCGAATCTTTCACACAAAACTTCAACTACAAAATGTCTACATTAGAAGATCTCGATGATCTCGAGAGAGAGCAAAAGGAAGAGAAGAAGGACGATGGCGACAAGGACAAGAAGCCAACCCAAACTAATGATGCCGATGCTGAAATGAAAGATGCTGAACCTGAAAAGGAAGAGGACCCTATAGATGAGGAGATCTATAGCTTAGGTACACAAGATATTCTTACAAGGAAACGACTTTTAGAGAATGATTCTCGAATCATGAAGAGCGAGTTCCAGCGTTTATCACATGAGAAGGCTGCAATGGGCGAGAAGATTAAGGACAACCTTGAAAAGATTGAAAACAACAGGTAGGTAGAGCTATGATAATTGGCAGATTGTTATCACAGTTTGGCCAGTCCACTGACATTGTGCAGACAACTACCATACCTTGTTGGAAACGTTGTTGAGTTACTCGATCTCGACCCAACAGCTGAATCTGCCGAAGAAGGCGCAAATATCGATCTCGATGCTACCAGAGTCGGAAAGTCTGCAGTTATTAAAACCTCTACTCGACAAACCATATTCCTTCCATTAATTGGTCTGGTGGACCCAGATGAGTTGAAGCCAGGTGATTTGATTGGTGTCAATAAGGATTCATACCTCGTACTAGATACATTACCTGCGGAATATGATAGCAGAGTCAAGGCAATGGAAGTCGACGAGAAACCTACGGAAAAATACACAGATGTAGGAGGGTTGGACAAACAGATTGAGGAATTGGTCGAAGCAATTGTATGGCCAATGAAGGAGGCTGATCGTTTTAAGAAGATTGGTATCAAGGCGCCCAAAGGTTTGTTCCGTATATTGTCTGTGTATAACCAGATATACTGACATTTTTAGGTGCTCTTATGTATGGTCCTCCTGGTACTGGAAAAACACTCCTCGCGAGAGCTTGCGCCGCGCAAACAGATGCAACCTTCCTCAAACTTGCCGGTCCTCAACTCGTACAAATGTTCATTGGTGATGGTGCAAAGTTAGTACGAGATTGTTTTGCATTAGCTAAGGAAAAGGCACCAGCAATCATTTTCATCGACGAACTGGATGCTGTTGGTACAAAACGTTTCGATAGTGAGAAGAGCGGAGATCGTGAAGTGCAAAGAACTATGTTGGAGCTACTAAATCAACTTGATGGATTTGCCTCGGATGATCGTATTAAGGTACTGGCAGCAACCAACAGAGTTGATGTTCTTGATCCTGCTTTACTTCGTTCTGGTCGTCTTGATAGAAAGATTGAGTTCCCTCTACCAAACGAAGAAGCTCGTGCCCAAATTTTGAAGATTCACAGTCGTAAAATGACTGTTGATGATGCTGTCAACTGGCCCGAATTGGCACGAAGTACAGATGAGTTTGGTGGGGCTCAGTTGAAGGCGGTGTGTGTGGAAGCTGGTATGATTGCACTTAGAATGGGAAAGAACAAGATCAGCCACGAACATTATGTCGATGCCATTGCGGAGGTCCAAGCTAAGAAGAAGGGTATGTTTCCAATGACTCTATTCCACTTTTTTCTTTTTTATTCTTTTTTACAATACTGACTCATTACAGATACTGTCAATTTCTACGCATAGTGTGACTCTTTGGCGGCGTTTGGCATAGCTTGCACGGCAAGACTTGTAATCATAGACAAATCATGACATTTTAAATATGACCAAACGAGTTTCCAGGAGACGTCGAGTATGCCTCGTGATTGATGAGAGCCGATGGTAATATATTAATGAAGAAGGTCAACCATGTATCTTCCAGCATATGACGAAATGAATGACCCTCGCTCATCTTTGATATATGTGAAAATGTAACTTCTAACATATCATCCATCTAAAATAGACTTCCTACATCTGAGCAGATTCCAAGTAGGTCTTTGCGTTAACAGGGCATCGAATATGCACGAGTGTGAGGGAGAAAGGTCCAAACCACATCGGAAAACTGCATGTGCTATTTGAAAAAGTTCGCGGATGTTGACGTTTAATTCCTTTTTATCTAGTACGTAGCGAGAACCCAACTTCATTCTAGAATCAGGTTTTATGCACATCAAATGTTACCTTCATCTCTAGACTCTAGTTCAGTGATAGCGGCATCAAAAGTCAACGTTTACATTGCAAGTTAACATTTTAAGAGTCAATCTACCCACTTCTCCTCTCACGCATTATTTCCAATACCTCTTCGAACCGGTCTGCCTCCGCTCTTAGGATGTTGCTCGCATGGCTGACTTTCAAATTTCAGTAGAGTTACTCGCTTGGCTTCCCATTCCCTTTTTAGGGCAGAGGAAAGAGGACTATGCAGCTCAACACATTTGGCTAGACCCCCAATTTGTCTTCAACACTATCGCGCACAGCTAGTTCCATGAGTTGAAGATCCTTAACCCCAGTTGAAGAAATACCGCATTCAGTGTACAGAAAATGCGAAATATCGCGGACATCGAAGACGACTTTGTGGACATGCGGAGATTCAAAGAGAGTTCTGAGGGAAATATGTTCAGGTATGTCGGTTTCGAAGGCTTGGCCTGGAGAGATCGCATGCGTGGATTGCATTATGGTTAGTGATCGCTCTGAGGAGTGAGCATTGACGAGGGTTTTGGGTGAGAGAGCTGAGGGATCGAGGAGATAGGTTGGGTTGTTTGAGCGGCTCCGTGGAGATGGGGTGGTATCCAATGAATTATGAGAATGGAAGGGATGGTGATGTTTCGGTGGCTTATAGAGAGATACAGGGTGGATGTGCAGGTTGGGATCGTGAGCGCGGAGGTGAGGTCATCGAGGAAGGAGATTAGGGAGGGCGTTGTACCAACGGTTTTGATTGAGGATGGGAGCGAGGCTGATGCAGACATTTTGATTGAGGTTTGAAATTCATAACTCTAATTAGAGAGTTATTCTTCGATGAATGAAAGATGCCCTCTGGGTAAGCATTGAGGCTGGTGATCTACTAATCATTTTGTTACACATGAAGCGGAGAAATGCCTGTCATAGGCTGAGTAGCATCACATATGCACATCGCCATTCATTATTGCGGTGGTATTGAAAAGTCTCGAAGGGAAGAAGGAAAATATCTCACGATAAGGCAAATAACGTGTTGGTGGTAAAGGAGACATGCAAAGACAGGGGCAAGAAGGGGATAATCGCGATCCGAGAATTCGTTTTTGAAAGAAGAAAAGTGATCTTATCATCTGTATTCTTCGCAGTGTTGAAGAGGTAGAATAATTGAAATTTGTAACTCAGATGTGTTCATGGCTTTTAGACCGTTATGATCAGAGCAAAGAGAGTCGTAGGCAGTTGGAGGCCTTTGCAAATGGTTCCAAAAGAGGGCATAGGAGACTGGTAACTGATTTTCACAGTGGATGGGTAGACTCTAGCTTCATCTAAAGCAAGAGTCTAAAGTGTTGCATAATCAAGTCACATAGTTAGATAGCAGGCCGCTGGGAGCTGGGGATGGCGTCATAAAACCTCCTTAGCCGAGGATATAGTAACCTTTATATGGTCCATAGACCGTAGAAATATCATATAGTGGTTTTGTGTATCTCCTTCAAAGCTATTCGCGGTTTCTCATCTTTCACCTTTTCAGTCAAGTGAACACTATGTTTCCCAGTCATAGATATCACTACAGTGTTAGAACACATGTGATCATATCTCTACGGACATATTATTTAGCCAACAGATTGTTATTGGCTAGAAGAGAACGAAGAGAAGAGAAGCCGTGTAGTCTCTTGGGAAGTTGTAAATCGCGAGATTGTTTAGTTTCGACTCACTGGAGTTGGCTATGTCGAATGAAAACCCGGCTCTGACTTCCGTTTCTCCTTCTGCTTTCGATCTTCCTCATATGAATCTTTATACCGTGGAAACTCTGGCAGTCCCTCCACGACATCTCCCTCGTCAATCTTGTCCTTGACGTAATGATCATTTGCCTCACCTATCCCATATCCCCTTGGCATATAATAATCATGGTAGTATGGCGAGTTGCGATCCATCCGCCAAGTGGCTGCCACGATATCTAAAACCTTTCCCGGAACTCGCTCCTTTTGATCGTGAGCCCAATCATCAATATCTGAATCCCAAATCATCCAAAGCTGTAAGAGGTCTATTACATCATTGCCTTCTGCGATTATAGTTCCGTCGGTACCGCATGCGATGTTCAGCGCAGTAATCATTTCGTCAACACTAAATTCTCGTGTGTCTGCGCTATATTTCATACGTGCATGCATGAGAAATATAGCAATATTCTGAATGTGAGGAATCAAAAGATAGTGAGCCAGAAACCAAATGTGGGCAAGTGTAGGGAGATTCAGGTGCCGTTCCCTTGGTGTATTTTTGGGATAGTTGTGGTCTACGATGACCTCATTAGACTCTGGGATAATAATTGTTCCAGTGTTCATGTATTGAACGATATGACGAAATATCTTGGGACACATATCTGGAAGCTCGATTACCTGACTATCTTCTCTTGGAAAATTCAAGGATGTCCGGACTAGCAAGATGTTAGTCCAAAGCTGCTATCTCGCTGAATTGGGATGTTGTGAAGACGGGAGCACTTACAGTAAGGTGAGTAGTAGGCAAGACGAATTTTGGAGACGTAAAAGGTGTCGATATTTGGCGCAGTGCCGACGTTAATACGTATGAATTCATCTTTACTATAGTGCGCGGTGGTTAGAAAATTTCTTCCAATCATGGCTGCATATCTACATGCTGTAATAAAGCAACCGTCTTATTGCTGCATAAAGAGTCCAATCACTTACGAGTAATCAAGGACAGGCCTCTTGGGCCAGTGTTTCTTAAGAGGTGTAGTCATGGTTGCACGATGATCTGTAGGTAAATCTCTCTATGTTGTATGCAGTTTGATAGTTGTGTTTGTTGGAGGATTTCGTCTCTGAGAAAGGTCTGTGGAGCAAAACTGTACGGTTCCGGTCTCTTGATATTCACTTCTAACCTGTCAATACTCATTTCACAGAGTGGATCTAGTCTTTACCGAATGGATAAACCATTCTTTTTCAAGTTCATAGGAAATGCATGGCATGAAGTAGCCATGAGGTGCTAGAAATAGAATCAATGAAAATTTGACCTTTGACCGACGGAAATTCTGATGGATTGTCATTTTCTGATTTGATTGCAGTAATAGGATACATTGGTAAGCCGCTTCTTTTCAACGCGGCCCCATAACATCATTAAAACCAAAGTCCCAATTCAAATTCGTGAAAGAGATATCCTCCATCGATATCATCATGCACAAAATATTCACCCACTGTTCTCATAGTAGCTTCTCGAATATCTTCAGGTGGTTCATCTGTGAGTTGCCTTTGCTCCGCACTACTCTGTCGAACCGTAAACATTGCACCCTCAAGAACTCAAGGATTAGTCTTTTGGGCCAGTCAGGCGGTGGAGGCGATGTCTGCTCACTCATCGTCTTTTCTGAAGCTAAAGGATGGAATTACAATTTTTCAATCAGCTTCGATCAACTTCGATCAAAGATTGTTGTGTTTCTTCTTGAAATTTCTTCGATAATCATGTGATCAAAGAATTGTATAAAGGCTAGCTTTGGCTGTGTGTTTTGAGCGGGAGATGAACTCGAAATATCTGATCGAAGGACGTAAACATCCACGTGCTTCTATTCACTACTTCTGATCCAATGGCGATTGGCTAAGACAATTCAACAAGTAAAGAAAGTTTAAAAGGGGGCTGAAGTTCGATGCTAGCTAGGAGATTCAACATATCTAAATTGAGGGGAAAAAATTTCTTCCCAAACCTATATCCTGAACGACTATTTTCTCTCTTGATATCTCACAGTCATCGTGCTACCCAGCTATCTCATATCTTACCTCAGCGACCTTGACACTTGTTTCATCTCTTTAGTATTTCTCCGGGCGCTGCTGGCATTATTGCACCTGCCTCTGGTACATTCTTGCTTTTGAAGTCATCAGACATCTGTTCAAATGTGACCCATTCAACTCCCTCATGTTTGTTGATATGATCAATGATTCTGTTTCTTGTTAGTTGGTTGTCGGAAATATGATTCACGATAGGCCACGAGATTAAGATGTTTGGAAATGGCACAAGTCCTGGATATCATAAAGAGAAGCCATTGCATACCTTTGTTGCATCTTCAAAGCGTGCGGTCTCCCTGAGACGTCTGGATGGATGGTCATAGGAAACACAAACTCATCATAATTCTCGTAAAAATAGTCGAAGTGATCTAGCCACATCTGTTCCACTACTTTCGGATCCACCCATCCGTGACTATTAGGTGATTTCTTGATGAACATCATGGGAGGTAGGTCATCGATGTACCATGAAGCTGGAATCTCAACCATACCAGATGGCACACCTTTGACAAGTGGTTTCATCCACTCCTCTGCCTTCTTACTATAATCAATCTTTGTCCAAGCATCTCCAAGCCTCAACCAATACATTTGACAATCATCATGGCTCATACTATGATCATACTCTATTCCATAGCTCAATAAGAGTTCTGCTCCTTCTTTACTTGTTTCCCACCAAGGAGCCACGCTCCCCCTTGGTGGTTTGCCGCAAAAATCTGTCAACAATTTATATGTTTTGTCAAGAACATCTCGTTGCTGTTCAAGCGTCATATCAACAGGGTTTTCGTGGGAGTAACCATGAAGACCAATTTCATGTCCCGCATCACGAACCATTGCACATTCTTCGGGGAAGGTCTCGAGAGAATGACCCGGTATAAACCAGGTCGCCTTCATATTGTTCTTCTCAAAGAGCTTGAGAAGACGACGAACACCGAGTGTACCAGCGAACAATCCTGATTGTCGTAAGTTTAACGATAGTCCAAGAGTCAAGAGAAGAATGGAAATGAGATTTGCAGTGGAGAATCAAAGCTATCGTACAACATCAGAATACTCTATTCTGGGGATAAAGAGTCATATATTTGAAGCTTGATGCCGAGAAGAGGGATATAGCGGAAGAGGAATATAGCATTGTTATTAATTTGAGTAACAAACCTCTACTAATGTCTGATGTCGAGTCTTCGCCACCATATGAACCTAGCCATCCGGCTACGGCATCAATATCAACTCCATAGCCGCAGAGCACGCGTTTCTTGACTTTCTTATTCATTTCTGTGTTTGAGGGGGGAGGAGAAGTAGAAGAAGACATAATCGAGTTCGGGAAAGTATATAGTAGTCTGAGTAGATGAAGATACACAACCGACGAGAGCTGCACTGCCTGCTGCTTTATACTTCGTTGTTAATTACCTAGTACCTTGACCACGATGGAAGTCACTTTAGGATTCTGAAGTGTGGGGAAAGCTTCAATTGCCGCCTTCATTAGGAACATTTTGATAAGAGCTTCAACGTTTCGATTAATAAGAGGAACTGATTGCCAGGTACTTTATCCGAAAAGAGGAAGCAAATATCCGAAAGTGTATATTAAAACCAAGTCACATGATCTGACATTGCGGCGAGACAACTCCATCGAGAAAGATACCCCTGTCAAATGCATGTGATTGTTTAGGTGCACTAAGTGGGCTTATGGACACCAGTAGGTACCGGATTCTAATTTTGAACAGAAAGGTAGGATCGCATCAAGGTACGAGCCAAAGGAAGATAGGACCAGCTTGCGTTAATAACATTACCAAAGATTCCTTGATCTGATCTCATAGTCAAGCATCAGTACCTAGGTATTTTAAGTCAATGTTCGTTTACATTGATTGCCCATCTTGAAGCTTTAGAATCATATCAGGCGCAACCCCAACAACTTTACTCTACCTACGAAGCTTACGACGTTGACGAGAAAAAAGAACATTTGTTTACTGGCGTTGCAGGGACTGACACCCTGCGGTGCAGTTATATCTCTGAGGCAAATGAAAGTCGAATGAATGCAGCCCTTGAATCCTTTCCTGAGTGCTTTCTTCAAGAGTGCTCTGCCTACACAGTGTACGCCAGTACACCATCATGTAAGCTTGTCAACAATACTAGATTTCCATCAACATCTTCAACGAGGGGCATTGGACACGAAGCTAATAGCTCTTTAGATATTATTAGTACCTACTACCGAAGTTCTCCTTACCTCCCGCGATCGAGAGACCGGCGCGCTTTACGCAGACCTTGCAGGATCGGAAGATTTCCTGGGCAGTCATGTCTTGCGAGTACCGGCCAACCATGCTGCGACTGCGGGAGGGAAGGATGCGCCAAATATGCGGGAGAACCGAGGGAAGGCAAAACAATATACAACAGTTAATGGGAGGACTGTCGTGATCAAAGATGCTTTTGTTTATAGTAATAAGGGTTGGTATTGTGCCAATTCACTGGAGGATTAATACTAATACTCCCTACCGCAGGATTTAAGACTTTGAACCAAGCCCAACTCTTATCAGATACTTTGTGGTACCCAGATTCGCTCGAACCACGACAATGGCTTGTCTACTATATATCTAGACCTTTAGTTGGCATATTCGAGGAAATCAAAATCACAACTGCGATGCTAGCCACGAGGCTGACAGATGGTAGACCGATTATCCCAGCGAGGTCGTCCTCAATGCCTGATTCCGCTTCTATGAACGGACTTCCTCGTAAGAAGGATATAAAGAGTTTCAGTGACCTTTTGACGAATTTCCCTATGATTGCGAGACAAATGCAACCCGGCTTGGAGGCCCTGTTTAAGGAATTTAATCAAGTATTTGAAAAGCAATTACCTCCTCCTCCATCGGCTGCGAATATTCCAGACCCTGTGCCAGATGGGCCCATAGCTACAGCGATGAAGAAAGCACGCTCTAGTAGTTTTTCGACTCCAGGCCAACCGAACGGGCATGTGCAACGTTATATCGTAGATTTCTATACCGAGGACGATGAGAATGTTATGCGGGGAGCTCTGGAGACCGCAGTCACGTCTGCGATTGATCTTTTCCAAATGGTTGACAAACAACAACTCTCCCTCCTTGGAGCTACGACGGATCTTACGGGTCCAATCGTAGAACGTTTGATTGATCGTTATGTTACCGAGCAATTGCATGATACCATCTTATTCCCAAGACTATGTACAATGAAACGCCCCGAGGACTTAGAATTGGAATCAAAAATCAGGCAGATGGAGTTTGTGGATATTTCACAAGTTGGTATACCAATTCAGGGTGGGCATCAAGGCAAACATGAACTCACGTTACGACTTGGTCGTGCTGTCGAAGAATTTCGGAAATTGAATGGAGCAGGAAGCCCTCAGCAGATGATGGATATCCTACTTGTAACATTGAAAACAGTGACGCAGCTCATTGAAATTCCAACGAGCATAGGAGGGCCTCCTTCTCCCGAGAAAGTAAGCTCTGTCTTGACTATCAATGCTGATACTCTCGTATCTTTACTACTGGTTGTGGTCATAAGGGCGCAGGTCAGGTATCTCCAGGCTCGTCTTTTATATATGCGTCACTTTATATTTGTCGATGATGTGGAAAGCGGTGAGATGGGATATGCGCTAAGCACATTTGAAGCTGTCTTATCATATCTTGTAAGAGATTCAGGAGGTTTGCGGAAAGCTAGTCGGCGAAACCATAAATTATGGGCAGCCACGAAAAAAGGCAACTTGAAGGAGATGATGAAGATTATGGAGCCAGAACGAGAGCTTTCTTCGGACGAAGAAGAATCTGATCATGAGGAGGCCGTCGTAGACGACATAATCGATGAGAACAGGCCTTGGAATACTTCGAATGGGCATGCCAGGCGGAGATCTTCTGGAGTTGCTACCCGGCTTTCTGAAGCATCTACTCTTACTCACGTATTTCCCTGGCAGTATTCACATGACGGTGCAGATGAAGAGCGATTACCACCACTGCGGAGACCCAAAACAGTTACTATGGATGTACGAAGTTTATCTAGCAACTCCGAGATGTCTTTCAGATCACGGGCTACCACGATTGACTCGACAAGTAGCGGCATCGAAGGCGATACCTCAATAGAACGATTGTCGCAAACTGAAGATTCATCTGGCGAGTCTGTTCTTATGATGGCCGTTCAGCATGAGAGACCGGAGTCACTGCGGTATCTTCTGTCGTTACAATACTACTTCCCGCTACGGTCGGTTCTTGAAGATACGAACAATGAAGGAACAACTTTATTGAGTGCTGCTGTGCAGTTGGGGCATACCGAACTTATTAATATAATACTGGATTTTGTTTATCGGGCTTCATCGGAATTGATTGTCGTTGGATATCTTTCGAGGCAGGATATTAACGGCAGAAGTGTGGCACATTTTTTGTTTAACTATCCGGAGCTAATTTCAAGAGTCGGACGTTTATTGCCTTGGAGGCAGAAAGATAAAAATGGCCAAACGCCACTTTTCGCTTTATGCAGATCATACGACCATGGACGCTACAGACCTATGGTAGAGGCAGCACTTGCAGCTGCTACAACTTCCCAAGGAGATAACCAACCTCTACATTTGGACGATCATGTTGACTTGAAAGGTAACACGTTGTTACATATCGTCAATGATCCTCAAGTAGCATTACAACTTCTTTCTCATTGTGATTCTGATGTTAATGCGACAAATGAGAAGAAATTTACGCCGCTCATGGTAGCTAGCAAATATGGTCGATTAGAAATGGTTCGAGCTCTATTTTCAGATCCTAGAGTAGATCTTTTTGCCAAAGAACTTCGTGGCTTGACAGCGGTGGAGCTTGCTAAGGATGATGACGTACGGAATAGAATTGATGATTTAATATTATTCTCAGGGCTGCCAGCTACTGATGGAAGGATCACGGCTGTAGTGAGGTCATTTTTCGTTGAGGATGCAACTATTCGATTGGTACTCAAGTCTGGGGCACCATCGGGGCCTCAAAACTTCACTGTAACCACTTGCAGACGTTCATTGTCTGATTTTGAGCACCTGGCAAAATTACTCGCTCTGGAAAATCCAGCGTCATGGTTGCCATCTATATCAGGGATGAGATCGCCTTTCCAATTCCCCTCAAGGCCTTCTAGGGCTGTTCTGAGAGATATACAGATTCATCTCGACGCATTTTTGAAAATTCTACTAGCACATACCACCTTCTCAACACATGAAATGCTATGGGAATTTTTCCTGGTACCAGATATACAAGCAGAAATGATGGAACAGAGGTCTAAATTGAAGGCTGAGGCAAGGGTAGAAACTGTACGGGAGGAATACCAGCCAATTGGTGATGTTCGCGATGTCGAGCAATTCGTAGATCATGCACGAGATATGGTCCGAAGTGTCAACTATTCTACCAAAAGTGTAGCGCGCAGGGCTAATATGGTGGCAACTGTTACCATGGGTATGTATTCCATAACACTTATATGCAACAGAGGACTAACATGAACAGATCTTTACGATGCTTATAAGCTTTCCACTCGCGCAATTTCAACCCTCACCTTTATTCCTCAAACTCATATTTCAGCTCTCGAAGCCTATACCCAAACACTTGCTCCATTATCCACATCCCCATATTCCACTTTCCATACCACAGTTCTTTCGATTCATAGCACTATAATCGCCATGCTACTATCTCTATCCCGTCCCACATCGCTCATCTCATCAATTACTACATCCCGGAAATCAATAGAACGTTCATACAATTCTCTCTCCCGATCAACTCGCTGGCCACTGGGCCTCCTGGACGAAACTCGCCAACGGTTGAACGAAGAAAAAGAAGACAAAGTCCGGAGAACAAAAGAAGAAGTCGAGGAAACTGGAAGAGAATTAAGATACACTCAACAAGTTGTAGCGGCAGAACTAGCTGGTTGGCAAGATTTACACGAGAAGATGGGGCGGAAAGCTGTGAAAGATTTGGCGCAGTCAATGCTTGTCAGAGAACGTACAACATTGGAGGGGTTGAGAAGAGCAGTCAGGAGGTTAAAGGTTGGAGAGAGGAGAGTTGCGGAGGTTGTGATGGAGGAGAGTGAAGATGAAGAGGAGGGTGGGGAGGTGGTGGCTAGTGGTAGTCATATTGAGAGTGTCACTCTGTAGTTGCTACATCGACTTGATGCAGAATCGAGAGATATTCTTTGCAGGTGCAGAGACTGACGAATGGGAATGACTGAAATGAAATGGCACATTGCGTTTTGTTTTGGTTTGGATAGAGATCATGATCATGCCTGGCGATTGAGGCGTGGCATGAGTTGATATGATATTATACTGTATAGCATCGTGGCGTCTAGGCATACACAAAACCCCATCAGCGGGTTTAACTTATTGATTATGGTTCATTACTAGATTCCACGCATTGTGTTCCAAGTGATTACTGTGTTATCATAAACTGATATGAATTATGTATCCTGATTCTTCTCGCACATATCGTCCATCTCATCCGAGTATATCAATCAGACAATAAATGTAAGTCTGGAATACTACAAGGCTCCAGACAGTTATTGTCTCATATATCATTACTCATAAATCGTCTACTGTATGTCTCGTTATGATATCATTTCATCCCATAATACCATGAATGCTGACCGTCTCAACTCCTGTAATTCAACCTTGATGACTAGGGTGCTGAATCATCGGCCCATGAGCTTTACAACCAGTCATCTCTAGGTATTTGTCTCCACGATATACCTAGCTACTGTACGGATGCCACCAAAACTCCTCTCGTGCCCCTATTCGTATCCAAGCACCATCATGATATCATCGCTAAATTTAGGTAACAGAAGCATTCAGTTTGCCCACAACTTCTCTTTCCCACCAACTTTCAAAATTCAATACTAGTTTGTCTTTTCGGGCTTCTTCTGCTGCGAATACTACCGCGTGACTTCGGATTACTTCTTCTACTATAATTGAGGGTTTGTGTCAGTTTTAACCAGCAGCAAAACGGAGAAGAGTCTCAGGAAAAAGAACAAATAATTACAGCTACACCCTACCCATTTTCTCTGCGCAACTTCTACTTCCGCCCCTCATTCATGACACTATTTATAGCCCCCACAAACTGTCTTACTAGCCCTTCATCCCCGCCTCCATGTCCACTCTTGATATCCGTGATTTTCGGCTCATAAACCTTTGTTTCCCCAGTATTAAAGTCCTCAACGGTAATAGTCGTACTGTCTGCATGTATTTCTCCATCACTACCGTATATGTGTGAATATCTCTCACAAATCTTTTTCGTATGAGATACCATGTGGAACGAAGCTTGTTTGGCTCCGCGATTAAGGGAGGGATTAGCGGGAAACGTGAGAGTCACGAATTGGTCATCGTTAACTGTGTTGTCGGATTCGTAGACACAGCGGCCGAACCAGTTTTTGCCTTCGATATCGGAGACAGGTGTTGAGGATGTGTAGTCTTGAGATAAGACAGAGAGGATGGCGGATTCGGCGACTTCAGGACCAGAGGTAGTGAGGATATCTTCGATGTCTGGGACGAGAATGTCGACAGGCCAGTTGGTATTGGGAGCTTGGAGTCCTTTGTATTTGGGAGATATGTATATGTCTTTAGCGGAGTACTTGCATTCTGGTTCAATGGGACAGGAGAGACAGTTTGTTGCGGTGCCTGCGGCTGCGGGTTTGCGGGTATGGGTAAATTGCTGTACTGAACCAGAGGAGGTTATTGTTTCGGGGAGATGGGGTGGAGCGGTTGGGTCGGAGGGGGGAGGAGAACAGAGGAGCCAGAGAAGGAGATCAATATCGTGGCAGGATTTCGTGAGGAGAGACGGGGCAGTCGTGGATTCTTTGCGCCAGTTTCCACTATTTGGCTGTTAGCTATCATGCCCTGGAATTGGAGAGGAAACATTCATACCGAACATAACTATGAGTAAAATGCCACCAGCCCACCGGCTCAGTATGGTTAATACTCAGCACGTCCCCAATAACCCTCTCTTCCAAAAGTAACTTCCTCAACATCATATTATGCGGACTATACCTCAATACATGTCCAATACTGAATATTTTATCTGGTAATCTATTGCGTGGATAATCTGGCAGCATTGCCCTATAAATCTCTACACAATCCTCCAATGTTGTCGCCAATGGCTTCTCACACATAATGTGCAAGCCCAACGGTTTCAATCCCACAATAACCTCTTTATGCATTTCATCCAGCACACATATAAACGCGGCATCGATCCCAGGCTGTACGGACTCCCCGCGAGCAGCGCGGGCTCGTCGATCGAGCTCATAGGAGAGGAATTCTTTCCAGTTGGAAAATGACTGTCCTTCAGACGGGGAATCAGAACCCCAGATGTAGCGCGAACCGAGGCGTTGTCGTTTGTAGGGGATGGGTTCTGCGACTGCAGAGACGATGCCTGGAGTAGATTCGTGCACACAGCGGGAATATTGACTACCTCGAGATCCCGCGCCGATAATGAGGATGCGGGGTGGGTTTGAGGAGGTGGTTGTGGAGGAGTTGGCTGGAGCGGATGCGTGTGGTGACATATCTACGAAGTTATAGTTTGAGGTTGGAATTGCTGTAGATTGGCTTGGGGTTGAGGTTTATCTCAAGAGATATCGGCTTGAAGATTGAAACTTCAATTGAATTAGATATGCTCGTGGATATCTCTGTATACTTGGTTGATCGCACTTGTCGACAGCAAAGGCATGTATGGACGATAGGCCATCACATAATGAAAACGAATTAAACTTTACTTATCCTCGATTTCAGGGCGTACCCAGGTAGCAGAACAACACATCCTACCAATTGTGTAGATGCGAAGCTATTGAGCTACCTAATCATGCAGGAAGGGCTCTTCAGGTCCCTTGCCTGACCCCGCGATAAGGGGTGGGGAAAGTAACGTTACTAGGTTCGAACCAATCATATCCGAGTAATTTGTATTGCAGAAGATATACGCCATTTCTTCACATCTTCATCTTCATATTATTGTTTTACAAACCATGTCTGCCTCTTGAATATACCTCGGTGCACCAAACTTCCGGACTGAGAAAATGGGGAACAGCTGATGAGTACTTTGAGGAGAAGAATGACTGACTACGTTACATCGGGGCGTCTTTTGTTGCATATCTGCTTAAAGTCTGACGCAATACAAGACATTTGGAATACGGATATGCCTTGTAGGTTGGACGAGAGTTCACGAATATCACATTCTGGGCATGAAACTTGAGGTTACAGATAAGATAATATTCAAAATTGAGTTTATAGCTGAACTATAAATTTTGCACGTTACTTTCAGATCGCCTTTTTCTTCGAGCGAAGTCTAGAGCATAGGAAGCGACGACGCTCCACACCAGGCGACAACGGAAAATCTTACCCCCTCAGGAAGTAAAGGGCAGTGGACGTTGCATTCATCCTTGTTCGCATATTATGGTTCAATGCCTGTCACCCTCTTAAAGGGCGCTTCGATTGTGTTCTGATATCCAGTGGCATGAGTTTTCACCTTCCTGAGCCATTACCGCTCCAAGATGTTCTCGATATCCACCACAAAGGCCAGAATAGATCTCCCACACCTGCCATTGAGCATGGGATCAACAAGTTTTGATGCGTGGAGTGCCACATACACACCGAGAGTTTCAATTGCAATATTCTGTATCATCGGAGAACAACCATCAAGAACAACATCCACAAGCCCAGCTTGGTGTCGAAATCGATTGACAGTTGCAATAACATGTAGACCAGTGGCATTATCCTGCTTCCAACAGAAATTCGAAGATTATTCTTAAATTCTGATTATGATATCCTCGCGTAGCGTACCTCATGTTTCGTACCATCCACTGATCCTGCGCTCGACAAGTTCCCTCATTGCTTCGTATGTCTGACATTTATCTTTTAGATCTTCACGAAAATCAATTTCCTCAAACTTGACTCTGGGTTGTCGGTCAAGTTTACAATGTGCTCCATACTTATTCACTTTGTGAGCGGTCAGTACAACGGGAGAAGTCCAGTTGTGGGATACCGCACTTTTACTCATAGTTGCGTATATAACGTTCCTATCGCCAAGCTTCCGGTTTGGTTGTCTTAATGTTCCAAGGTACACACTAGGTTTGAATAATGGATCCGGTGATCCATGATCTTCACCGGGATCTGGAAATGGTGGGTTTAATACACCCAGTGGTGTAGCAGGCCGCTGTTCGGTAAACACATCGTGTGCGGAATCGTCGTATGGTTCTTCTGAGAAACTTATTATGGCTTCTTGCCCTGAATCAAGTTGGTTGGGTGACAGGCATTTTGAAACTCGTGCAGATAAAGGTTGAGTAGAAGGAGCGAACAACTTTGCAGAATCGATGGATGTCTCAGACGGAAAGTAAGTTGGCGGAATTTCTAGCGTAGGAGGGGCTAGAGGCTTTACTGCCTTGTGCTGGAGCCCTGAAAGTCCAGAATCATTACCGGTTAGAGGTAGGAAGTGAGTTTCTGGTGGGAATATACGGTCTTCATCTGAAATTTCCACCACGTGGGACAATCTTTCCAGTATCTCCTCTTCTGATTTGGTCCGTTCTAGTCCCTCGCGTTCCTGAGATGCCATTTTTGGAGCAATCGAGAGAGAGGAGAATGCATTGTTATATCCAATGGTTGGAGAAAATGTTGAAAAGCGGTCCTTATATTACTGTCGATTTGAGAGCAAGATTAGGAGCTTTCTTGATTGTCTTTGTAAGCTCTAGAAGGTTAAATAAAGAATATTGAAATACATCAGCTCAATCCTTGAGCATAGCTAACATGTGAAGATCGAACAAAGAATTGTGATATTCATTACTAGAAAAATTGTACAGATTGATCGAGACTTCTCGAAAAACTTACGATTCTCTTTGAATTCTACCACACAGAGTATACTTATGATGTTTGTCATAACTCTGCTTTAAATGCCATTGCAATGATATTAAAGCTTGCAGAATATACGATAAATCGTCAGATAACTTGCATCAAATATATCGTGAGAGAAAATTCATCTTGATGTTTGTAAAAAGCACCTGCAATTTGGGAGCAAGTGGAGAAATCCTACTCATTCGCCGAAACTCGGGTTCTGGCCTCGATGTCAAGGCATTATATCATGTCACATGATCCTTACCTCGCTTCTCAGGATCTTTCAATTCTGCCTCCGAACCTCCCAACTACCTTGAGATCCCCAATTGACGCCCATCATACCTGTCAAGATGTTCACACAAACTGTCCGCGCTTCGGTATGCTATATGCTCAGCTCAAAATGTCATTTTACTAACGGCAGAAGCGCTCTCAAATCGCCCGCGTTGCGAGGCAGCAAATGATCAGCAAGAGAACTTTCATCGTTCCTACTGCTGTTCGTCGTGGTACGTTCATAATTCTATTCACAACTATTATTCTGCCTCCAGAATCACCGCCACCGGAGCACATAATACACGTAGATGTACCCGCCAGTCAGAAGCTAATTCCGATCAATAGCGGACCTTGTCCAAGATCTTTACCTCAAGGAATTGAAGAGTTACAAAGCTCCTCAAGTCAAGGCATCCGATTCCGAAGGACAAGTTCTCAAGTTCTCCCCACCTAAGGCTCCTACATCCCCAGAAGAAACCGATATCGCAAAGGAATTGGCAGCATATGAGGCAAGCACAGTCGAAGTAGAGGGACAAGCCGAGGGAGGTGTTGAGGCCAAGGAGGTTGATTGGTTTGAGGAGGAGCCTGAGGAGGAGGCTGCACACCACTAGATTACGAAATGATACCGGAGTGAAAACGTGAAGCCGCGTGGTAGATTAAAACGTGGGGATGCGATGGAGGGGCGGGGAAATGTGTACACATAGCGACGTGGTAGAATGAAGTGCGAATTGTACAGTCATTAACCGCCTATTTTGAAAGAAGACTCGATCGACTAGATATCTTCCGCAGTACATGTCACTATTTTTCTAAGTTCCTGGAAGCAGAGTGTCCATACCGTCCATCTCGAGACGAGTAAATTGCTACCATCTGCTTGTTTTGGTCCCTCATTTTTCACCCTGTCCTCGAAATCATGAGTGTTTCACGCCAAGTGGCTAGGATTCCTGAATCACAGGGAGCGCTATCATGACGAAATTGTACAAAAGAATACTTAGTATATTAAGTCCAGTTTTGGAATTGTTGTTCCGCACCATCCACAATAGATATGCGGCCACTTCCTCGTTCGAGAAGATCCCCTGCTACTAGCTGCACGGGCCTTTGCGGGGCGTACTAAACATCTTCCTCTTGTTCTCCCACCCGACACTACTGCCTCCAACATCACCACTTCATTATTCTTGAACAGCGGGGAAAATATCATCTTTTACTTTCGTAGTCTTGATCCTACATTAAGTATCGCCCATCGCGCAATCCTTCCGGCTCATATATATGACTAGTGAACTGGCTACCATCCGAATATCAGTCAGTCAAGCTTTCAACTACCTCATTCACCAAAAGTCATTTCAATCAATCTCCAACGTCCACAGAAGCAGTTTTCTTAATACCTCTTCCTTCCAGCTCATATACCTTTCCCTTCATACTTGTGCCGTCCAACTCAAACTTTCCGGGTCCCTCCATCTCATGAAAGTTGGCAGTCGTTTCAAGCTCTAATGCATTCTTATCACTTCGTATCTTCCATGGTAACGTGAGAGGCTGTTTTCGTTGATCTCGATGACGAATGACAACACACACTGTCACTAGAAGAAGCAAGCCTAAGACACCGGTGACAATACCCACTATCATAGGCATGCGATTAATTTTAATGTTGGAACTCGATGGTGTATTTGTAGATGCTGATAGGGTTTCGGTAGATGTTGCAAATGATGTCGGGTGTGTGTGCGCGGTGATATTAACAGTACTTGTGATCACACCTGAAACTGATCCTAAACTCGAAATATATTCGTTTCCTGATGTTACAGTCGAAACAATTTGCTCTGCTGTTGTTGAACTACTACTACCGTCACCTACGAAGGTACTGCTGATGTGGGTGCTCACGGTGATATTGCTAGTGCTGTCGGGGTACCTCGTCGTCTTATCTATGCCGCTGCTATCATCTCTTTTATAAATTGCAACGTCATTGACCCAAAAAGCACCTGAAAGTGTCTTATCACCCTCACAATCGCTCAAAACTGCCCACGGTGGAAAATGCACATTATTTATATCGAGCCCTGGTGGTATAGTCCACTTGTATTCTCCAGATGATAGTGGAACATTTGCTATTGTTTCCGAATCAGTTTTAACTCCAGACATATGAAGATGACGAACGAACAAGCTATTGCAAGAATTGAACCTCCAACGCCCGAATCAGTGACCATTCGCATTAAAGTCAAATTGGTAGTTCCACTCTGACGTGAGTGCCATTTGATGGCATGATTGTTGCCCGAGATTAGGATTTGCCTATCACTTGGTGTGAGGATTTTGAGCTCGATCGCGTAGTTTGAGCGTACCAATAAACACAGAATTGAAACCAGAATACAAGTTACGTGAAGACATAGAATCATCTTGATTACACGTTTGATGTATTATTTGGAAAGAAACAAATATCACATACAACGGTGCTATGGTAAAGAGTTAAATGCGATTGAGCATCATTCTACCATTTGTGCGACCTCCGAGCCCAGCTGCTAACAGAAGATTAGGAAATTTGTGGCTCGATTTAATGCAAAATGAGCATCTTGGCCCCAACTCAATAAAAAGTATTTACATAGCTCAGTGGACGAAGTGGCGCCCAGGATATTCTCCACAAAGTGATTACTGAAACGGCCCCAAATTGACCCTCTGTTGTGTAACCCAACTCACAGTATAAATCGCTAGCATCCCCCAATCATGCATCAAACTATCACTGATTTTTGGCATGAAGGAATCCCAAACTGCTGTGGCGGAAACTTTGGTCATACTGAATAAGGCTATATGCATCAGTTTCCATGTTGTGGCGCTAGCAATGAGGAATTTGAACCGAGTAGTAATATCGTCTATCTCGTTTTTTTCTAAATTTCATTTCCTACTTCTGCAGTCAGCTTTCGTATCGACATCTTGTTCCCGCATAGTGATTTACATCTTTCTGCGAATGTTATTTCCACGAGGCAGGTGGTGGTGGAATAAGAAAACTTTGCCAAGTCTACCCCTTAATGAATTTTTACCGCATGGATCTAGACTCAAGCCTCAATCGCGAATACGTGCCTGTTTGATACTGATGAGGATTGTCGCCGCGCGTACCACATATGAATAATTACCTGGTATTTTTGCTTGAAGGCTGACACGATATTGTCAACTTCATTTGCACGTATCTTCGCCTTGCTGCCTCTCTCTCGACGTTACGAAGTCAGCACTAACCTTGATATCGTGCTAGAAACTAGTGACATATTAGCGATTGAATCCATCATGACACTATAAATTACCTCTTGGAACAGCTTCGTTGCACATCTACTATCGAGCTACCTTGAAATTATAAGGCGCATTTTGACATATCTCTAAGAGCCTTAGAACTAGTAAATAGCCTACGAAACCGCACCGTGCCACTACCCTGCTCGCTACCCTCACCCTCTTCACACGGGTCTGTTGCATATCTACAAAATTCTTAATATAAGACATATTTAATCAAGCCTCAACACTTATTTCATCCCCTCAATCACCACACTACACCAAACCAAATTCGACACCGGCAAATCCATCTCCTCTCCATCGTTATCCAATCGCATCCCCCAACATACTTTGTTGCACATCTATATCTTTAATTTTACAAATCTCAATGCGGGTTTCAAACTCAATCTTAATATTTTATGAGCAGGGCGGCGCCGGCAGATGATGAGATAAAGTTTCGATTGCGGATGGTAAGAAGTTTAGGGTTTCGGGACGCAAAGTTCGATCTGAGATTTTGGGATACGAAACGTCATTGTTTACTCACACAACCTTGGATTCTTTAAGTAGTATCCAATCGTGTGGTTGGGAATGGTGGTTTGTGTATCTGTTTTCTTGATTGTGAAAATATTGTTCTGTGCGGATGGGGATGGGGATGGGGATGGGTGTATTGGATGGTGTGGGATGGTGTGGTGTAGAGCGGTAGAGAATAGAGTTTAGACATCTACCTATCTGGGTATCAGGTGATGCTTGGTTTAAGGTTTGCTTCGGAAAGTGTAAAGCTAGGTAGATGATGGTTAGCTTTAGTTCACAGGTTCGAACACATTTGTTTCTGGAAGAGGATATGTTTATATGTGAAGCTATGTAGAATGTACCGCTGTGGTGTAGCACTGTCTATGTGAGTTGAATGCTGGTAAGCTATTATATTTCAGCGCATGGCTTTGCTTTGCTTTGCTTTGCTTCAACGTTAATTTTGACTAGGTATTCAAGGTAGTTGTCTGCCGCGCTTACTTATGTAGTGTAATATGTAATTTCTGAATTACCTTCTTATCCTTTCCTCTCCTCTCAATTCATATTTTCTCATGTACTGGCAATCTCTCCTCTCCTCTCCTTTCCAATCCTCTCTCTCTCTTTCATCTTTGAAACTAAGGACATACACACACATCCATATCTATATCCATAGAAACACGAATAGAAATATGAATTCCATTCATTCAAACGATCAATCAAACAACCAGCGTTTACAAAACACAGATAGCCAGATAGGCAGAGGTAGATGCACGTATAGATCGACACACAAGAACCAGACGTTGAAAAAATAGATCTCATTACCAAGTAGATAGATAGATAGGCAACTAAACACCCCCTTCCATCCATTGGGGTTTCCTTCCAGCACATCCATCCACCCACGCATGCACGCATCCATCCATTCATCATACAGAAAATATCCATCCCCCTCGTAACGCCATCTAGATCCATTACTCGTACTTCGTAGTCTAGAAACTAAGAAAATCAACCCACCCAACTCCATGATTTCATTTCACAATCTCCATTAATAGTATTTCTCCGCTTTCCATTCTTGCTAGTTTTGGCTTGCTTGCTCGTTCGCTCAACTCACAAAATCAATCCTTTGTCAACTTTAACACTTCTCCTTCCTCCATCTACAACTTCCGATCCCCATTTTCCCTTCCATTCCCTCTCCCTCTCTCTAGCTTCCTCAAAAGCTCTCCTACAATCTTCGGGCAATACGTCAAGTACATCTTTACTAACTCCGCTTAAGCCATCCATACCGATCAAATTGTCTCCCGCACTTCCATTTGATTTTCCGCCCGCGCTCAAATCCCAACCCGCACCATCTGGACCTGGGACGCCGTAATGTGTTGATGGTGAGGATTCCATGTATGTATCTACTATCATGAGATTTCTGGAAAAGAATGGCTTGACTGGTGGGAAGAGTGTTGATGATTCTGCAGACGGGGATTGTGGCTCGTTGTCGTTTATTTGTTCCCAGCGGGCATGGGTCGGCTGCATGGTTCGTGGGTATTGCATGATATTTGTGTGGGGATCGTAGATACCGTTCAGGTTTTGACGACGAGCTGCTGAGATTGCGGAGTTAAATCGACTTTTGGTATGTATTAGTAAGGGATTCGAATTGCATCGTGGAAAAGGGAAGAGAAGAACAAACTTACCTAGCTTCTCGAGCATGTTCCAGCATCCAATTGACATCATTAACCATAATCTTTCTCTTCTTGCCATCAATCATCTTTCCGGTTTGTTGTGGGACAGTGGGTTGGCCAGAATGATATACGGAACTCGCTCCATGCCATGCGACGTATTGATTTTTGTTATATGCTTCTCCATCCTTGATTGCATCATTTGGATCAGCCAAAGAACCTTCTTCAACTCCCTCTTCCCTTGCTTTCGTAACCTCATAATCATCTGTGATTCTCTTGCCTCCAACAATAATTTGGGCGCCGAATTCGCGGAAAACTGATCTCGCCGTAACAATTCCAATAGCTCTTCCCTTATAAGAATGTGGAATGAGTTCTCGTTCGATCATGTCCCTCTTCTCCTCCTCATCAATAATAATCTTAAACAACCTCTTATGCTTCGCGAAGAAAAGATAGCTATCTCTGAATCCTACACAACGTGCCGGTTCGGTAGATAACATATAAAGTCTCTTTCCTCTTCCATGAACCGTGAAAGTCCTGCAACGATATTCCCGACCATCTTGTAGATAACCAAGCTTATCGACCTTTTTCTCTCCTTCCGCATCCTCAGGTAATTCCACTTCATCATTCACAACGTCCATCATGTTTCCCTCTTTATCAACTGGTTGTTGTGTAACATGACTAGGACCGCCTCTTCTAGCCCTCGTCCACCACCTCTAAATCCTCTTCCTCTACCTCTTCCTCGACTTGGCGTAGGTGCCTCGGAAGTAGTTCCATCATCTAAATCCCATCCTGGAGGTTTAATCTTGGGAGGTCTACCTAGACGCTTCTTACGAATGGTGGTTTCTGGAGCGGGAGTGGCTGGAACAACTTCTTCTTCGACTTCTGATTCGATGGCTTCCTCCTCCTCTTCATTTTCATCTTCATCGTGTTCGGGAGGAGTACCGGGGTCAGATGGCGGTGCATCCATTATGGAATCATCTTCGGGGTCATCGTACGTTTGTGGTGTATTTTCTATGTGGAAGAGAGATGTAGTTAGAATTGTCTGAAGATAATAATGTTATGCGCCAGATAAAATATTGAAAGCAACTCACTCAATGCAGCAGCGGCGTTTTTAGCAGCAGCTCTACCAGGTCGTCTACCCATTTTTAAGGGATCTTCGATAATCAATTAATCGAATTTGTGCTTCAACGAAGGTATTCCCGAGCTTGACGTCGCGACATGCGACGCGAATTGAAAGTCGGCCGCTTAAACAAATTCCGAGAAGCACGTGGGAAGAAAGCTAGTCTTAAAATGGTTAGCTATCATGTGATCGAAATCTCCCCAAGAATCGTGTTCATCTATCTTACCATTTTGCCGCTGCATCTGCTTACCATTCGGGGTTTCCTAGATGGCCTCGGTGAGATCTTAAATCACAAGATAGAGTGTTTCTGTTACTAGGGTTCAGTCTTCACAACCATTGACAGATGACGAGAAGCATGAGATGCAGCCGACTCCTAGAATAGTTTCGGCTCAAGTCGGATCGAACTATGAATCACCTGGACTGTGTTTCTCATGTTCGTATCTTGAGTTGGCTTCTGTACCCATCTGTTTGTACTTTACTACATTCTAATATGTCTATGTCAGGATCACAACAGTGTCGTATATAATGGATGTACGAGTACTGCACATGCAATGAGGCATCTAAAATTACCTTGTGAAGGACGAACATTCTGTAAAACTATGCAGGCTGTGGTAGCTGAATGCACAATGCGAGTTTCCATCGGAGGCTTCATATGTTCGCATCGCAGCATCGCATGGCATTGATTTTATGGGTCACAGCATGCGGATATACTAGGTAGTTCTTCAAAAACTACATGATTACCAGACTGGAGGGTTTTTAGAATGATCTTTACCGAATACCTATCCAAAGAATTCCAAATAGAAAAGTTATTAATGCAGAAAACATTCGATTCTTTCCCTTCCCCGCCGCCTGACGACAAAAATTGAAGATTGGAGATGCTGATATGTATTGGTGATATTGGCATATTGCAGTTTTTTCGGGTAGTATTGCAGTTTTTGGTGTAGACCAATGGAACTCCAATCCTGGATAAGTACATGATCTTAAGCTTGAAAGTCTTGGATCAGCTTGACTAGGATGCAGTTTGTGAAGTGTTGGGGAAATAGTGGAAAGGAAAAGCAAACCAACATTCCAGATAGGAAACCCAATAATCTTCTTGTGTGGGCTGAATCTGGATGAAGTTGCTTGATATGTTGATAAATATCGGTAGACCTGCCGTACCGGTAGGTGTTGGGAAACTTCGATAAGTCCGATAGGAGTTTTGATTGCTTCGATTGCAATATGTGTGCATTTGTAAGATCGGGTTACCTAGATAGATAGGGGTTTTGATTCGTGGCGAAATAGACGAAATGCTCCGTAGACGAAGCAGAAAGCTTCAGCTCCAAACCTTAAGCTCCAAACCTTAGCAGTTGGAGCAGATCTTTGTGTACGTACAGAGAGTCTTTCGGGACTGTTGTAAGTTGTAATTTGCAACTTTTTGTAACTGCTTGAATTAGAAGTTGTTACTCAATTTGTAGAAGCTGTTACTCCATCCGATGAAGCTCCGCAACCCGTGTCAGGGTACCGAAGTATAGAAGTGTGTAAGGTTTAATATATATGACGTATTTGTATCGAGTCAAGGAAAGGGAAAGTTTAGGATTTTGAATCTGGTTGGAAGAGAGAGTGCTTGCCGTTAAATTGAATTGCGGTCGAGAACATTTATTTATTTATTTTGGAGGCGATGGCTTGGGACTTTTGCTCGGAAGAATTTGTTTGGGACGAGGGAAGAGAGACGACCAGTCACACTACAGATTGGAGCAGAAGGAAAGCAAAAGCAATGTTATATGTTGAATGCCAGATTGAATATTATAGGTTCGGAATGAAAAGATTAGATGAAGGGAGGTATCCGGTTTTTTGAGTGTTTCCTAACTACAACCTACAACCTCCAGATGTACATGATCTATCGCATTTCATCGTTGATCAGTATCTCCAATATACATGATATCCATGATTAACGTGAGCAAGTTGAGTGGTTTGATAACGAATGCGTTTCTTATGAGAGCAAAGCAAAGCTGCATTATGAATTAAATGAGACGACTGGCTGCGCTGTCATCAATCCATCAATCAATCATCATCATCATCATCGACCCCATAAAGACTCCACTACCTATCTATCTTCACCTCCTTATTATACACGTCGGACTAATTTGGTTTCGACATAACAGACTGATACTTGTTGATATTTGATACTTGATACTCGACACTCGACACTCGACACTTGTTTACTTCTGAGTCTATTTGTATCAAATCTAATCCATAATTACATCAATATGTAAAGAGGGAGAGCACTAATTTCACTCTTCCGTTACATTCTCTTCTTCCTTTTTCTTGTTTGGCGACATCCATATATCTAACTATCTAACTCTCTATCTATATATCTATCCCACCTTTCTCCTTATTCGAAGGGTCTTGTTTCATCATATATATCTACAGATACACAGATACACACACACACACACACATACACATACACACACACACATATACTTTGACTACTCTCCTTCCTCAATCTATACCTACCTACCCATTCCATCTGAGATCTCACATTGCATTGTTGATATATCTATATATAATATCTATATATATACTCATTTCTCAATTCAACAATCCGATCCCATCTCGCCCATCCATTCAATCACTTCCACGAATATTCGAGCAAGTAGTTCAGCTTCTACTGCACTTTGACAGCTGAGACTCATAACCACTTCGCCCTCGTCATTCCGCTGGCCTCATAATACCCAAGAGGTGTTGAAAACACACACACTTTGGTGAACTGACACGACTTAAGATCCAGGTGGTCATCAAAACTAAGGAAATCGAGCCCGAAAGATAAAAATACGCGAGGAACTTATTATTTCGAACTTTTGCCTTCGTCTTCGCTTTCGCCTTCGCCTTCGCCTTTGCCCGGATAGCCTTAGGTACAATTTAGAATTTGGCTTAAGAAATCAAGAAGAACAGACCCTGATCCAATTCGTTTTCCCCCTCTTTCCCAATTCTCCAAGTTTTTCCCAAGAGAAAACCCTAAATTTCAATTCAATTCAATTATCAAATATTGAGAAATAATCAGGAAGAAGAAAGGATTGGAAATCATTTTTCGAGGTATTATTTTTCATATAAACTCGAACTGCGGCTCATTCCTTGCTTGTTCCTTCAAAAAATCCCAATTCCAATCCCACAGCAAATTCGATACAACCAATACGTACGGAACGGAAACGAAAGAGTCATAAGTGCCTGTCTTATTTCTACCCGTCGGTCAAAACTCCTGCGGAACCCACTGTCAACATATTTATGACCTAGTTACTTAAAGTCTATCTCGAGTCCCCAGCTAAAAAGTACCCCCAAACCTTCTACGTTTTCTACGTTTTCTACGTTTTCTACGAACCTTCGACGAATTTCCTACCTCTTCACCCACGAAACGATCAGATCGCAACGAGATACTCCCAAATACTTCAACATAATTATAATATTGGCATCGGACAGTCCTCGCAGATCATAAAAAGATACGAAAATGGCAGGAACAGAACACGACTTGCTTAGGCAAGCTACACAAGCAATGATGGCAAGGTATGATTCCAATTTTTTCGATTTCGCACTTCTTCAACTTTGTCGTCATAGAATATATACATACACACAATAGAGGTATTTATATGGCAGAGCTTCTTCTTTGAAGAGAGACCACAACGTACCTTTTGGCGACGCAAAGGACAAAGGAGAATGTGGACAAATCCTTCCTATCTTCATTCCTGCTCTTCTATCCGTTTCTTTCAACTCCACTCTTCATCCTCATCTCAACATCTTTTGCACATGCTGAATCACTAAACGTCAAAGTTGACGAGGGGTACGGTTCCGGTTGTAATCGGGATTCCTTATCGAAACGGCAATCGGCGTACAGGTACAACTTTTTTTCTTATAAAAAATTAATCTGAAGCAAGAGGGAGAGGAAGAAAACAACAATGTCACTAGAGAGAGAAATTTTATATGGGTTGAGGGTTTTCTGATTTGATTGCTTGCTTGTGAGAGAAGAAGCAATTGATCATTCCTTACAACTTTATCTTCACATCTCTCTTTAATTCTACAATACTTTACTTCACTTTACTCTACTCCACTCTCCATCTTTCACGATCATCAACATACAATGCCTTCACTTCACGGTCTTTGGTCGCATATTAATGTTACTTTGGCTAATTTGACAAATAACAGAGATGATGATGGTGATCATATCGATTCCGATACACCCCGCTCTGGTGTCGCGACCCCACAACCAGATCCTTCAGACAAGCGAACTCCTGGTATATTGCATAGCTTTTATGGACAGGTTGGTTTAGGTTCTTCCTCAAGTCAAAATCCTACGAAACATATATCACATATATCACAAAATCCTAACACAGGTGACCTTGAGAGTTGCTACACTTCCCCACGGCAGAGATTTGAAGCAGGGGGTGCATTGTTGAAAGTCACTCCAAGTTCATTCAATGAACCTAGGATTGATTGTGAAGTAGAGAAAGAAAACTCACTACTTCCACCACATGAACTTTTGGGTAGTTCTCAAATATCTAAGCAACAATATCTCTATCCGACACCACCTGTTTCACATCCGTCCTCACTACATAAAGTGAAATTAAGTGATGCGAGTTTTGAAGATATTGGCAATAATGTACAGAAAACGGCAGCTCCTACAGATCGAGATTGCATTTCGGAATCAATTCCGTCACATGCAAGAAGAGCTTCGTCTATGACACCATTGTCAAACATTGTCACTCCATCAAATGTTCATGCTGCACATTTTTCAAATCCAAGCGATACCCCTTCCGAGCACAAACTTAGCACTCCTCCATTATCCCGATTGAATTCTGAATTCCACAAGTCACCATCTTATGATCGACTCAAGAAGCTAACTTGTGATGGATTAAAGAGCATCCCATCAACACCCACTCGAGCTTTATCGAATCAAACTTCAAAGTCAGATCACAGTGTTATGAGCACAAATTCTGAACATATCGCACAAAATGGCAAATCAGGCACGAGCGAGCGACCGGCTACTACTTCT